AAATTCTTTTAACATGCAGGTTCAAGTTATCCTCAAATAACGTAATACTTTAATATTATATATATGTGATTATCAATAGTTAGCAGGTTCCAAAAATAAGCCCTTTAAATATCTAATTACAGTTAATTTATAAGTAGCTAAATGAATTTAAAAAATCTTCGGAGAATACTAGATGTCTGTGATTACTCCACCCACCTTAGTAAATAAAAATTCCCAAAACCGCCTGACCAAACGCCATTCCGTCTAGCAATAATCATTGCCAGCTTAGAGGAATTGGTTAGGTGCATAGGTATCTACTTATAAAGGCAGTGGCTGTAAACGTCGAATAGCCGACAGTAAACGGTAAACAGCAGTTTAATATGTGAGTAACGAACAAGCCAAGCGAAAAGCGCTGCTGAGTGAATGAATGAAGTAGCTAAAAGCTGACTGCACCACATAGCTGCATGCATCGCCGCAACTACTCGCTTGTTGTGCGCACAGAGGCGTTTGGGTTGTTGAGCAGCGGCGCACTTAAATGCGCCGTTTGTTTTTTAGTGGCGTAGGGCCTTCGTTCAACGCTAATGCCGAACGCTGAGCATCAGTTGCTGTTGTTTTGGCTTGTGTATACACAGTCACGACAGCCGCGCTGCGCTCCATTGTAAGCAGAATTGCAAGCCAGTCGCTACTAACTTTGGCGCATTATTCTAAAGCGAAACGACGTGTGCAGTTAACTGATTTTTTTAGCCGCATTGTTCTTGTACAACTTCGTGTACAAGTATACACAAATATTATATTGTCGGTCTTTCGCTGTATGCACAAAATAAATATGAAAATAAAAATAAAAGCAAGCAAATAAAAACAAAATAACAAACAACAAGCTTCGAGCGCTGATTGCCTAGAGTGAAGCGTCTATTTTACATGTATGTGTTTGTGTGTCAGTGCATCGGCATATAACAGGTGTTTGTTGTGGTTGCACAGCAATATTTATAAATAAATATTTCGCTTATTTATTTTCATATGTACTCGCGTTTTTTTGTTTTTTGTGCTGTGATTTTTTCAAATTAACTTCGCGCTTAACTCGAGTTGTTTGCGAAGAAGCCTAGACTCCGCGTGTGTGCGCAGTATGCGCGTTCGAGTGCTCATATACTAAGTAAAAACAATGATATCATTCTGTGCGGCCAGCTGATGGAATATTGTAGGCGAACGCGCTTGTTGGCTGTCAAGCACACCTTCAGTGTGGATCGGCCGTGCGGTGAGACAACAACAGCAACAGACGCTGCCAAAGCACAGTTTCAGCGTTGATATTGGCCAAAATCATAGACAATGGAAATTTACGGTATTTTCTCGGCAAATGCTCACATATGCAGTGCAGAAAATATATAAGTTGTATATCATAATTTGACTCGTGTTTGTTTGCTTGTGCGCCAATAGCGTTCGCATACATATCTGTATTTGTATATATTGCACTGCGCGTTATCTTATCGCGCGCGCAACCGAATATCGCCAGGTGTAAGAGTGTAACTGTATACCAGAAAATTTCAAAAAATCTAGTCGACAAATTGAGAAGTGCAGTTCCGTTGCAGTTGTTGTTTTCCCTCGTTGTTCTTGGCAACATTGCGCATGTTCTATTCGCTTCAAAACATCAAAGCCCAACAGAGTAATTAGTCATTCAAGCGCAGCAGTCGTTTAACACTACTAACAACAACAACAACAAGTGCGCGTTCATCAAATTCTTACTTATTGTTTCTTGCTAATAATAAATAATTGAAAAATACATATATACACAAATTCGCCAATGTCATAAACTAAAACTGCGAGCATATTTGTGTTTTCGCTTTCACAATCGGCGCGAGGAAAAACGACAACTTTTGCAATTAGTCAACATCAGTGCGCCAATCATTTAGCTAGTCAATCAGTTGCTGCCACGACGCGTCGACAAATTCAACATCTAAGCGGTGACGCTTCGCGCATATCTATTGTAATACTTAATAACAGTTAATTAGTAACCGCCGCTTTGCCAACAATTGTACACATCAGGCGCACATACGGTATCCGCCATGCAACAAGACGAGGAAAAGTCGCTCTACGCGACAATGCGTCCCGCACGCGGCGGCCGCAGTCTCGTCACACTCAGCACCTATGAGGCACGTAAGCTAACGGCACAGCCACTTAAAGTAGGCGAATATGTGTTGGCGTACATACATATGTATGTATGTACTTCTAAACATATGTATAGCATGTAGCCGCACAATTCGCGCGAGTAATTAAAGTATCTGTGCTTATGAATATTTATCTCCTCATAATTGCTTGCCTTCACACATTCTTGCATTATTTTGCATCGCATGAGCTTGTAAGTAAATTTTGACCACCACTTTGATTCTCTTCACTGCAGGAACGACAGGAGGCGCTGCGAAAAACCACCATGATGGAGGATGATGTCAATCATCGTGCCAGTCGCATGCTTCGCAACGACAATGGCCCAACAACAAACGGAACGCAATTCCAAATACCGCCACCGGTAAGCCACATTGATCTTAGTTATAAGCTACTATAGTAAAAGATGAACTATAACGTAAACAAATTTAAATTGAAGGGCGATCATTGAAGGCACGGAAATAAAAATATCAAATAAGGCACGCAAATAGTGGATTCTTATCCCCCGGCGCTTGCTTTAACATTATATTTCTATTCCCAATGTGTTTCGATAAACTTTATTTTTCATATAACGCCACCTTTGCAGCCTCCTTTTATAAGCTACATAATACATATGTAAGTCATATATGGGCGCAATTTTCATGACATTTGTGATACGTTATCAATTGGGTACTATTTCCGGCGATAGTAAGAGCGTCACAAATAAGAACACAATTTAGCTCATTATATCTATTTGCCGTTGATAAAGAAAATTTCACAAAAAATATCCATGTATTGGATAATTGCTTGAGTTATGGAAACAGCAACATCACTCACTTATATAAACACCAGTTTGTCATACTTCCGAGGAGAGAAATTTCTCGTTAGGTGTTATAAGCATACGATTGAGTAGATTACAACGTTTTTACACCTGATAAATTTTTAATAAACGTAATAATATTTTGCATTCACATAGATCCCCTCGTATACATATATATGTATATTTCGTGCTGATAAATTTGAAATATTTTTCAAGCGTTTTCAAAAGAATAATTACCAACAAATTAGTCTGACTTGAGAGTGACAATTTTCCTTATAAAAATACTCTACGAAACTTCAAATATCAGGTCTCTTAGGTCCCTTGGTAGTATCGAATCTTGCAACAACTCATAATTATAAAAAAGTTTTGCAATAATGGTGCGCTTTCTTAGAGAAACTTATTAAAACAAATGATTCGAACGTGGCGCAAAACTACAAGATATTTCAATGCAATTGATTTGTATAATTATACCTGTTTACACATAAACAAACATTTATTTAAATATGCATTTTTTTGTGCTTAGGTTTTACTTACCTGATTACTCAAGCGCTACTACAAAACTATAAAAAATTATATTTATTTGTAACAACAAAAATTTAGACATTGAACACGAACGCCGATACTGAACCCACATACTTACCTATGTACTTACACACTTAAATACTAAACTGCTATGCAAAATACAAACGAAAAAAAAGCAACACTCATACGCCCTGTTGGACCGCCATGCCTTTTTGGTTTAGTTTGAGCTGTTCAGCATAAATGGCCACACAATACAGTTTTACATAAAAGAAATAAAACATACATACATTCAAAGCATATTTACCTCATTAATTAGCTTTTAAATTTTAAATAATCAACAATTTTAATGACTTTCCGCTTGTCTACTCCCCCACAGCCGCCACAGTTTGCCAGCTCACCGCCGAGAAATCAAGCAGTACAATATAACACAAACAACAACAAGTTCACTTCGCAACAACAGCTAATGCAGCCGAAAACCAACAACAACTACAATAATGGCATATCACCGCTTAAAGCACCCACAGAACAACCGCCGAAGCCACCAGCCACTCCCGTGCCCGATTACGACAATGTGGAAATACGTACGAAGGCAACAACAATAAGCAGTAGTGTACGCCCATCGTACGGCTATGCCAGCACGAATATAGTCACAAATGGACGCGATGCATCCAACGACAACAACAATAATAACAGCAACAACAGACGCATCTTACGCGCGGGCTCTATAACAATTGGCGAATATGAGCAGCCACAACAGCGGCGTGAGCCGGCTAAATTCGACTTCGTTGGCACGCCGAGACGCAGTAATGGCACTGCGATAGAAGCCACCGCCGACCAACTGCAAACGGAACTACAGCACACTTTAACACGTTCGAAGCTCAAGAAATCGGCGGAGCTGTTGGAGCATCAGAGTAACTGTCCGCTGCGCAGCAGTTACGAGAATTATGAAAATGTGGCCAGAAAGCTGCACGGTGTCAGCATAAATGAGGTTGCCAGCACGGCGCCGCCACCCATGCGAATAAGTAACGGTAACGGAAACGGTGGGACTAACGGCATTCTGAAGAACGGAAATCGCCACAGCGGCAACGGGGGCGGAGGCTCGAAGAACTCGGATAAGACCATAACCTTCGGAAATTGAAGCTCAAGGCGGTAAAGGCATAAAAGCTGTAAAGGAAACTTAGGGTTACACATTTTGCTTGAATTATTTGTATTATACTTTGTACTTGTACAAGCAGTAATTACGGTCCATAGTTTGCTAAGCTATCTAGCCATATATTGAAAATGTTTATGTACACAGAAAAACTTTAACTTAGTGTTAATTATAGTTGTAAACAATTATTTTAGCAGCGTATAATATTTTCTGTTAAAAAATACTTGCAATTGTAAATAATATTTGCTGCTTAAAACTGTAAAAATGCGAAAATTGCACAAAATTTCGGTTGTACATGTCTTCTGTTCTTTCACTATTTTACGAAGTATATTTGTAAATAACCGCATATGGTATATGTCTATGTACATACATATGCAATATAGAATATATAATATATACATTTAAATATTTCGTATCTTTAATACATATAAAATATATATTTCCAAAAGGCAGCTTAAGCATAAGCAATTGTTATCACATTTATAACTTTGTAATAAAACCATATACATACATACATACATACACGCAAATGATCGTATTTCATATCCACATATTGATCTCTCTTTAAAATTTATTGCTGGCTGTAGTTCACGCAATTACTGGCAATCGAAAGCGGCGGTGAATGTACCAGCGCCTGCACCTCCTCCTCTTCGAGCAGTACATCGGTGCTTGAGAACGGACTGCAGCCGGAAATGTGAAAGAGTATGGGCTGCGCCAGACGTATGGTGGCGATGCGCTCACGCCACGTGTTCCAGAATAACTGCAAAATAACAGACTCACATGCATACATACACACAAATAACGTTACTCACGTGCACAAAGCTACTCACATTTTTATACATGTGTCCGCCGAATTCGAAGAACATCGGCTTATCCTCGTCGCCCACAATGCTTAGCCGCATAATGCAGCGTCCCTGTTTGCGAAAGAACTTAACTTGCAGAAATTGTAGTGGCAACAGGCTGACCAACTGGAAAGTTTCGATCTCCGGATCCATATTATGGTAGCCGACGTCATCCAGATCGGTTTGATCAAAATCGTCGCAGCCGAATACGATTTTCGTAGGTGTGAGACCTTTGGGAAGAAAGCTTTTGAAATGTTTGTATCTCCCACTTTTGAGGAAAACACACCTATATGGTATTGTCTAATACCCAGCCCTTTATCGGTGACTTGCGTGAATGGATTCTCCACGATGACAGGCTCGTAAATTTCACGAAATTCCTCAAGCAGTAATTTTTGTATACGAAACATTTCTGGTTTTTTTCTGTTTATGTGTTTATGTTTTGCTTTCGATTTTTTCGTTCAAACAAAATAATTGAAGTTCATACTTTTTAATAAGGCATACAGGGTATTGACTTTTATTTTGAAGAAAATATGTTGTTATTTCATATCAGAGCGATTAATCTATCCAAACCAAAAAGCCTTCATCGTATCTACGGAATCCGCAGTCAAGATGTGAGTTTACCATATGTATGCTCTATAAAGCCAGCAAATTCTTTGTCTAAATATTAGCAATATCTCTATGCTTCTGCACATTTTCCGAGTATACTCCATAATTTAAAGTTCTCATTAAGTTCGCAACCTTGTAAGCGCACAGGCCAAGAACTTTGCAAAGAATTACAATATGAGAAACATTTAAATGGTGAGACTAGTTTATTTACAAGAGTAAAACTTCAATGACATCGATATTTATAGTACCTACAGCTTTCATTTAACAAGATGTTCACATAATACAGACTTCCATATATATTTGTCACTCCTATGAGGTCCGTCAAAAGTGTATTCACTGTATAAATATATTTACACTCATAATATTTGTAAAGCTCATTTTGGCAGTGCAACGCTGAAAAGCTTTCTTAGCGAAAGTACTCTTTCGGACTCACACACTCAACAGCAAACTTTTACCAACAGATGAAATCAAATTCTGTTAAATAATATGCATTAAAAACAGTTCAAGAATTGCACCTGAAGAATGGCCATCATTAAAATAGAAGAATAGAAGAATATGTTTTCAATGGGAATATAAGATAATATAATATAACAAATGTTATAACATTACTTAGCCATGCACGTAAATAGAAAATAATTCAATGTCAGCCTCTTAATTAAGGCTTTAAAAAATGCTAAACTAATAAATAAATGCAACAAAATACTCGTAATGCACACACTTATCAGCATGAGAAAATACAAACCGATCAGCATGACGATCACGACGTTAACAACTATTACGATCATCATGAAGTAAATGGTAAATGGTTATGAGCGCCATGATCTTCAAGCTTCGAGCTCTGCTCTGACGCTTACGATGGCGCCGAGGCAAACCAGCTGATTACACAATCACAATTTGCATGACCATATGCAGTGACAATAACAACAGCAAACTTCATAGTAAAATAATGTTGTGTATGAGCTTTTATATATATATATTTGAGTTTACATATATTATACTTGAATATTAAGCAAGTATAAGTGTGATAAAGCATGTGAAAGAGACTGCAGAAATGTATTTACATAGAAGCTAAAGGTAAAATGCAGAGAGAGAGAAGATGCTTTGGAAAGCGCTATGATAGTTTGCAACATAACATACGCAACTTGTTGACATCAGAAATCATGTGTGAATTCCGCATTTCATCACAACTGTACATATATATATATGTACGAGTATGTAGAAAACATATGAATGCAAAAAAGCTACACACTCAGTAAAGTAATCACGATGATAATGACAATGATGGCGCATGAAGGGTCTGCTTTCGTTTAATATCGTTTAACGCAGAGATAACGCTTAAGAATGACCTCTTTTGGTCAAACTGCTTGATCATTACAGTCAGCAGTCCAGTGGGCCACTGGAGCAATATTTAAGCGATTAAATTTTCATTTAAAACAACAACCAAAACAGTGCGCCGACTACAAGTCATTGCATTTCCTTCCTCATTTTTAACTACTTTCAGCAACCTGAAACTCCAGCTTATTGCGGATGCGAAACTTTTCGAAGCTTGGTCAGTGGGTACACAGCGCATGCGCAAGCGACTTTATGAGTATGTGGTATTTGTATGGGTGAAGTAGTAAAGTAATGCGATCGCGTTTAGGCGAGCAGCTGAAAGCCAAGTTTACAATAGCCTAATAACAACAACAAAGAAGGCAAAAAAGCATTAAATTTTCGAAACTGAAATACCAAGTCACTAACACAGGCACATGCATATGTGAGCCTCAATGTATTTACAGAAATATATATACTATGTGTGGCAATATTCAAGTCGCGAGCCAAGCCAATAAAACCGTTGCCTTCAGCGGCTCAGTCGAATTTTCGTGCTTGAACGTGCGCATGCGCATGCGCTGTAATATCGCAACGGTTATCGCAGAGAGTAAATACTTATTTTTTTTTTCAAATTTAATTCAGTCAATACACAAAATAGACTTTAAAGGGCTTAACATGTTGCCTATTGTGACACAGTTGAACATTTTCTTATTGCTCTTTGTGCTCCACACACAAGCGCATCCGATTACCAACAACAATGATGCAGCGCTTGCGCAACCCGCAGTGGACAATACCAAGCTTTTATTTGAGGTCAATGGTGGCACCGTCCAAAACGCGCCCATTGCAGAGGACACACTGACGGCTGCCGCCAGTAGTCCAGACCTACGCATCGACGAAGCGCAGCTGGCAGAATACACGGTGCATTCGCAAGCCGAGGAAAGTGGCAGTAGTAGCTCGGGCGGATTTAGGGTAAATTGATGCGCTTACGAGCAGTCATGCCATTTATCGACTTTTCTAATAATTCCCCATTTGATCGTGACAGATCTCTTTGTTGCCGTCGCAAGAAAAGACTGCCGAGTCAGTAAATCTGGAACAAGAAGGCATACCGTCAAAGGTACTTAGCACATATGACAAGACCCAAAAGAAGGTGGCCGATTTGACCAATGTGAGTATGAGTTCAACAACACATAGAAACCAATTATAAAAGTCAATGCCGAATTGGTTCTTGTGTACATATTTGTACATATGTAACATTAAAGGTCACATGACATTTTTTTTTTTGGTTTCTGCAGCTGCAACCTATTGTGGACACCATTAGTGAGCATGAGAAATATGGCAATAACGGTGATATGTTTGATGGCATAGCGCGCTCAATTGTAAACGGTTACGAGGCTTTTTCGAATCTCCTCAACGCTTTAATACAGGTGAGTAAAGCTTATTTTGATTTTTTTGAAATATAAAGAAACAAGTATATATTTCGAAGCTTATACACATGATATATTAATGCACATATGTGAGCATTTATTGAGTAATTTGATAACTGCAGTTAAAGCTCATAACATCTGAGCTTATATCGGTAAAAGTTCAGTGCAACAAAATATAGTTAAATGGGTCTGAAATATTTATGATAAAGACTTTCTATGCTCTAAGCAGTAAATTACAGTAAGATTCAAACGGAGTATTCAGTATGATCGGTCTATGTGAGTTATGGGAAGACATAGAAAGGGCTCCCATTTGTTAAGAGCGCTATTTTTGTTTAATTTGATTTCGATATATTTTTATTTCAAACAGGGTATATTAAGTTTGCAACGAAGTTTGTAACACTCAGAAGATCCTACAAGTAGATATTGCAAAATATACGAGTATATATCAATGTGACGACCTGTATCGATTTAGCCCCTCCTTTTTTAAATCTGAAACTTTGCACAGGTCCTTTTCTCCAAAAGAAGCTATAGATTTGTCGGTAGCGTCAATATCAGATAACTTATATCCTGCAGTACAAACTGCTCGATAATACTCAAGTCCTTGAATGGAAAACTTCTTTATTTATTAAGTCGCCGATCGAACAATTATATCATAGTTATTCAAAATCTACGAACTTATACTTTTTTTAATTCTCACCAAAATAAATTAAAACACAAATTAATGTCAGACTTTCACACAATTCTGTATCTTTGTAGAAACCGAAGGATATCGCTCGTTCTATTTCGAAGGGTATTACGGCACAGCTGGATGTTATTGGCGGCAAAATTGTTGGATTATGAAAATAATACCGATTTTATTATAAAGATTAGTTTTATTTAAGTTAGAAGCAATTGTTGATTGTTTATGTTATTTTTATTTTATTTTAATTCTCAATAAATAATTTATTAGTTGTTTTAACATATGATTTTTTTTTTGGTTTAGGTGAATAAATTCTATAAGACAAGTAATTTTAATTAATACTAAGCAACTTTTTTTGATTATTCAAAATATTATTTTCGAACCAAAAAGGCCAAACCAAATCAAATAGGAATGTTTTACTATTATCAAATTGATAATAATTCTGTAATTGTATTTAAACGTAAAGTAATATGAAATGATTTTACAATTAACAAATTCACTTAGTTTTTTTCGAACGGTGTGTACAGTTATGGTGTGTATTCATAAATTTGTTTACTATTTATTTATTAAATTAATTTAGCTTTTATTAGCTGCACCTATTTGGCTAAATATTAGACTTTTGAATTATTTCATATATTGCTTTTATATATTATTTTTGTATTTCTTCAAATGGTCCTAGATATTATATAGTATTTTTGAGAAGAAAATTAAAAAAATTTAAATGTGAAAATACAACAAAAAAGTTACCTGGATACCTAATTAAACTCATATAACTTATTTATATTCTATTTCTATTTAATTATACCAGTTGTTTGTTGAAATGGAAGACAGCTGATAGCAAATTTGGCAAATTGATGCTTTGGATATTACTTAATATTAAAACAATAATTTTAAAGTCCAATTGTACACTTATAAACACCGCTACAGTAAAGCTAGAAACAGTTTAAACATAGATTTTTAATAATACTCGTCTATTGTTGAAAATATCTAGTACGTATCTTAACTGGCAGTTTATGCAGTTGATTTAAAAAAATTTCATTGCGTGTTCCCTTGTTTTTCCAGATAGATTGAGTATTGCTCTCGAACAGTAAAGAGTATCCTACAATAAATAGCCTACAATTGCCTTCGCCGAACTGGGTAAGACACTTAACAAATATTTTTGGCACACTTTGCATACAAGTTAGCAAAAATTGTATGACTTAACATATCTATGTTTTTGTTTACTACTAAATACAGTTATCAAGTAATTTAGTTACTAATCCTATTCGTTTTTCACTGCATCAAATCGTGTTATATAAATATCTTAATTAAATGCCTTTAATCAATAAGATATGATAAGAATACTATCGTTGCTCTTAGCACGCTGCTAAAGTCGGCTTCAGTCCTCCCAGCTGCTCGTTCGTGTCTGCGGATCAATCGATGGCGAATATGATTTGTATGTCTCAGTTTCACGTTTATGTTTGACGGTGCAAAATAGCAGCATCGATGTGATTAAGCCGAAGAGTTGTACGAATGCAATGCCCAAACCAACAGCGCCCACGATATTCAGCTGCCCCTGGAACCAAGCCTGCAAGGAGTGGGCACATCCTTTACTCCACCAGAGCGCGGGATTTTCAGATCTAAATGCAGCAAAATATTGTGAAAGTTGAGATACAATTAAGGCATGTTAAAATTATGTTAACTTAATATTTTATTTAATATGAAATAAATATATTTGAGTTTTTTATAATAAATTTTCCTAGCTCAAAAACTGCTAAAGGAAGAGACTTCGCTTACACTAGTGTAGACCAGCTACCAATTAATTTCAATAAAGTACAATATCATGGGTGTAGATTATTGCTTCCCATAAAGATGAATTTTTTTTTTACTAATTTTTCATTTAACCAGCATTAGCTGTTGTATATTCCCTTTCGAGTACACTATGCAAGGTATCTATACCTGGTTTTGATTTCTGTATATATATAAATAAAAGTCGATTTCGAATCCATGGTCACCTTTTCTCGCGAAACATAACTTTATAAAGCCTATTCATTACAATTTCGAACTAAAATTGTAAGGATTTGCTTTCCGACTTTCTTTGTATTTTCCAACACGTTATACTCACTTCCCACAATCAACTCGCAAAAAACTATCTCCAGATCCCTCCGTCAATATGCTACGCGCCTCCGATGGCCGGCAGCACGATTCGGGCACCCAACGTTTGCCGCTCCACGACTGAATATCGTACCAGTCCTCATACGAGGATACTCCGCAACATTCAAACTGTTGGCGAAAGAAAGTGTAATCGTCAAAGTTTAACAAAAACAATATTTTCATCACTTACAGATTGTTGCACACTATCCCAGATAGCGGCGACAGATGGCGCAATCAAACTGCCACGATCCGATGCATTATAATGACGTTCGATACCGAAACGCAACTCGTTGGCAAAGGTGCGCCCCAAACCGCCGCGGAACAGGAAAGCAATCGCACCGATTAGGAACTCACTCAAGAAAAGCATAACAATCAGCAGGAAGTACTGTGTGAAAAGAGCGTCAAAGATTTATTAATTGAAACGAAACCATTTCGGACACTTCCGCTTTCGCCAACTTACCAACACCAAGAGACAACGCGATTGCACCCAAGCACCGCAGCAGCCAAAGAATGACACAACAAAGCCGATCACGCCGATTGCTAAGAAAATCGAGTCTGCGCTCAAGACCTGATGATCGGGCAGCAGCGTGGCATAGCCCTCGTACGATAGACGCAGCCACACGCCAACACCCAGGAAAGCACAACTGCAAAGCTGAAACGATAAGGAAGCAGAAACAATGGGTGAACGAAGCGGAATGATGAGTTTCATTATGAAAAAATGTATTTATATTTATTAGTACGGCAAAGCAATTGAAATGCAAAGTAGCTTTGCCCAATTTTAAGTCGTTAAGGTCAATGTGGTGGCACGTCTGCACGAAATACGCGCTTTGTTGCTAAATTCGGCAGTTCAAGCTCTACGTGGAGTATAAATTCAATGTAATAATAAATTCATCACAAAATTAAATAAAACAAACACTTTAAATGCAGTTTCGCATGTGTGGCGCTCATTAGCGGCGACGCGTCGTCTTCGGCAACAATTGCAACTATCTCAGGTCGAAAAAAGTTATTGTTCGCAGCAGCAAGCAACACAAAGCGCAGTCTATGAAAGTTTTTACAATGCCACAGCGATGATGTTGATGGCGTCTCTGCAACTATTGTATAACATATCACATCACATATTCCTACACACTTAACACATCAACATATGCACTCTGTTTCGTTAACTTATTTGGTGCACTTTTGTTGCTATTGCCATGCTTTGTGTCATACCACAGTTTGAAAATCGGAAAACACATCAATTTCCGCTGCAGACGAACATCAACTGATCAAATCGCAAGCACGCACACACGTGCAAATGGTGCATAGCATCTCAGCTAGCGAGCTGTAATCAAGTGAAGCGGCACATGATTGGTGCTGCAGAGTGTCAGCACAATTCCCAGCACTCAGAAAAATTATAATTCAATAGATGGGAATTTTTATATTGGCATTGAACACGTGAGTCGCTTTTCTCGCTTTTGTTTCGGTGTTAGTATTGACTATTGTTCGCAGTAGTTGTGGCCAACCTCTCACAATATCAGAAAATGTTTATATATTTCCCACAATTATTATTAGATAATTTATTATCTAAGAGACACATAGTTTCCATTTACCAACCAAGAACTCCACAAAAATTGGGTTATCGATCTAAATAAAACTCATAAAGTAATCATGCGATGAATCAAAACGACTTAACGACGACAATCACGACTTAAGATAATTCGGATCGGAAAAAGATATTTGAATTTTTTTTCTTCTAACCTTTCATCTCCATTGTCCAGGCAGAGTAAAATTGTTAGAGTGAAAATAAGCCTTAGCTCAGAACTTAAGTGATGAAGACGAACCTTTTTATTGCAGAGATGCCAAAAAGGGAGCGAAATGGTTTCTTTGTTGGCCTATGTGGCCTCTTCTTGACCCCCTTTTTAAATCTGGCAAACATATGACTAAAATATAACAAACCACTTTTCCCTAACATCGTTCCAACCAGCATCGGTTCTACATAATCCGAATGAACTCAAATTTTTATCCGGCCAAGAACTGACAACTCGGCATAATTTGTCAAAATTATGTTAGAAATATTTTTAACAACAATCACCAGCATGGATGGAGTCGGAACTTCAGATCCAAAGTCTGATTGACTGACGAACGATTATAACCTCTTTCAGAAATTTTCAGATATATGCAAAAACTCTATTCCCACCTCACAGAGCTTCAGAGAGCAGTAACAGGAACAAAAAAAAATCCAAGTACCGAAAATTTTATAAATTACACATTATTACATACAATAAAATGAGGCCATTTCATTAAGTAAACATACCCATAATATTATATTGAGCCAGCAGAACGTCCTTCGAATGCATGTGTAGCCTGCATTTCCCATTTTAAATAAGTGGTTAACTGTTCAATTTATGTAGCTAAAAATAGAAGATGATATTTTGTTATAAAAATTATTAGTTTCATAAATTGCTGAGAAGAAAAAAATTTGCTTGAATAAAATTTTAGATAAAGCTTTAAATAAATTAGGAATTACACTTATCTGCTCATATTCACTATTAAATAATCTGTCTCGGTCAGTATATTGACTAAAACATGATTTCAAGTAAATCTATTACATACATTCCGCCCTGAGTAGTACAAATGCCTCGCAGGTATGAATACACGTAAGTGAGCTAAAGCAATCAGAATAAGGTCAACTTAAATTAACCCATAAAACAAAAACAAATCATAATTGTAATTCAACTGCGCTGCAGCAGCTTCCACATGCAAACAAATGCAAATTTATGTGTGAATTTATAGAATGATACCCTAAAACAGAGGAGTACTTACGCCCTATATGTTTACGAGTGTATGACACAACAGACAATACGATAATAGTAAAAAATTACTTCCGTTCAGCGAAAACTAGGGGTCTATTCTGCATTCCGTCTATGATAGCGAATTTAAATTTATACATTTTTATATATTTTATTATATAATCTGTATGACACGAAAAGGTTTTGTCGGAGGCATTCTTAGTTCAGATAGCGAGCTCATGCGCTTTTGATTATCTCAGCTTAGTTCGCCTATTATGCTGATAGTACGTTTATGTCTACAGTTTCATTTATATTTGCAAACTAGCTATCTTATGATCTAATAAACAGCTTCATATCTAGCTGGTAATATACGCTTTTACACATACGTGACTGCTAACTATTTCAGCGCAGACAAACGGATTAGCTGCATTTATGACAATATTTTATCTTGCTGTGCGTAAATAAATCACTACTCGCTCATATAATTTTAAATAGGGCATCGCGGTGATATTTATAAGCTATGCAGTTAGTATCAGTTCTCCCTAAGGCCGTTGCTGCAACCAAGTGGGTATTAAATAGTCAGGCTAAGACTCATTTATTTGCAAGTAAAAATCAATACGAATTCGAAACAGAACAAAAAAATGGACAGAGAGCAAAGGAATAATACTTATTCAAATAAAGACAGGATTTCTTTAAGTTGACAACACACAGATATGAGATCGCGCTTGGCATATGAATATTTGCATAGTTTTCTAATCCAACCTAGCAGTTGCTGTGTAGATTATAATTTTAGAGCCGATTGTATACCGCACTTATTATCAGCAACTCTCATTTCTAGTATAAGTCTATGAATTTCTGGGATTACTTAAACTGTAATTTATAGCTACTCTCACACTATTTAAACTATTTTTGCTCATGGTATCCCACAGTAAATGGCCCTGAATGGCTCAATAAATTAAAAAAAGTTAATTTCTAAACTAAAAGTTAACCTTAATCGGCTTTTCGAGGATATCTTTGACAACTTTTGACAGAACTTCCCAAACTCATCGGGATTACCCAATGGTCCAAATGGTGCCAACTTCAAACGGGCAATGGTGGAATGGCCTATTAAAATTAAGCTCAAGTCTTGACGAGGCATGAAATATGTTGTGACAAAACGAAATATTCATGATGTTAAGATCATTGAAATTTAAGTTTGTCGTTTCTATTGATTAGAATCCCCACAATGAACGAGATAGTGTGGAGTCGAAATTTTTTTGAATTGAAATGCTGGTAATCTTATAAAACTTCGCTAGCATTAACAACATTTTTTACCAGACTTTTGTAGCACTTACTTCTAAATTAGTATGTAAACAGACAAAATGTAATCCTAAATTTGAGCACCAAACCGTTGTATTCATTCAAAGTTAATGTACCATAGGTCGCGGTGCATACCTCAATCATTATCTAATGTATGGGACACTTGTGATATTATTTATGAGTCTAATTTTTATAAAAATCAGAGAGAATAATACATAGTGATTACAAAAACTTTATTGAAGAATTCCGATGCTTTTGATCAACGTGGTTTTAAAAAAGGCAACTACTAGCACTTCCAATGACAAACAAGAAACCAGAAAAATGTCAATTACATTATTTAACGAAGATTTTCATCAGTAACGCCATAGCCCTAGAAGATTTAAAGGAACATATTATCGAAGACATGGAAAACATTTAGGAAAAATCTAGCAACCAGGTAAACACTAAATGCATGATATAATTTGAAAAGAAATTATTTTCAGCAAGCAAAAATAAAAACAACACAATTGTTTTATCTTGGTTATCTAGTTTTTTATCACGCGTTTGAAAAATGCAAAGAGGAAGCTTACCCGGCAACAGGCGAACAGCTTTTTTAAAAGATGAAAATTAAGTACAAAGTAAAATTGCTTATAGCAGACAAAATCTTTCTGGTTTCGTAATTTTCAAATAAAATATTTTTATTTAGAAATTATTTAATCGCATTGCGAAACAAACCAGTTTCTGAATGCAACCAATACTTCTCAGAAAGTGTTTGTATTTCAAATTCAAGAATATGAAATTACTTTTATTGATTTAATTTTTAATCTGGAAAGAATATTTATGAACTGATTTTGCAAGTTGAGTGGTTATATAATGTATAGTTCAAATAGGAATTTTTATAGTTTATGGAATCACGGCATTTTTGCAAATTCATTTGATGGCAAATAAGTTCTTCTCATGTTTAAAAAACTTTGTTTCTTTCAGATTTCTCTTCAGTTATAAATACTACATAACTTCTACAGAATGACGGGTATTCCATACTTGCATAGATATATAATTATATATTCATGAGGCATTTAAGTAATATCGCTTTCCTCAAACACTTATTACAAAATTTGCTTTCTTTTCTTGATTTTAATTTATGAACTTGCGTAAAGTATCGCAAAAATAACAGTAATTACAGCACAATAGTAACAGAACCAACACACACACATACATAGGTAATTATAAACTGTGGATGCAATCCAAACTGAGCTCTGCTCTGTGCACGAGCAGCAAGCAAACGCGTAAAGTATAGTTCACTTGGAAAACGAGCAGCGCAAATCACTTTCATCCGCGGCATTAAATTTAATGGTTAAACGCGATGGCTCAGTTAGCCCCCTCCCGGCACACAGTGTACGTCAACTGTCCGCCTGACGGCTGCTGATTATGATAAAGCGAAGCGAAGACGCGTGCGCGCACAAACTCTTCACTGCAACGACTTGTGGCGGATTAAACAGGCGGACCAGAGGTCAACAGCGACTGTCTGTGTTCGCTCGCCGGTGGTCGGTCACAAAAGAAAAATCTCCACCATAGTCGGCGACGAGTCGAAAATTCAGTTGATCATTCAACCGTTCAGCTGTACACGATGTAATTTATATGCTCACTTGAACACACACACTTGTGTATGTGCATATGTTGACAAGTAAGCACACACAGCGGCGCATAATTGTGAATTTTTAGAAACAAAAATCGCATTACGTACAGCGATGGCACGTACACACACATTCATGTGTGTCTGTTTGTTTGGAATAATTGCGCGAAAGTCGCCAACTGTCGCCAGCTGCCGAATGCTGCAGCGACGAATCGCTTCCACCCGGCCAGTTGTGCGCTTGTGCGATTGCCCGCCCTGCGTTGCTCATACGACAGCGCGGCTGATCGTGGCCGAGCTCAGTCGCTTATTTTCTAATTTAACTCAATAACAGTTTGGAATAATAGCATTTTAAGCATTGTAAATTGCAATTTGCCCAGCTGAAGCGGGGTAATGTCGCTGGTGAAAAACAACAACATTCTTTTTACTACGATTCGCATTGAAGGGAGCTGACAGCAGATAAGACAATCGTATTTTTATGTTATTTTCTCGTTGCAAACAACATTGAGTGACCATGATTTAGTCCGCGCTGCTGCGGCTGCCTTTGAGGGTCACAATAAGCAATGTGTAGATTATTGTAGATACTGAGAGAGATTGAGTGCCGCACAAGTTTTTCGGATAGCCATACAAAATGCTTATACTTTCATAAATCCACAAGTAGATTACCACATCATCTAAATTCGTTTAATGCTCCATTTAGTAATAAATCTACGTCATAGAGATCCAGTGAATTGCAACTCTTTCCGTTTCGCGTAACTTTAAAGAGCGGCAAATCGAACAACTCAAACTAGGTGACTACAACTACTAAATTTCAACGCTATTTTGAAATTGATTCGTGAGATTTAGCATTTAGTTTTAGTGCTTAAAAAATGTTAATTATAAATTATTTTCTTACGAAAAAATGTTGCTAGTACCATTCTGCACCAGATGAGCCAGCCATTCATAATCGTTTTACTAAATTCCGTACAGGCTGAGCTGGCAAATTTGTTATGAGATTATTGTAATTAATGTCAATGCAACTTGAATAGAAAAATCAAATTTTTGCAATATTTTTTTTTGGTTTTAAAGGAAAAGTATTTTTTTAACCCATCTGTTATCTATATCATAAGATTAGTAAAGTTTATACCAAAAATATTAATTAAATTATTTTTTAAATACTTTATTTTGAGTTTTATTCATAACTTTCTATTTTTTTTATATTCGTAAAGCTAGAAGTCGAAAAATATTTCACCAGCAATAGTATAAAATATAACGGTTGTTTAAACACTTATTATAATGCTTTTCTACGCACTTTTAGTAACTCACCCGTAAATAGGTCAAACACTAAATGTACAAACAGTTTTATTCAAACAAAAAAAAACATAGTTAATCGGTACGCACACAAAGATGTTGAAGTCCTTCAACGCTGAGTCAATTAACTTTACACAAAAGTGCCGTGAAGATAGGAATTCCATTCAGTTGCAGGCAAATACAATTATCAACAAAAAATAATTATTGTTGTTATTGTTATTGAGTGTATTTACTCTTGCGTCGACTGTTTTGCACAATTATGGCCCCTTTTCGTTGAGCAACGGGTGGCATCTTCAATCACGCAACCGGTTTCAGATTGCAAGTGTCAAGTCAACTTATCACAATCATAGACAATGCACGGGGCTGCCAATTTGAACGCGCAGCTGCATATGTGGCTGCTACAGTGCTGCATGCAGCAACCACAATAACAATTTTGTCGTCCAAATATGCTAGTGTCTTTAGCGGCACGACACTACAAGCATCGTTTCTGCGCTGCGTGCATTCAAGTGACCGCAGAAGAGCGCACTCATAAGGCGGCTTGAAGCGCAAGTGCGTTGTGTGCCAGCACTCAAATTGCCACACAAAGAAATATAATTGTTTGATGCACTTGAAAGGTCATTCGCTTGTTGGTTGGCCAGTTCTTGCATTTATTGTTGTTGTGTATTGTTGTACTCTGTTTTTTCTACATATTTGACATAGTGTTTTGGAAGCTACCACAGATATGGCATTTAATCAAATTACAATGTTGCATGCAACACATTTTTAATTTTTAACTAATTATGTTGAAATAAGGCCGTGAGTAGCGTTTGTACGTCATATAATTTTTCCAAGGTAGTTTTCTGCGTTTAAGTATTGTTATTAGCACTCAGATTAAAGCTTTAGCTTAATTTGGCATAACGAATGTTCAGTCGACATCCAATGCTAAAATCAACATATTTGACTAAGCTTTTGTATTGTAATATCTTACTGCCCAGTAAACATTGCAATGAACTATTTTTTTTATATCGAATTTTTAGAAAATCTTTTAGTTTCCGGTCGGCCTGGCCAAATGATGTAAAAGGCTTGACAACTTTTTAGGTTAGGTTAAAATAGACAAAGTCGCCGTCAAGTGAAATGAGGTTAGATTACAAACCAAGAACAGAAGCAAGTGTTGATACATTATTAACTTAAAATCTCTTATCAGTCAGAAATATGTGCGAACAGAACCTCAAATTTTCAAATTTGTAGTTCCTATGACCGAAAACGATAAGCTGTGCAATTTCCCAAAAAATATGAGAAAAATTTTAAACAAAGTATTTGAAAAAATATTTTAGTTATGATAAATGATTCTTGTAAATTTTGGTCCTATCTGTCGACTCCTACAGGTTATATTGCAACCATGTTTGTATTGCTCTCATAAATAAATCATCGTCTTAAATAAGCTAAATAACAGCACTTTCGATGACTAGCCGATAATTACGAGCATAAGGTTGAAGATGTTTGGCAAAGAATCTTTTGAATAAATTATAAATAAAATAGCTGAGACAACTAGATTACCAACAAATCAAATTTTAAATTAGTGCAAACTTTTAAGTTTGCCTATTGCCAGTGAAAATCTAAGATTAACTTTTATATTCCCACAAATTTCGTGAAATATTTGTTTTCAAATTAAAATACTATTTTTGTATAAAAGTAAGTTTTGAATTTAAATTTATTATTAGGCGTTCATAGTGCCGACTGGGTACTCGAGATCTAGAAGCAGTGGCCCCATTAACTGTACTCAATGGCTGAAGCAGCAAATAGTTGTGGTGGACTGGCGCAAATTCTAGTAAGCAACTTTCTTTCAACTCTTTTACGCTCTTTCCATGCATTGCATTTTTCTTTTACTTTGAGTTTTCTTGTTTTGTTTTTGCTTCTTATTTTGACAAAGTATTTTGTTGCTTTCGGAAAAGCAATGTCACACTGCAACTGGTTTGGCGGCAATTATCTCTTGCATTGAAGCAGACTTGCATGCAATTTATCGATCGTCAACAACAACAAGGAAAATACGAAATTCGACAAATACCAAAATTCGCTGAGAAGGTGAAAGTTAATGGAAATTCACATTTATTTATAAAGGAAAATGCTTGTAGTTCGTTCGGAGATGGGAACTCTATAAATATTTTAATTATTTTCAGCAGAGTGTATTTTGAAAATCGAATCCGTGACCTCTTTCTCAATAATTGATTGGATTGACAACTTTTTTTTAATTTTTCTACTTAAATTTGGTTGATTGACTCTGAACCCGCTTTATTAAGACATAACTTCGCTTGTTTATTGCGTCTCCACAATCAACCGCACCTGTTGCCGATTTGACAAAACGTGTATGTGAGAGAAAAACACAAAAACGGCGGAAAAAATATAAGCAAACCACTTGCATGGCTTCTTTGACATGGAAAAAGATGTGACTGCACTTTGACTATTCGCTCATCGCTTAATAAATTGATTGCATCTTGGCATTTGTACTGATTCGCTCATTTTTTATCAGCGAAGACAACACACACAAACACACGTATGCATACAAAGCTTCAGAATGGATATTGCACTTAGAAACACGTGCGGGGGGAGCACAGCGGGGCGTATACTTAACACACAGAGGGCCTGGCGCAATGGCTGGAAAATATTTATATATTTATTCATTTGTTTGCTTTTGTTGTTGTTTTGTATGTGTTATTAAGTGTGTGCAATAACAGCATTAGCTGCACATTTGAGTGATTTAAGTGAGATGCGGCGACATCAACAGTTGCTACTGCGGTAAGCTAATATTTATAGATAAACACACGAACATTAACACAACAACAACAATAACCACAACGAAAGCATGAAGCACACAGTGATGGGATGCATCCGCTTTAGTGCATCCGTTAATTTAGAAAAACAAAAGCTTTGCAGAAAAAATGATTGCATGTGTGAATGTGTCTGTGTGCGTGTGATGATGCAAAATGCAATATTTAATAAAATATTCTATGAAAACTCAACTAATAAACAATTGTTTTAATTTTTTCTTAATTAGAACTGATTAATAATGTTTGCATGTCGCAGTTGAAAAATAAAATAACTTTTCTGTTCACAAACGAAGCAGTTTCGAATCTTCATAGGAGCATAAGGTCTTACTACATTGGCGAATGTAAGCCTGCAGGGCTCACATCGAGCTTCTTAGTGTGCGAAACACCGTTAAAAGTATTAAATTGGGCTATTTGGTTTAATTGGATAAAAGAAATCAAAACCTTCAAGAGTATATTCCCATAAAAAGCTTGCTATAAATCCCATTACTATAAAAAAACGCAGGACCTGACTAACAAACAATACTTTCCGTTGCTAAAGCAAACCTCCGAGCCTATTTTTTTCATACAAACTTCCCCATGAAATATATTACCCATTCGAATTAGACTTAAAACAAGTGGGTTCCTCCATTTGTTGTGTAAAATTAAAACGCACATTTCATAAAGGAGAAGAGCGCTCTAGGCCAGGCATATACCACAGTTGCACAAATACTTTACTCTGTATTTAGCAGCAATATATTTTTTTCAAAAGCTACAGAAAATTGCTCATAGTTCAACCTTTTGTTTTTATTTTATTTTTATGAATTTTTGCTTAACAGAATAATGCTAATATAAAAATGAGATCTGCATTCACATGAAATTCAATTTGTTCATAGAATGTTATTGTAAGTATTATTTTTTATATAGCAACAACAAACAACTTTATTCTTAGCTTAAACTCCCATACCTCTCGGTACACTTTATCACTTTAGATCAACACTCACGCCTCCAACACTCGCCAGTAATCTCTGTGATCGAACACTGTAAACACAACAATAAATGGTCGACTTTTAAAAATCCACACAATTATCTAAAAATTAGCGCTGCTCGTCGCAAAAATATCCCAGCTTCGCGCGAACCGTTCTATACGCTTCGAGCGCTCAACAACAACTGAATATATTAAAAGTTCTTTGATAGCGTCAAAAGTCAACTGCGGCCAGCGTGCACGGTCGACCAGATAAATAGATACTTGTTTGCGAGCTACTCCACTCGCCTCCGGCCACTACACGCCTAGATGTGCATTATGCCCATCGTCAGCCCGCCAAAGGGGGACGCGCATCAGTGCTGCTGGCGTTGTTGTTGTAGTCGCCACTGCGACTGCTGCGATATTTTAGTTTTGCTTGCTTGCTGCTCTCTTTTACCTCTGATAACGTTGACATTGTGGATACTTGCATTAGCTGAGTGCTCGCATTGTTGTCCGTAGCGTGTGCTTTGTTTTTGCAGCGCTTAGTTGTTGATTTTTCTGTTGCTGCTTGATTGACAGTGTTGACGTTGGCGTTGATGCCTCGCATCCAAATCAAACACGAAATGTTAGTGGGCTAAAAATGCTAGAGCGAACATTTTAAACGTTAGATGCTTTGTTGTTTTTAGTATTGATGTTTGATCATACCATCCAACATGTTTGATTGTTGATTTGTTAACTAAAACGGATTCTTTTAAGTGAAGAATAGTTTTTCTGTAGCATTAAAGTATAGCTTTAACAACAATTATTTTAATAATTTCCAATTCATTTTAAGGAATTTGGATTCCTTTGATCCAGTATTCCAAGTTATCCAGTGATTGACAGTAGTGCGGAGTATTTCTCTGCTTAAAATTATCTTAACTCCAAAAAAATTTTAAATTTTAAATAGATCGGTCTAGCCGTTTTGGAGAAATTCGAAAACAGCGCTTTACAAATACCTTCATATCTCCGAAATTATTTACCATTTTTCTAAATTCACAAGTGCATAAATTCACAAAGTAGATAATTTACGTTGTTGTTGTATGACGTTCAGAATTCTCATTTGTTATGACCTCTTAAAAATAAACATCTAGACCACTGAACAGCAGAATTACGGTTCACATTGTTTCGCGCTAATCAAGTTTTCGGAAGCGATTCAAAGTGTTTGAATTCTTTTAATTTACAGTGCGTTCAAAAAATAAAGTTTTTCAATTCGGTTAGTTCTCTTCATCTTCTTAATGTGTCACGTCGTGCCGTGAAGTAAGAAAAATTAGTGCTCAGTTTAAGAAAGGTTTTGAACCGGGCTTGCTAACGAAGCATCCTAAAGGTTCCAAATGGACTATTAAAAAACTGCACAGTATTAAAATATGTGTTGCACACTTGTAAAGAGATCGTCTGACTATTATGGAGAAACTGTAAACGTAGATTACACGCCAGGAAGCGAGAGCAACCACGTGACATCTAATAAAAGCAATTATTTTACGATTTGAGGGGAAACCACTACTCAGTCTTAGAAAAGTTGAAAAAAAAATTTGGTTTAAAAAACCATTCGATATTTCTCTATATACAATACAGGACAGACTTCAGAGGTCTGGTATCTAACACAGCGATATCGTAATCAAACCCCTACATTCAAAAACACACATTGAAAAAAAGTTGGATTGGGCGCAGGACACATCAACCGCAACTGTAGCAATGTCATATTTACAGATGAGTCAACTTGCGTCTTATTCAACGCCTTGAGACGAGTACAGCTATGAAAAAGACAAATATGTGTGACCCCCAAAAGGTGCATGTTTATGGTTGCTTCTTTGCTCATGGATTTGGGGGTTTGAGGCGGAATATGCTGAAAGTGCTTTCGAATATTTATCCAACATTACAGAAGATTTGAAGCATTAATGGGCCATTTGCATTTCGTGCATTACATTTTTGTACAAACGCCTATATAATAAGCATACATATACATATGTATATTATATATGGTAAATAAAAACGCGTGCACATTTCCTCATAATTGCTTGAAGTCAAAGGTGCTTGTTAATTCATCCGTAATTAGCAAATTTTTGTATTTCAAAGCTTTAAGGGCTCTGACTCAGAACTTTGCATCCCATTAAATATCTAAAAGAAATTGTTTTTATAGCTAAAAACTTTATTTCCATATCACTGTCCACATAGTTAGTAATGGATCGTTGAAAAAGGTAAAAAAAAATAAGCCTAAACACCCAAATAGTGAGTTTATAAAACTAAGAAAGAGAGCACTCTCTCCGCTTTACGCTCTTTTATCCTTGCGCAACTTCTGACTAGACAGTTCAATCGAGTCCAACCACAGTTTCAGCTCTGCCGGCATTTCCGGTCGTGTTGCTGCTTCAGGGAAGGTCTTTAATATTTCGGTGACGTCACAATTGGTGATGCACTGCTTGGATAATGCCACAGCGCGCACAAAACCATCCGAGAGGGTGACAAACGATTGCTCCAAGTAAATAGCCTTCTCATCCCACCAAATCAGCTTGGTTTGGATCTTGTACGGATGGAAAATGGGTATGGTGCGGCGGTAGCGCACACTCGAAGCGCCCTGAACGGCGCCACCTTTGCGCTCGCGCACTTGCTCATAAAGTCCAGTCAGCGCATAGAAATGGAAACGTGCAAAGTCCAGCTCTCGCAGGTAGCGCGCGTTGTTCATGTGTCGTATGAAGATGTCCACATCCTGTGAGGTGCAGAGACCTATTTTTTTTTTTAAATATTTAGTATGATATGTGAATATGTATGGATTTGTGTGCATGAACTTACCATAGATTGTTGTGGTATCAGTGACCTTGCGTTTACTCTGGAACAGGCGCCCCGCCAACACAGTGAAAATGCAACGAATGAAGTAGTTAACATCCCAAATGATGTAGAGAATGAGCAGTATAACTAGGAAAGACATCTCGCTGAAGAGAGATAAAATAGAAATACAACAATTGTGAACATGCAAAAACACACAACTACAAACTTAGATGTGGTATGTGTGCATACAACAGTTTGAATATGTCGCAACACATAACAATAAATAACCGTAAATAATCACCGCCTTAAATGGTGGCCACAACTCTTATGAAACGCAGAAAAATTGCTTACTTCTCATATAATAGCTTAAGAAATTGAAATATGTGATTATTTTTAAATAAAATCAGCGAAAAATACAACAAAATATCGGGTATATTCATATTCATCGACGCACTTTACTCTCTACATGCCTCTTTGTTGTAATGTCATGTCTAAACTCCCAACTCAGCTGTTTGCATAAACATGTCGATGGCTGCAATACTTAATTAATCGATTTGACATTTGCCCCAAATATATATTAATATTCGAAATGTATACGAATTTAATTTCAAAAGCTCGAATGAATGGATTGCAACACACGTCAAGTTCGCGTCGAAAAAAAGATGTAAAAAACCTATATTCGCATGTCTCTAAACTCATTAATAGTGAATTACCTGTTTTTTGTGTATCGTTGTTTTCTTCTTCACACGTCCGCTTTCCACAACACGCCAAGATTAAGTGAAGCGCTGAAAGTCTCTAACAACAGCACTATATAGCAGCAAGTAAGACTAAAAGAAAAGTAAAATATCAGAGAGCATGTAGTGAGTGTGCTCATCAGCCATAAGCCCAACCGCCGGCTGCCATATGTACCTATATATGTATGTATGTATGTATGTATGTACTGTAATTGCTTTCTCTCATATAATATGAAACTACTTTGTTGTCCCATTTTTTGTGCAACTGGTTTCTCAATCAACTCTTTCAACTTTTTGATGAGTGTGAATGGCGAGAGAGCATTACTTACAAATCATTTACAAATCAACGTTGATGACTACCCTACTATCAGTATTGCAGATACTTAAACTTTAAAAATAGGTTTCGATCTATCTGAAGAAATGTAGTGGAGTCATTCACAAAAACAAATAAATATATGGTGAACGGCAAATTTACTTGTTTACATACCCATTGAGCCAGAAATGGGCCTCATCGCTGAACAAAATTTAGCTTGAAAACGTCGGATCTTCTTGGAACTTTTCAAGAGCCTATAGAGCGAAGCGGTGAAGCTTGGGAAGGTAGAGTGGCTTGACTGACGCGCGATTTGTCATAAAAAGGCTATTGAAAGAGGTAACTCTACTTGGATCACCCGTTAAATACATAGTACATATGTGCACGAACATTATCCTGCGATGATCATCTTCGTGTTGGTGATGGTAATCAGAAACCCCCACGTTTGACTATTTTGCGCTTTCGATGCCTTTTTTGTTTTCTTAGATTTTTAAATTTTTCGACAAACAATCATATATGCCAAAATAATTTTTTTTTACAATACATAAAAATAATATTTTTTAATTAGAAGTAGTTTTTTTCTTTTAAATACCATTAGGCGTATGAGTACAAAGTTTCATGCTGATCGGTTAAGAGGTTTCGACAAGAAAGCGTAATGTGCAAACTTACATTCACATTTATAATATTAGTAAGTAATTAAGTAAAGATGGGCACCTTTAATTTTTCAAAATAAAACGATCCACATATTGTTCTACAAATTTACTTGTATTCTTTTACACACATTTACACATACGAGTAGTAAAGGTAGGTTATTTTAAAGATTGGCATACACTTTCGCTTTAGCGCTTCATAGATGTACATATGTAATCCGACTATAAAAAAATTGATTAACTAAAAACTTAATTAAATATTTTTCTTAAAGACTTTTCATACTTCAATGAGCTCAAAAAATAAATAATTCTTTCTTCTAGGCATATCTTTGATATATAATAAGTGCAGTTACATATGTATGTACGTATGTATAAGGTTTTATACGAGTATTTAGACATTCATAATCATAAGCAAAGCACTCAGCATTTCGACTCCGCAACTATCAGCAATTCGAGCGTAAATTTTTGCTTGACAAATCATTGTATTCAATCCACTTTTGTATCTCCGGCGGCACATCGGGTTTCAACTTTACGCGCGTCTGCCCATTCTCGGCCACATCCAGATTTGTTGTGGTCACCGCACTATTGTCCAGGCTCACTGTGGAGCTAACCGTGTTGTGCGACGCTTGCAGTTGCATACTTTTGGGTGCCAGCAGGTCATTCATCACCTCCTCCGCTGAGCAATCGACGATGCGCTGCCGGCAAATTGCAATGGCGTGCACGAATTGATCGGAGGGTCGCACGAAACGATGCTCCATGTAAACGGATTGTTCGTCCCAGTAGATGATCTGCGAAGAAGAAGTAAAAAGATAGAGAAGGGTTAAAATAAAGTATAAATGTAGGGATGCTATTTATTTGCTTTATAGTTCGCACTCACGCGCGATTGTATGTGAAAACGGTGATAGGGTCTGATAAATCGCCGATAACGTATGGTAGCTGCCCCCTGAAAAACTGAGCCACCTTTCCGTTTTATGGTGCGATACAAATCTGTGCGCTCGTAGAAATCCACGCGTGCAAAATCCAATTCTCGCAAATAGCGCGCATTGTTCATGTGATAGAGCAGCCAATCGATGTCATTGGTGAGGCAGAGGCCTGCGAAAATAATAAAAATTAGTTTCAGCGAATTAGAAATTATCGCATAAATGGCAAAAAGAAAACGTGACGCGGTCTTTCGAGATCTTTCAATATCTAAAGCTGGAAAATAATTAAATACCTTCTGAATTTTGTCTTAAATTTTTATGCTCGGCATTTCTTCTATTTTATTTTAAAAAAAATTTTCCACTATTATTAAACTATTAAGAGAATCGCTAATATTACGTATACGCAGAGTAGTCCCGAACAAATCATCATCCTAACAATAAAGAAGTTACATATACGCAGTGTACGTCCCAAAAACCTGCAGAAATTTTTGCACGTATTCTATTCTTTTCTAGCCCTTAAAAGTAACAACTCAGTATTACAATAACACTCATGCACACAAATGTGTTGTACTTCAATACTAATGCAGCGCAGTTGGTGTCAATAATGACATTTATTCATAAATTTACATTCCTTCAACGACATTACCTTGAACTTGGCTAAACTAATCACTGAAATGAGTAATAGGAGGCCACGTTTGTAGCGTTACGATTCGCGTCAAGCGCTACTTGCCACCAAAGCTGACTGTGATAATGTCAACGTCAAAGTGGCTAAGAAATATTCACTTCGAAACACATACACACATAGCATATATAGATGATTGTAGATATGGCATTAATGGAGAATTGGCGAACACTTTCGTTTATTACAAAAACAAGGAAAATAAAAAATGTTCGTGCTATTGCTTAGCCAAAGCAAATGGAAATCGAGTAGAGGATAGCAACATGAAAGTACTACATACGAATGCGATATTCAAACCACAATGGAAAGTGTTTAGTGAAATGTTTAATTTATAAAATTGCTGCTTATATTAATTAGAATATTAATTATTCTGTACACTAATTTATTTTTTAGTATTGAAAGGAAGACTGGAATATTTGTGTAAATACAATATTATAAGCCAGCATTACTTGCAAATCATGATTTCCCTATGGGCCCTTTTGAGAATGCAAACTATGGCGATGGCCAAATAATGCTCGTGTTGGCGCTTACGTAAGCGCCAGTGCACGTGTCAATCACATGTGGCAACAGCAGCTGAGCTACCGAAACTATCTACTATACATTCTTTAACGGCACTTTGCCACAAACGTGCTTAGTGCATACCTTTCAGCAGAATATTTCATTTGCCTGTTTTCTATTCTAATTTCACCAGTTTTAAGAACTAAAAAGAAACACATGAAACCATGTTTATTTCGCTGTTTATGCTCAAATAAGTTAAGAATATCAAAAGGCAACAATCAAAGTATCTTACAAGTATAACAAGTTCTAAGGTGTTCAAGTTCATACTTAACTTATAAATAATAATTTTATGTAATATTTTATACCTTTTGGACTCAAAGCTAAATTTTTCTAATCGAAAGGAAGAATTAGAAGATTTCCGACCAATTTAGATATACCTAATACTAATAGACTTCTTTAAACTCTAGTCTCATGTATGAGCAAAATGTGGAGGTTCTCTGTTTTCTCGATTACACAACCTGTGTAGGTTGATTCCCAAACTTATTTTTCAACATTTTAATTAAGATATAATAATGATTCTTAATGTGCTCGTTTTTGTTGTCACTTGCAAATAATGAGTAAGGAGATTTATTCAGAGATCTGTTTCCAGATAAATTTCTGCAAAAAGTGCGCAGCCACACGCCTAAATGGCGCCACTAACGTAAGATATATTTACTACTAGTGTATAGTATATTCTCATAGACGACTACATTCAAAGTTCCAATCAAATCGAATCAGAATTGTGTTTCTTTTTGGACCGCAGATGTAAGAGAACATGTCCGATGAAAAAATTGCAATATCGGTTGATGTTCGATTCTTCTATTTGGAAAGGAAATTGCCCAGTAACATCAAAGAGCAGTTGAATACTGTATACGATAACTCGTCTTTATGACGTTGACGTCAAAAGGGGTATCACGCCTGTTTCTAGGTAAAATATACCAAATTAACTTTATAACGTAAAAATATCGGACCGAAAATTAGTCAACACTCAGCCGGAATATATAACTATACTAACTTATGTTCTGCTATTCTATTCTGTATATAAAGTTTACAAGTTTTTGCTATAATAAAGATATGGTAGACAACTCTTAACATTGACCTTTAATTCATACAAATTGCATCTAATAGTCGGCTGATCACGAATATAGACCGGCCTTACTTGTTATTATTATAATAAATATTAGTTGTTTTTTTTCAGCAAAACTTACCAGCAACTGTGGTCGTCTCCAAAATATGGCACTTTCGCTTGACGAAGCGCGCCAGAATCACACAAAGGCACATACGCAGGAAGTAATGAAGTTCGAAGAGGGCATAGAGCACTAGCCCAGTAATCAGCAAATAACACCACCAAGGCAGCATAATTGGAAGCGTATAACCAATATATATATTATATATATATTTATATGTACTTATATGTGAATGGATGTTTGTGTGTTTAAATAAGTCGAGCTTGCGTGCTAAAACCGGCAACGGAACCAACTCGAAGGAGCAACAAATATTATTTGATCGACTGCTTTTCCAACCGCTAGCGTGACAAGCGAGCAGTTGCACTACAGCATTTTGTTATTGTTGTTACTTTTAATTGCGGTTGGCTTATGTATAATTAGCTGCACTAGTATGGATTCGAAACTGTAATTACTCTATGCATTACAGTGGCTTTGTTGCACAATCAAAAAGGATTCACGGCTCCACCAAAGGGTGACTTTGACGTTGTAGGGTTGAATTTGATTTTTGTTTTTGTGTTTTTTCGAGTGTGTTTTGTACTTTTAGTAATTTTCGCCGTTAATTTTCAATTAATTTAAATAAATTTTTACTAAACTATTTTTCTTTTATAATTTCGTTAGTTTTTGTTTTTTTCTTTTTGGCATTTGGTGGGAGATTAACAAGAGTAAGTTAAATTTACCGTTTCTGAAGTTTACATAGTAATTATTATTTTACACTTTTGTTGTGCCACTTTCCGACAACTTTTTTCTTACTTCTCTTATTTTTAGCTCACCAAATATCATTTGGGTGCTGTTTTTTATATTCCTATTACTGTCAACTTGTTTGTCTTTTCTTTCGTGCTTATCAAAATTGGGTCATGATCCTTTCCATTTCAGTGTCAGCTTGACGTTTAGTGGAAACGGAAGGGAGCACACTGGCAACATACGCTTATATGAACATCATAACTGTATATATGCACGAGTATAAGCATCCTTAGTCACACCGTTTACTACAATTGCTCTATATTACTTTTTTTCTTCTGGTAGTTGCCACCGCCACTTCTCCGCAGCGTTATTCACCGATAGGTCAGGTGATGTTGCAAGTAATGTTGCAATGAATTCAAGTTTAATAATTGTTGCCGTTTTTTGAGCAAAACACTGTCATAGTTCTTCCTTCATGTTGTGTACACAAAGCAAAATGCCTCTTACATACAGACATATGTATATGTGTGTATGAGTGTATATACACATTTAAGGAGTGCTAATATTTGATATATTGACCGAAAAACTTTGTATACAAAAATTTGCGGAAGTGTTTTTTCGCTTTTTGCATATTTTTTATTTGCAGAAAGTTTCTCACTTTATACGCCTAAAAGCAAACAACGAAATGTTAAAAACAAAAAAATTTCTTCGACGTCAATTTCACCACCACTAAATGCCACTTTGTGGGTCTGAATGTGCATAATAATTACTAAGTATTTAATTTCATTAATTCTCTACGATTTTCACTTGTTTCTGAAGCGCAACATTTCGTGGCCGCAACTAAATAACTACTAAGCAATTTGACGCTGGAAAAATTTTGAGTCCTCAGGATTATTATTGCGAACATTTTGACATTTCCTCTGCTCTTTGTAAGCGTCTGCGCAGTAGTGAGACGAAAGAGCGTGCAACACGTGGGAGACTTCTATATTAGCAACAATAACAATAACAAAATACCAGCGGTTTGTATTGTGCAAGGAAAAGAGGGAAATAACAAAGCAAGATGATAATAAAAATGTTGTGATCTCTTAACCAAAAGGAAAAACAGCGACAGACAAAAGTACCGAATGACTAACCTACCACAAGGCTAGGTATAAAGATACATATATGGTAGCAATGTCTTATGCCGCTACAAAATTATCATCAAGGGTGGCTTAGCACACGACTAAAGACTTCACCAATTTTTGATGGAGCCAGAGACCCTTAAGTTGTGCCAAACTCCCTTAACTCCGTAAACTCATTTTCATCTAACAGGTAATATAAACACATTCTTACATATTTGTTTCTTAATTTATTTTTCAAAAAAGTTAGTTAAGTAGTTTATACATTGCAAGTTATTACCACAAGTCAATAATATTTATCTTATTAAATTAATATTTTTGTGTGTATATGTATTTATAAATCAATAAAAGGCGCACTTTACACGGAATTTAAATTATTACAGGTTTATTATTGAACACTTTATTTACGCTTTAGGCGGTAAGCTTGAAGGGGAAGTTAATGGGGAGCGAAATTTACAAGGGAGTTGCAAACAATAATTGTCTATTAACAGTTATAAAATATTTGTATAACTCTGACTGTGGAAACTAAATCTTTGTACGAGTAATGTAACGGTTTGTGTAGGCATATTCTGCTTTTGTTCGATTTATTTCAGTTTAACTAATAAATAACAGTAACTGCGATGAAAATAGCTAAAAGAAAAAATAGCCAACAAAATATATTTTGACTCGCACTCGACACTCGTCAGCAATAAATACTCAATAACGTTTAATGAATCAGTAAATATGCGCATTTAACAATTTCTGATTTTTCAGCCATTCATTTCAAGTCAATGTGTAATTTTATTTTCTACTTCTGCGCACTGCGTTTACTTTCTAACTGTTGTCCGTATGGTTTCTGTATGCGCTTAGCTGTGAGTATGAGGGTTTAGGCGGCTATTTTATTTCATTATTTATGTTTCTATTTTTTCTTCTCTAAATGAGGCGTATTCTGGCATAATTTAGCACTTCACGAATAAAATTTCAAATTGCTCTTAAACGAAAATGCGCCTTTCTACTTTTGGCTGACGTTAGGCATTTCATCAATTAATATATAATATATGTTTATAAATACTAAATTTAGAGTTATATTTCACGTCCCATATTATGTGCTACTTTCGCAAATTATGTCTAATAATTATATAAAAATTTACAACTCCAAATGTAACCTTTTAACGGTATGCAATTTCAAGGTTATATTTAAAATGCGGCTGCTTTTTCATTAAGTTACCTACTTGCAATTAAAGGGTTCTTGCACTCATCTTAAGCAGCATGAATTACAGTTATCAAGAAATACATTAAATCGGGCGCTGTTATTCACCACTAAGCGATCGGTTTTGATTAATTTCTGCAGCCGACATCAAACTGGCGAATTTGTATAACAAAAACTATTATGCGACAAAATTTTAGTGATAAATTAAAAAAACAAAAAAAAAAAGAAAACAACAACTCAGGTGTGGCTTCGTGTGCTCAAGAAAGTATAACGTACTCTAATTTTGCAAATTATCAAATATTGATTAAACAAATATTTCACTTTGCGGTAACTTAAACATAAAGTCACAATAAAGCTGCAGTTGTCGTTTTTTCTTGCATAAGATAATCACTACAATCACTATTTAACTTAATTGCACTACATAAATGTACGTATGTAAGTGTACATTAGCCGTCGTATATATTTACATATGAGCCGAAATATGTATGCATATTGTAAATGTTAGCTTAATATTACAATTATTTTTTTTTTTATGTTGTGTGTTGCTTTCTTTTATATAAACCATTACTATATAACTATGTAAATATTTTTGTAAACTTATTTGTGTGTATATGCATTTTCAGCGTCGTTATCAATTTTTTATGTGTGTATATAAGCAAAATTAGTTGCGTCGCTGTTTTAGTTCCTTATTCATTTGTGTTTTTGCACATTTGTTAATCCAAGACATTTGACAGTTTCCAAGCACAACAATAATTACAGTTAATTCACAAATTCGTAGCCGATTATTCAAGGACAACAACTTAATTTAATTACTGGTATATTAAGGAATATACGTAGATAACCTTTATCAACGGAGGTTCTTGATATTCTATATAATAAACTGCTTAATGCTCGTCATGCTGGTGAATATGACAAAGCTCATCAAAATTACAACTCGAAACATGTTTTTCATATTGCTCTTTTAGTGTTTTCAAGCTGCAGAGATCTTGATCTTGCGGACAGCCGGGCAAGCGAATCGGGCGTTCCTGATGCAACGTTAATACCATAGGACCATTTTCATTATTACACCTAAGAAGCGGAGGATTATTATATATATATAATATATAACAAATTTTAATGATTGACTTACTCATACAGCACAAAAGCTAAATTCGTGGCGAATGCGTCGATTATGCTAGTACGCCAGGCGCGTTCACGCCCAAAATCACGATATGTCAAAGGCTCTGCATCTTTATAAAGACCAAGATGCGCCAAAACCTTTAACAAAGTGCCAGAGTGAGTAAAGTAAAATGTAGCATTCGATTTGTTGGAATTTGGACTATAAAACAAATTAAAAAGTTTATTAGTTATGTATAAAAAAAATAAAAATATTATATTATATTTATAAAAAAAAAAAATTTATAAAAAAAAAAATTATATTTATATAAAAAAAACATTATATATAAAAAAAAAATTATATATAAAAAAAATTATATACAAAAAAAATTCAGTAGTTTATTTAAATTTAGTTAGAAAAAAATGTTTAGCGTAAACTAATAAACGACTCGAACGGGTTTGGGAATGTATTCGAAATAAGGAAAATATAGCGCATTAATTATTAATTTCGCATATTTTCCATCGCTTTATACTACACTACTCCCATTGTACTCACTCAATATATTCAAACATATTTTTAATCGCTGCACAGGCCATGCGATGGGTGATTTCATAACCATAGCCGTCATTCCAAAAATACTCTAGATCTTCGAAAAATTCGAAAGCTTTGATCGTGTCCCGATTAAAAAGACTACACCACACAGAAGGTTCTTGACCACGATTCCAAGCTGTTTCAAACCCGCATATCGTATAGATGAGCTTTGCGTCTTCGGCGGTGATATTTTGAATTTGAGTGCGATGACGAATATAGTTAACGGCATCAATTATTTCGGGTTCGTGCAGAAAACGTTCTGAATTGTCAAATGTCTTTGGATTTTTATCAACATCGATTTTCCATTTGTTGCAAAGTTTATAAAACTGCAATGAAACAAAGAGAGCAAAGTAAAAACTAGCAAAGAAAGAGTAAAATGAAATCAAATAATTAAGAAACTTCTCCATGCACACATACTAAAAACTAGTGCTACAAAATCATGATAAAACACTTTTTTATGGAACTTTTATTTTCACAGAAGTCTGTTCAAAACACACTGTCTAATTGACAGCTCATCATTTGGCCCGATTCATGTACCTGCAGCAGGTTCGTAAACGACGACTGTGTTGTCGACACAACCCACCGCCAGAGCGGCCTTGTGCGAGTGGAACGACAAACAGGTCGGATAGCCTATTTTCGTGCCCATAAAGCCCTCATTGCCGCGCAATGTGTTGAGCGCTCGCCCGTTCTCCTGATGCAGCGCAATGCCCTGAGCACTGCCGCACGCCAAGAGGTCTGCTGACGGATGACTAGCAATCACGGCTACATCAACGTTCGCCTCCCAGCTCTGCACTGCAGCTGCTTGCCGCAAGTCGAAGACACGCATTCGACCTTGTGAACAACCGGTGACCAGCATTGGTTGATTCTCCTTCATGCATGCAGATAATATGGCACCGGTGTGCTCGCGAAACACACAAATGCGCGACTCTTGCGGCGACTGTCGTTTGTCAAACAGGCGCACACTCCCATCAGCACAACCCGCCACCACAATGCTGCTGTTAAGATTGTATGAGAATGGTGCCAGCACCTGTACGCTCGTCTCACTGCCAATCGGTATGTCACAGTGTTTCAGCTCACGTTCAACATCCCAAATGCGTAGGTAACGTGAAATTCCACCACCCACCACCAAGTGCTGTCGACATTGCTGCCAAGCAGTAACTATGCCCGTGCGCATCATATCACGACGGTGCTTCAGGGAAGACGAACCAGAGCCACTGCCACTGCCGCTGCCGCCACTACCATAGGAACTAGTACAGGCGGCATTCATTGCGGGTATACCCTCGAAGGCAGTGATTAGCTGCGACTCTGGATGATCATCTGTGCCGGGCTGCCAAACTCGCACCACACCGTCCTCATGACCGACCAGTATCAAGCCGATGTCCTGTGCATTCAAGAATTCAATGGCACTAACACGAGAAGTTAAGCTTTGCTGTTGTTGTTGTAAATATTGTTGCTGATGATGCTGCATGTGTGCTGACGGCGACGAGGACGCCCCACCGGATTCGCCCACATGGTTACGCGTCGCAGCACTGCTGCCCGCCTGTGGTATATAGGACCGCACCGAATTCCGAGCCCAATCGTACACGAGCACCTTTTCTTTATAGGCTACGGCTAGTTGCGGCTCGTATGGCAGTAATTTAACAATGGCAGGCGTGTGCTGTGTCTTCAGCATGCATATTTGGGTATCAATGCGGCTTCCGCGTATGTGTTGCTCTTTCGCTTGCCGACGTATCAGCTCGTTACGATGAAAACGAAAGTGGCGCGAGCGTAACTCAGGCGAATTCGTGTCGGCGGGAAACACCTGTTGTCCTTCCGTACCTTCTGCGGAGGCGTAGCGATTCTTTCCAGGTCGCATGAAGTACGAATTGGCCCATGATATGAACTCGGTTTGCAGAATAGGCTTAAGAACAAATTTCGGCTCGTAGTTGTTTTCGCTCGTGCTGCTGTGTGCTGAACGTGAACCGTCACCGCTGCCACTGCCGCCTACTGCATTGATACTTAAACCGGCAACACCACTGACGGCATTGCCAACGCCCAACATGCCGGTACTGCGACTACCATTTAGTTGTGCGCAACTGTCCGTTTCATCGCCCATCGAGGTAGTGCGCATTTTGCGTTGCAAAACACTTTGATGGTCGCCACTGTTTATTACATTGGCAGGTAGCAACTTTGTATTACGCAACTTGTTTGCCCAGTTGCTGATGTTTGGATGTCCAACTTGTACACCGCCGCCGCCTACTGGCGGTGACTCTCCACTTAAAAAAATGCCACGCGTTGACGGACTCGGTGGCAAACTGACACTTGAATTGCACTTGTCGCTGGTAGCTTCTTTGGCGGTAATCAAATCAACCGACTTATCGCGAACGTAAGCAATAATTTTCTGCGCTGTTGCAGCCACCTCCGGAAACGGATCATGACCCAGATTGTAAATACCTTGCCACAGACGCAAAAATATTGACTGAAATGGTATGGCACTGGAGACCATGTTTGATATAGAACTGGAGCTAGCGCCTCGACGCATAGACACATGGCGTTCCAAGCTGTGCGTCGAGTGGTGTACAATCGATGGGCTGGGCGTACTGGGCATGCCATGACTTATGCTGGCGCTGCGTTCACTACCGCTCACAGATGTGGTTAGTGCCAAAGCGGGATTCGAACTACTCATTTGCTCTTGCATATAAACAGTGACGAACTGCGACTCAAATAACAGCACCATCCATTGTAGCGCTGCCGCCAACTCTAAACGCACTAAAGGTGACATATCTTCACCCACTGTATCCAAGAGAGTGATGGCGATTATGCGATCAATATTATTTGCATGCTCCTCTCGATCCGTGACTGAACTGATAAAAGTGCCCAGCGCAAAGACAGCAGCTGCACGTACTTCCGGTATGGGATCCTTAAGTAGGGGATACAGTTTTTCGTGCGCCAAGTCGCGCACTCCAGACCAACGGGCTTTCTCGAAATTCTGCCAAAGCATTCCTGAGTGTTATAGTAAATAGAATTGTTAGGAAATTGGAAAAAGTATGTATATTGCATTTGCTTTAGCTTTTGATAAGCTTTGTTAAACAGCACGCGATGTAAAATTATATTTTATACATCAGGAGGAAGCTTTTAACCCGTTCCGCGTCACAAATATCATCAAAAGAGAAGCAAATCATAGACAACACTTAATAAATTATCGTACCTAAGCATATGGCCAGCCATTGCCGTAGTAGCCAGCTTTCATCGTTCAATTGCTCCAAACAAATCGACACCAATGAACCCTGCAAAGCGCTCGTTTTCCCCAGAAGGAAGTCATTAACTATGCAAGCCAACACAAATGCGGAGAGCGTGCGATGTTCCTTAGAAACTGATGTATCTTGCAGTACTGATAGAAAGTATTTATGCTCTTTGACCAAATCCACCTGACAATTTGGGTCGACTGCAAGTATTTTAGCCCATATAAATACCAGCACAGGGCGCAATTCTTTTGCGGAGCTTTGTAGAAGTTTAAGTACGTAAGGGAAGATGCCCACACCCAGAGCTAAATTCACCGCCCATGGACCCAAATCGAGGAAGCGTGCTAGTAGTTCTAAAGCACGTAAACGGTGCACTTGTGACAACAGGACTTGCAGAACTATAGGTAACTGCTCCGGTGGGGATCGTGATTCGGACTCACGATCGAGCCAAACTTGAAAAGCCGTTAATTGTTGTTCGAAAAATGGTAATTGACGATATGGTGCACCTTTCTCCAGTATTTCAGGCAATTGCTGTAAAGCGTAATCGACAACTAAATCCCAAGCAGACCACATATGATGCCGAAAGCAGGGCGGTAATGCTGGATGCGAAACAGGTGTGCAATCGTGGGAACGTAAAATTCTCTCTGCAAGTAGAAAGTTGCGAAATAGACTGGCAACTAGCAAATCCTGCCGAAATAAGCGCTGAAATAGTTCACGCGGTAAAGTGTTCCATGCAATGGTGTCGGTTATTGCAGTGAATATCCAATTCAACTCGCCCATCATTGTACGTCGATCGTTTACTTTTCCAGGTATTTTATCGACTTGCTCACTTTGAATGAGCGGTACTAATTCGAATTTCTCCTGCATCGTATACCATTTTAGTGCGATATTGATGGGTGTCGTTAGGCAGGAAGTAAAGAGATCTGCAGGAAGGTCGGCATTCATCGGCAATATCTCATTGACCGAACAGGCGGCCAAATGTATGCAATTTTTGTAGCTTACAAATGGCGTCAACAGAGAAGATGCCTGTCCAGATCCAATGCGTTGACTAGATCTTTCTAAGTCTCTTTCATGTTGTTCTGCAAATTGCTGGAACGAATTTATAATTATGCCGGCGTTTGAGCAATCGTATACGTAAATTGATGGTGCACCCATCCAGCTTTGCAACTCAAATATGCTCAAAGGTATGTATTGTGTGAACGTCTTATTGAACACCCAAATTTCACCATTTGCCGTGGGCTTTGGCACGCCATGTCCATTATAATGGAATAGTATGCGCTCACCTTTTGCATTGCGGCGCAGTGAAGTGCACAACTTCTTTACATCTTCAGATGTCGGATCATGACATTTCTTATAACGCGCACGAGGCTGCCAGCGTTCATATTGCATTTGCAGATTATTACCTATCAGTTCCATAGCTTTTGGTGCTGATACAGAAGACGGATCAACCCAACACTCCAGGCGTGCGCATGGCTGTATTTTCACGACGTCCGGTGGATCAACGCCTATGTTAAGGCACAGCACTAACACCACACTAGCAGTTTTCATACGTTCCCGTATGCGCCATGCTACCGCTTTGCATTTTATGCCTTCGATTCTCTCTTGATGTCGTTTAGCTTGAAAACAGAGTGGACAATGTTTGTCAGGCACTATAATACCAAAGGAGCCATTTGTCAACTGTTGTAGAATCGGTAGCATTTGTGGATTATCAGACATCGACGTTTTCCGGCTGCTAACCATGGAGGTAGAGAGACGTCCATAATTGCGAACACTTTCCATTTATATATCAAATTTCAGAAACAACACACTCCTTTTGATATATGGCAAATATCACTAACTGTCTGTCAAAAGGTCGATTATAAATGACCCTGACCGACTTAAGGCCGACTTTGCCTGTGACACTTATTTTCCTAATTATTAGGCTGAATTTCCAAATTTGAGTTGCTTATAAAATTTCTGCACTATGTAGGAATATAGCTGCGTCAAATATTTTTCTTCGATCGGTATATAACGCTCAGAACTTTGAAGCCGCTTTTTGGTTCAGACCCACCTAAGTCTGATATCCCGTAACTGTTCAATACACAGAGCAATACGTTTTGTCGATGGTGACTAATAACAAAGCACAATTTTTGCTAGATTCGCATTATAACACATCACTTTTGCGCATTTTGTATGCACTTAACGACTTTAATGCGTTTCCAATTTTTAATTACCACAATTTTTTTACTTTTAATTGAAAACCACGTTAGACTGAAAAATACGCAGCATTCTTTTAATTCTTTACCGCATTTGACGTTTCTATCAAATTTTATTGGTTATTCTGCTTTAATTGGCAGTTCGCGTCTTTTGTGTTTGCGTACCCCATTCGTCAATAACATTCGAGTTCAGCCGGTAGAGTTGCCGTTGTTTTTTAAGAGCACAGAAATATTAACCCTAAGACTACCTAAAGAAATTTTTCCATACTACAATTATTTCAAATGTGGTATAGGATTTCAGACTTTAATGAACAAGAGTAAACGATTTGAAAATATGTGCACTCACCCTTAAAACTGGATCCTTATGTAAAGCCTCTGGATATTCTACCGGTACAATGTTTTCTCTTCCAAAAAGGCCAGTGGTAAAACTCTCTGCGCTCTTTAGCGTGCGCTGCGTCTTCGTATATTTAAAATAATATAAGTTAGGATCATACTCGTCAACTAAAAGTTTTGGAAAACGATTTTGCATTCGCTCTGCCAATTCCTCCAACTCTTTCTCCCCTTCGATGGTAAGATATTTCTCTTCCTCGCTATTAGCATCAAAATGCCAACGGCGTAAACGAGCCAATTCTTCAGGGCATAACTTAGTTTGGGCGTTTGTTAAAATTTCCTTCTTCAATCGAACTAGCCTTGATTTTGCTCCCTCAATGTGCTCTTTACTTGGATTTCGCATACCATGTCTTATCACTGACCAAATGCGAGTAGGGCGACATTCTGTTTGAGAAAATTGTGAAATTAAATATGTTTTTTATAATTACTGTAGCTTTAAGCTTTTATATTGTAACATATCTATCGTACCTGGATAAGTTATGGGTTTATCGTCCAAGTTTGCTACAACGCGATAAGGAGTTTTCGTAGAAAGGTGAGACTCGATATCTTGTCGTTTTAGTTGTGAACATTGCGGCTCCAATAACAGCTCTACAGAATCCGACGCAACTTGCTCAATTTTTGCAACGGCATGTAACACAAAACACCCAATGTCAATCAGTAAAAACAAATAGACTAGGCACTTTATCATTTCTGCAGTATTCCACGTGAACAGTTGCAAAAATTTGTCAATTAAATAAAACAGGAAATTTAGTTAAATTATAAAATAGAAGAGGACACACAAATTATAAAAATTACACCGGGACAGAAGAAACAGTAAACAGTAAATAAAAAGAAATGTCAAATATGTAAACAAATCTTAAAAAATATATGTAAATAAATGAAGTGACAAACTGCCACAAAATCTCCAAAAACTATGAATTGCTGGCAAATACCGGCGTTAAGCATAATGAGTAATTACGGAGGGAACGTCTGGTAAGACTTAACGTTTTTAAATTATATTTCAATATTTATATAAAACATAAACATAAGTACATAAATTGTAGTTACTTTTTAATGTTTGCCAAACAATTTTTGAATTTTAAGCACTCCATAAAAGCAGTCAGGTCTAAGGAACCGGAACGGAAACTGATTTTTATTCAGCCAAGGACTGCCGACTCGGCACCATTCCTCGAAATTACTTGAGGGATTATTCCGCAGTTACTACAACAGCAGCGGTGTATACGGGAGCGTTTTATGTTCAAGGACGGACAAATTCCATATTATCTAAAACATTTCAGTTCTGGTCACCTTTTTTTATATGCGAAAATATAATATAATAACTAATATTATTTGTAATTTTCTGTACCACTATAAATATCAATAACCTTTTTAAAATTATAATAGAAAATTTCCTTGAATATACCAGTGCTATTGTGAAGATATAATAATCATAAAATTAGAAAACTATATATAATATAAACCAATCAAATAATTTTTATATGACTAAAAAAGTTTTCTTAAAACAGAAATGATGTAGAGTTGTTGTATATATCGTTTGGCAAACGGAGTGTTAGGAGTCAATAACCATATAATAAGTTAAGTTATAATAAACGGTAGTATGGTACATGGTTGAATATAAATTAGATTTAAAAAATCTTCGGGAATGACATCGAAATCAGCCAGCGTGTGTTGTGGCCCTCTACAGTTTCACTGCAAGTGTTAGAACTAAAGACATATAGCATACCGTCCTTTAAAATGCTAGCTGAAGTGATGAACAAACAGAATATTACAAATTAATTTTTTTTAATTTTAAAAACTTCGTTTTATGCACAAACAATTTATTCACAACTGTTTTTAAAACTTAGTGTGCTGTTATAGTTTAGTTTTTTAGTTTTACCATTTCAACTGATGGTGACATTCTTTACCTGTCTGTATCTTCTTATAACGATAACTTCGACCTCATACCCCACAAATTCCATATATACATTGATAATTATTTAAATATTTGCATACATAGCATATGTGCGCTCTAAATACACACACACAAACAACATGTGTAATCATCTGGCGCGCAACGACCAACCCCACTATTATCGGTTATAAAGCTGGCATATACTCGTATGTACTTCCATACATATGTACATGTGTGTGTATGTCATGGCCAAGTGCGTGGCCAACTCAGAACAGCGACAGCCGCAGCCAAAACAACAACAGCGCGAGCATTAAAAACGGCAGCAACAATGGCTGTATGCTTTTGAGCCAAATCGAGATGCGCTGCCATGGAATCAGTCGTTTGCGGGTAATCGAGCGAAATGGTTGAACGATTCGGCTTGGCATCACGAACGCAACAAAAGCCAATAGCAATAAAAACACACTAAATGTACTTGTAAATATTGCCAAAAATAATTATCTATGGAATATTATATGAATTCTTAAACGTAAGAATAGTGAAACGCGAAAACCAAACAAAACGCATAATCAAAATTAAGTGAGTGCACGTAAAAACCGAAAGCAGAGGCTTGTGTATGCATATTGCTTGAATATGGTTGCGAATTCATAAGTCAACACGAAGGATAACAGCCACATAGAGCGAAGTGCTGTTATATACGTATACTCGGATACGGTGGCGAATTGAGCGGCACACTTACAGTTATATGCATATATACAAACATATGTATGAATATGAGTAGAAAGTGTATTAGGTGCAAAACAGAAAAAAAAGTAGCAAAGTGAAAAAATAAATAATGAATTCGTACGTAAATATATATATGTGTCTGCATATGTTTGTACGCCTAATATGTATCTATTAATACCGCTTCGTATATAATTCTGTGTATGTGTAAATACATTTTGTGGCTGGCTGGCAGCGTGTGCATGTATGTATGTCTGTATGGCCATAAGTGGTACACAACTGATTAGTAACTGAGTCGGTGCATGCTGCCCGCCACCCCCTCACCACCTTTGAAGCGATTTTTATTGACCGCAAAAACTTGTGTTAAATGCACGTTAAATAGAACTGTGAATTGAAAGCCGCAATAAATTTAGGGTGCTTGTGCTTTTAAGCCACATTCAGCGCGCTGGGGCACGTAGCGCGTGCCAACAAAAGCAAACATATGTCGACGGTAAATCATGGGCAAACAGCTGCGAAAAATACTCAACAACTCAAACCAGTTTCACAAATTAGACAATCGCCTGTTGCGCATCATTGGCCGAGTGGCGTACGGTGTCTGCTGCTGCCGCAAGGGTGTCCCAAGGGACACGACATAACATAGCCCATTGGCTTGTTGTTGTTTTAGTTGTTGTGCGTTATATTTACGTTGCTTTGCGCCAAAAATGATTCAGTGAAGTTTCGGGTTCATTGTTGTGATTAAATGTTGTTAATGCTCAGCACACATATAATATTAGCATGCCAATAACAGTATATAATCAGGCACATATGACATAAGTATGTACGGATTTACATAGCTTTGTATATAAATCAACTTTGACAGCGTGACAATGTACAGTGAAATGAATTCTCTAAACTAAGTCATTACGTACAGATTGTAATAAAAAAGACTGACAAAAATATCAAATAAGCATTGCAAAACTATTTTAAGTTATGCCGATGTTAATGTTAAATTTAACAAGAGAGAACATTAACTTCAGCTATAATACCCTTCATAGGTGCGTTTCTTATAACAACTATATGTGTAACTAAATCTTGAAACGTAGCTAGCCAACAGTTGGCACCAACGGGAAATGTTTTGCTAGTTTCTTTCAATTTGATATACATAATAATAATAACCAACAAGTCGAATTAAGGCTTCTTAATAATGGATGTGGCAAACTTAATTTATGCTGTTCAGGGTATAAAATTTCTAAGTTTAACTTTCATATTGGAAAAGTGATACGTAGAAGAGTCCGTCACTTCTGTAGGTTGTGCTTGAGCTTCGCTCTATTGTCGATGTACAGAAGCGTTTATGAGGATAGCTCTTATAGTAGTATAACTCTTTCTATTGTATTATAGTTTCATTTGGTAATGCCAGCCCAATTATCAAATTTTGGCTTGAACATTCTTTGCCAAAATTTTAGAATATATGTACAAGTATATAGAACTTCTTACATAGCAGTAATATTCAAGCAAGTGAGTTCGACAGGTTGGATCTGCCCATGGCAGAAGGTAGCCATTATTGTTTAAAGATTGTTGTTTCATAAAACCGTAAATAACCATCATCAGTACAATATTTTATAGAAATTTATCCAAACTCGTTTCACAGTTCTAAGTGCACACTTTCTTCAGTATATTGATTTCACTTTCAAATACACATACATATGTTTGTATGCACAACTCACACACGCCAGTAATAAATTAATTTGTTGCCCCCGTGGTGGCATTAATAACAAAATCAGACACAGCATAAGCATATGCTGTAGATTAATCTAAAACACAGATTTGTCGGTGTCTGACGAGTGTCCTCATTGCGCCATGTAGCGCCAAGCATGCAAAATCGTCACCACAAAACAGCGAGTGCCGCAGAGATTAAGTCACAAAGAAATAGAGAGTAAACGTACTTGTGCCGAAAATAGCCGCGTCGTCTACAAACAAAATAAATCACCATTGGTGCGAAAACTAAGAAATTCTTGTTTGAAAAATGTCAAGAGAAAATAAAAAAATAAATATCAGAATACATAAACAAAAGACAAATAAATTACGTACAGATTTAATACGTGGCGGCAAAAAGTGACAATATAACAAATTATAAATGACGACTTTCCTCATTTTATTGCATATATTCGTACATAATTACTTTCTTATTTGATTTCGCTCAATAAACGAGTATAAGTATATTTCGCTTTTAACGGCAGCCTGCAATGATTTGATAACAAAATGCAAATCCTATAATTTGGTTTTAGTGCGGCACCTTACAGCAGCAGCGCGGCGACGTCGCATGCGGCGAAATTGTCGGTAAAAAGTGATATACGGTAATCAAGTGACGATTGTTGAATATTCATGATGGCATAAAAAGTCACTCATACGCCGTGTGGGTTGTGGGCGCGCCCCAGCCGCAACAATCCAGCCCACAGGTTGTTGCCTTATCGGCCGAGCCTTAACACTAACACAAGTGCGACGGAATATATGGCTACGAGGTCTCAAGTGCAAATGTATTTATGCGTGTATATAAGTAGCTGTACCCTTAGGCAGTCATGTGTCAGTGGCAGCGTCTACATGTTTCTACAATATATTGTAGTCAATGAAGTAGCATTTGTAAACACTGCCTTAAGGCACGTATGTATGTACATATGTATTTAATATTACAAAGTATATACGTTCATTATGTACCGCTATAAAAATATACAAGGCAATAATGCAACAGTGGAAATAATAATTAAATACGCTGTCGTTAAGTACAATGTTAAATATATAGGTATATATACATATATCAGCTTTATGTAGGTACATATATGCATATAGATATTTCAGTAGATAGAATTTCTGCGGTTTCGCATTTTAACACCCATTATTTTTGTATTGGCTTCTACAAGTACTTATGGTAAAGTCTTTGCAGTAAATCAAATTTACGACGCGGCTTTGCAATGTCCATCACTAGCCGTGCTGAGTATTTGTTTATAATAATATGCAGTATGCTAAAGTGTTTAAGTCGATTTAAGTCACTAAAGACTATTTTAGTGATTTCAACTAAATTATACGGAATTTGACGTTTAGCTTTATCTTAAATGGTGCTTTTAAACTTGAATCCTCAAATACCTGTACAATAGTGTTCAAACATAAGCTTTCGTTGTTTCGCTGGGAATCAAATATCTGTCGTAGCAGAAGTCGACTTAAGCTATTTCAACAAATCGCCACAGTTATATCGTTATCTATTATCGATTCACTTTTTTATTATAATCAAAATTGCTTTATACATACATACATATAATTGCACCTAGTGGGAGTGATCAATTTTATTGAAATATCATGTATGTATGTATTTATGTCAACCAAACCCATATAAGTAATCCCTAAAGCATGTGCCGTCGTACATTCACGAGATAGGACCGATAAGATTTTTCCATCGGCAGTCAGCATGTAATCAAAAATATACATATCTGCTAGTATATTTGTATATAAGTGTATATAAGTCGCTAGTAATAAGTCAATGCAAAGCAATGGTATATAAACGTGTTCGCGCGGTCCAAATAAATGCACGGATATACGTAAATAATTACTGAAAGTGATATAAAATATTGCACAGATTCTATATGCAAGCATCAAAAATGTGTTATGATGTATCTACTAAATGTATATTTAGGCATTTCGAAATATGCTTTATACTTATAGTATATTGGAATAAACAATAATTCTATCTATTATTGGCCACTAACTTGTTGTATTAAGTCACACGTTAATTAAATGTTGATATTTTTATTTTCAAAATCTTTAGGGTATTAGTATATTCAGTTCTCATTTTCTTCTCATTGAGAATGTTTATATACTTCAGACCATAAGATAATAGAGATATTGTTAACAAACACAATCGAAATTATTAGCTTAGTTAAAATTTTGCAAATAAAAATACATTTATTAAAACAGTACATTTGGAATTTCCTTATGTCTGACAACTCGATTTCTTCTTGAATATGCTGTAGATCCATCAAAGAAGATAAACTTAAGACACAGCTGAAATCACATATCTCCGGATCTACAAGATCCTACTTATGAGAATGGGCGCAATCGGATTACAACCACGCCTACTTCCCATATAGCAAAATTTTAAATGCCATATGATTCTTTCACTTGCCAGTACACAAATTAAGCTCCAATGAATATATCCCGTTGCAACTTTGCACAAATAATCTTTGTGTAAAAAGTGGGTTGAATCGGGTTAATACTTCTCTTAGCTCCCATTTAGCTAATATGAAGATTTTCGAACTTCCAGTTGACTTTATACCACATATATCGGCCAATATTGGAATTATTTTAGTGAAATTGAGAGAGCGTATTTTTCTAATAACAGTGTGCCTTTGTGTTCAAAACGGATAAGATTGGACGTAAACTTGCCTTAGCCCCCATATAACTGATATTCGGGATTTTGAAACACCCGGCTGACTTTATTCCATATATATAATATGTTTATATTTGTATATCTATAAAATTGTTTGGAAATGAATTATCAAGTATACCTGAGCAATGTCAGAAATTAATGCAATCAGCCCTTTCATTTCGCTGCCTCCAATATATCCTATATAATGGTTTCCGACTTTTCACCTGGCTCTTAACCATTTAGGTTGGTCAAAATGTGTGATATTTTAATGAAATTACGTCGACCGGTTTTCATAATATTTATATAATTATATTAATGGATTGCCGATCAAAATAAAATAAGTCTTGGTTTAAACCTCATATGCCTAATATAATAAATTTCGATCCTTTGGTTGACGTTTTTCACATCAACTCTATATAATAAATTTAACCTCTTCGGTTGAGTTTATACTTGTATCACATATATCTCATTTGAATATGATTTAAATATATATTTCGCCGATGGGAAGTAAAATATAGTAATAACACCAAGTGAGTCTATGACCATCAAAATAAGAGAAAATTATACCAAATTGATTGTAATCCATTTACGATTTAGTGAACAATGAAGTTGAACCCTTTTGCTACATTTTTTAATATTACCAACACTTGAAGGTATTGAACCGGCTTTGATCCTTGCAAGTCACAAGAGTATGAAATGTTCGGTTGCACCGGAACTTAGCTCTTACTTATTTGTTTCTCTTATGCTCATCTTCTTCTATTTCGTTTATTTAATTTATGCATAATTCAAGATCGATCTTTAAAATAAGCTAAGAAATAATTCCAAGTTCATTTGAACACTAAATCAACAACTCACCAAAGGAACTTATGCACAAAAAATATAAATGTGTCTAAATATAAAACACTTATAAATACATGGACTTAGGTAAACCCCCTTTTACAGCACTTGGACGTAAGCACTAAAACTCAAGTAGAATTGAATAATCAAAAGCTGATTTTGTTTTGGTTCGAGAGATTTTGTCTTAACAATTTATCCATAAAGCACATGCTATATATGTATGTTATAATTCAAGTTAGTGTTGAAGTGGTGGTGTAGAAGACAGATGATACTCTAAATATTATTCTGGATGCAGAAATTATACAGAACATCCAAATATAGACCAAGAAGGCTCAACATTGTTTCGTCTTTAACTCTGGCGGAGTTTGCAAAACGTGCAAACGTTACAAAAATTTATACAATAAATATATTGCCTGTTGATATTTCTAAAACATGCCAATTATACATACTTTTAAATGCGTTTCTTCACATTTAAATAAAGAAATGAAATAATGAAAAAAGTTCAAAATTCTCAAATAAAACAATTAAAATTTTAATTAAAATAAACTTACAGTGTGCATATTATTAATTGGCTACAAATAGTATCAGCCGCAAAGCATGCGCAAACAAACTCTTTATTACACCTCGAGTACAACACTGTGGCCAGAGGCACCACACTGGCCCCCCCTTTTGTGCCCAGCACATAAATGAGCAAGGATAACATAATGGCTTACTTGGCTTGCTGAGGCTTCGCTCCGTTCTGCTGTCAGTGTCAGTTCGACTTGTTTACTTTTTCTTCTACACAGTGTGCGCTGTGTTTGTGCAAGCATACATACACACATACACATGTAGATATGTTTGTGTGACCATTATCACTGTGCTGTTGCTGTAGCTTGTGCTTCTTCTTTCACTTTGTTGTTTTTATGCTCCTACTGCTACGGCAAGTGCGGTGCTGTGCTGTTTTAATGGCTCCATATGGTGTACACGCGACTCAGAAAAGCTCTCAGCACTTTTAATTTAAAAGCTAAGGATGTGACATGCCAGCGCTCAGTCGCAACGCAGCGTCACGCGAGTGCAGTACGCCGAAAGTGAAGCAAAGGAGAACACCAAACTCAAGCAGTCTTTCATTCTGGTGACTAGTAATGGCAACGAGTTGCAACAGTGAATGAGTGCAGTGGTGAATTTTTGTGAGTGGCACTAGCTCTCTTAATTAACAACTTAGTAGTCAACAAAGTTACTCAACAATTGCAGCGCATAATTTCTACGAATGCAAACGGATTCGCGAGTCAATAGTTTCTAAAGCAAGCCTCAGGCCTAGTAGTTCACTAATTAAGAGGAAAATGAAATTTGAACAACACAGCGTTTCTAAATTCTAAACTCATTAAGTTCACAAAGCGTTAATGAAGAACTAATAAATAAACAACTAATTAACATACAAAACGCTGCGGCTGAAAAGAGCGGCAACATCCAAATTTCAAAACCAAACAAGTGCTGTTCGAGCAGTGTAACAACAAATGTAACAAAAACATAACAATTGTATAATTTCGCAAATATTAATGAAGATTTATTCATTACGCCCGCGGCTGGCTGCTGCAGTAACTTGCGTTTGTGTGTCCGGCAGTAATTTATGGAGCGATCGTTCCATCTCGTTTCGAGTTACTCAAAGAAGCCACTGCTGCTTGAATTTGGTTTTTTTGTTTTTACTTTCAACTGTGCTGCTAATTGGTGGCTCTTCCGACCAGATTTACTGTAGCGGCTGAAATGACATAAATAAAAACAAAAAGAACAAATGTGCCGGCAGCTCAGCAAAACAGCAAGTTCCAGCCGGTATTTTATATGTACGACTATTTTGCAACTGGAAACAAGTTCTGAAATGCACACGCACACATGCGCCCACCTGATACACATACAAGTACATACGCTTGAGACAAATGAATACAAAAATTCGCGTGGCTATTTAATTTTGTGACAACATATTGTTTGTATTTTGTATTTGTTTGCAATTTTCGAAAATGTACTTTAGCTAGCTTAACGTGAGTGATTTCTAGTATTTCAGTGGCTTTTTAAGCAATAAGATTCGAATTTTGTACCGACAAGTCGACCCTGATCGGTGCTTAAAAATTGAACATAAATTGTTATCTTGTTGTTTGTTAAATTGTTAGAAGTGGAGATTTTGATTTGCTGTTATGCATTTTGTAATTGCAAACAAATATTTTTGAGTCATAAGTCGTACAAGGTTTTCCAATAAGAGTGATATGATTTAAAAAAAAACACACTATTTGTTAAGAATATTCAAATGTTATTTATTTATTGAAGTACAATCGATACAATTAAGTTCTGAATATAACATTCAACAAGGAACGAACTCGATGAATTCACTTCAATTTTTCCACTAAACCAAGTCGTATGTCATGAATAGCACCTTCAATATTGACTTTTAAAGCTTGAAGAGTTTCTGGCTTATATGGCTAAAGATCAACTACTTCAAATAACTCCACAAGAAGTAGTCTAATAGTATTAAATCACAACTTCTTGAAGGCCTTGCATTTTTTGTAGCCCCGTCTTGTTGGAACCAGATGTTGTCAAGATCAACTTTTTTCAATTGCGGCCATAAAAGGTTGGTTTTCATCGAACTATATACACCAGCTACGTTTCAAAAGAAGTACGAACCGATGATTCCACCAAACTGTCAATTTAGGTGAATGTAAAGGTTGTTCATGAATAATTTGTGGATTTTCATCGCACCAGAATCGACAGTTTTGTTTATTATAGCGAGCACAGGTGGACGGTTATTGCGATATTTGATAATAAAATTGAATAATTTTTAAACGTAGTTCTTGCGTATATCTTTCCATGATGAAATAGTAAAGATTGCTGAATACAATGAAAAAACTTACAGATCATGACATATTAAAAATGGCAGAAACGACACTTAGAGATCATATCATCCCTATTGGAAAACCCGATACTTTACACCAAATTTTTTATCGCGGATTTTTACTAGTTATGAGGTGGGTTAACCCTTGAGCCAATCACATTATGTTTCGGTAATAATCAAAAATAAAAATATTTTATTGTTATGTAGATATTGAATAGTTATCGGGATGTCCTGTAACAGTCTGACAAATTTTGTGAACAAAATTAAAATTCTTTTTAACATTCAAACTAAGTGCATTATTTCAGTTCTTATTTTCTCATTTAATTTAATTGATTTAATATGTTATAAGGCAGGTTGGTTTGTTCATGTTAGCGAAAACATTTTCATTACATATTTTTACGTGATGAATTTACAAGAAAGCAAATGAATGATATTTACAAAGCGTTTTTTTTCTATTGATCATTGACGATAATCACATGGAAGCCACAACAGAAATAGTATATGTTTTTTCTCACTTTAAAAATATGTAAGGGATTCTAATTTACTTGTTGCAATATGTATTGCAAAAAATTGTTTTAGTTATGCTCACATCAGAGAGAAAGAATGAAAATAACTGACGTCGCAATAGCACTTTTTACCAGAAGTAATTTGTTGCTGTCACATAAAACTAACTTACAACAATGTGTTCAATCGACATAACCTTGCAAAGCACTAAAATGGATGTGTCAGCTACATGAAATTTAAAGGAAAGCGTTAAGTAAAAAAGAAGTGAATTATGTAGCCGAAAGGATAAGAAAGAGAGAATACATGGCAAGCCAATAAATTGTGAATTCCTTTACTTAGTCCAATATTTTTTCCGTGCATTCCTGTATACTTGGATAAAATGAACTAAAAAATCAGTGTATTGTAATTTAAGAATGGTGAATAGTGTGGTTATACACACACGCTAGATATGACGCCAATATCGTCATTAATTATAAAGTGCGCATAAAATTTAATACAACAGTTGTGAATAGTGTGACTGTAGTTTGGAAATGACTTTATGAAATATGAATATTTTAAAATTTCAAGTCTTAAAATCAACTTGAGTTTAAATTGGTTAAAAACGCATTTTCATGAAAACCAACTTACTTACTTAAATCTTCTCTTAATAATAATTCATATTATTAATACCATATACATAAGTCATTGAGTCTCGATCCTCAACTTCTTGCTTGTTGTAGAAGGCTGGCATGATTTTCTAAAAATTTTTTTATTTAATTGAAAATGGAAATTTATAAACAGTTTTAATAACTATCCTCTAAAATAATTTATAATTCGCAAATTCTTAAAATAATTTGTTTATAAGCATATTTTTGAGGTAATATGAACTTTTGGATTTCTAAATAAAAATTTTGTTGATTTCAAATTTTTATAGCATTTCAAATTGATTGTCGGCAAAATTCATATTTTTTTTTATGAAAAAAAAATGATAATATTATAAGACTGGCGTATCAATGTTTGCAGCTTACACACAAGCTTTCAATGCAGCAAATGTCGACATGCGAAACGATCAATCAATCTAGTTACTTATATATTATATGAGTGTTAATATGTGCATATGTATGTGTAATAAGGTAATTAGCAAGCAAATTGTAATAATTAATGACAAACTCAAAATTGTTAATTACAAATCCAATCGTGTAAAACAAGTAAAAGTAATATTAAATTATTAACATTCAAACAAGCGAATTCATCAAAATATTTACTTTCGTGTATGTCAATATATATCTAGGTATAAAAATGAACAACTTAAAGCAAAAATCCGAAAACAAAACGTGTTTAATCATATTTAAGTTCATTCAAAAAGATTAAATATATTTATATTATAGAAGCGAGTGAACTAAACAACCGCAATCGTAATAAATCACCCGTTCGATAAATCAAAAAAAACAGACAACTGCGGCCTCCTGATACCGAACAGTAATTAAGATAATTAGTAATCAATGAGCGCAGCTGTGAAAGTTTCAAATAATTAGAACCAAAACAAATCTCGCTTCGGAGTGAAATAACGTGCAAGAGACACCGTAGAGACAACTTTAACCACCCGGCTCTGGCGCAACACAACAACAAGACGCAGCAATGCCAGACACAAATAAATTGTTGAATAACGGTTATCTGCGCACACCGCACATCTTCGGCCTAAGCACCGGTAGCAGCATGGATGACAGCGGTGCCACAGCGGCCAATTCGCCACTGCTAGAGGACAGCAGTGGTGTCGCCACAACTGCACTGTCGGACGACAAACTATTGAGCCTGCAACAGAATAGTCGTAACCTGAACAACAGTGCCGCGAACAACGGACCGCACGTCAAATTACCCATGGTCGTCTACTTAGGCAGTGACAGCGGTGGCGGTCGTGATGTTGGTGGCACAAACATGGGCGCAGGCTTGGGCGCCGGCATCGGCAGTGGGGCAGCACGCACAGCACTACAGCGCAACGTACCCTCGCCCTATCAAAGCACCACAGCACCGATGCATCTCAGCCACCGCAACCATCCCCACCAGCACAGCGACTGGTTAACCAAGGAGCCAACGCAGCGGCGGCGTTTGCTTATTTTGGCTGCGGCCTTCACGGTGCTCGGCGCTGCGATCGGCGCCTTGGCGATCTACTTTGCGAGCAGTAATCGTTGTCACTCGTTGCCCATGGCAGGCACGGCGGTGAGCGTCAGTAGCAGTAATAAGGACACGGAACCTAAAGGTAAGTGGCGTTGAAGCACAGCTTTTGGAGTTAATGCTAATCGTAACAAATATAATTTATTGTTTGTGAATGCAAAAAAACTACTTGCGTATGTACCTAGTACATACACACATGTGTGTGTACTTGTTGGTGCTTATAAATGTTGCGTATACGCCATGCATCCATCATACTCTTACTTTAGCGCATCGAATTGACGATGTTTTTGTTTAAAGAAGAAATTCAACGAACACGGGTGTCATCTAAAATACAACAATCGAACAGTTATAACAATAAAATGGCCTTATAACATTTTGACGTAGATAGCACTTCCACCGTGCGAAGCTAAATTGTTCTTGGGAAAAATCGATTATGCTTCTGCTAGAGATGCTCTGTAGTTTTTGTCAGTTTATAGTGAACAAAGAAGAAAGAGTTTGAGTTTTAGTGGAGCTAAACATTATATAGGTATTATATGTAACATAATTTAAGGAAATATGTGAATATTATGTACTTCCAAAATAAAAATATGTGCTATTGCGCGGAATATGAACTACAACATTCGTACAATAGATTTTTCTTTGCAGCTCGGTGACCAGTTTTAAGTTCTTTTCTTTGCGTTTTTAAAGTGAAGAAAAATTCAAACGAGTTAGGTGCGCTGTTAGTTTTTAAGTTCAATAACCCTTATCATATAAAATGTCAATAATTAGTAAAAGCTAACAATGAACTAAACACACACTGTTACTTCTATAAAGATAAGTTATCTGAAATAAAAGGGTAAAACAAATTTCTCATATTTTAGACTATCTTATTGGTTGACGTTTCAGCGATTCTCATCAATCAATACGAGTAATCAGTGGGCTTGGGCATAGATATAGACGAATCGCAAATATATGCGCGATATACTTGTATATGTTAACATGTCACCAACAAATGACAGAACATCGCATCGGTCTTCGATCATAAAGCACATGTACATATTCTTATATATATGTATGTATATATATATATTACTTTAAGTACGCATATATAATGTACTATAATCAAAGTATATCAAAGCAAAGTTAATAGGTTTAATATGCATATACAAGTATATGTACATGTGTCCGCGCAGATATGTTGGTATTTTTATATCGCAAATGCCAGTAATGACAGACATCAAACCAATAATGTTAGAATATATCACAGCAAATTTATGGCGAACCGCATTTTATTGCGTGTCGAATATAAACAAATTTAGCGAATGTTTATATAATATATTTACTGAATTTGCCTGAAATATAAATTAATGTAAACATATGGAACTTACAATGCTCCTCTCACTTCGCTGCGACCTTTAACTTTTTGAGAGTCGCATTTTGCGCATTCAATTAATCTTGAAAAATATTAAAAACATTTTACAATAAATAAAACATTATTTATGTACATACATACATATTGACGAAATTTTTATGCACGCGTGGCAACTATTTCAAAAATATTCTAACTTCGTAGGAAGCTCCTCATAATTTCAATAAAGATCTAAGTATTTATTTTATTATTTTCTTAAATAGATCCGTCTGATCTAGGTAGATGGTAACCTTTGTATTTATTTACCCAAAATAGTGTGTATTAAGTTTGCCACGAAGTTTGTAACATCCAAAAGGAAACTTCGGAGACCCTATAAGAAATATATATAAATGTTCAGCGTGACCTGCTGAGTCTATTTAGCCTTGCCCGTCTGTCCATCCGTCTGTCTGTATATACACGCACTAGTCCTTCAGTTTTTGAAATAGGAATCTGAAGTTTTGCACAAATCCTTATCTCCGCAATGAGCTGCTCATTCGTAGGAACCGACGATATCGGATCTTTATAGCATATAGCTACCATAGGTCTGTTGTATGTACAAATTATTTGATTTGACAATGTATCTTCTCAAAATTTGGCATGAATTATTATCCAAGGCAACGCCCCAAGCAAATTATTCAAATCGAACTACTATATCATATAGCTGACATGCAAACTGACCGATCAAAATCATAATAAAGATTTTCATACGAGATATTTTTTCCTTCTTAAGTGACGCTAGTTATACTTGAAAGCTTTTTTATATTATATCAAAAGACCTGGCTAGAAAGAACGTTTTCTGTCGGATGCAATCCATTGACCAGTTACGTTCACATATTTAATTATACATACTCGTATAGTTGCTGGTCAATATCATCTACTACATACTAAGGTCACCAGTAACTGATATAGTCACTATTTTATTCCACTTCACACTTGAAAACATTTAAATTGCACTTTATTCATACACATGTATATACCAATAAACATAGATGACAGTCGGAGATGTAACTGGGTCAGTGCTCAATAAAATCGAAAAACATTTCAATTTGTTGTAATTGTATTCCTTTCCTTTCCATTTCATTCTATTCCATACCGTTCAACTCAATTCCATTATATGCTACAAAATCTGTTTATCACCAAACCTCAAATATGCCAACACACACACAGCCGAGTATATGCATATGCAAACTGCAGGCAACTAAGTAAGCTAGCAAGCGACCGTCAACCAGACGACGTCTAAACATATAGACATTTGTGGTAGCCAGTGAAGCGTACACTTAATATCCGCACCTTCTTCCATTGTTATTGTCGCTTCTCATTTCGTTGGCGCTTGTGTTCTGACAAGGGCTGATGACGACACATGCAACAGGCGTCGCACGCGCCCAACAGGTAGGCAAACAGCCAAGTTGTGAGCTGATGGAAACACTACCATTTTCCATTTTATAAATATGCATACATACATACATACATATGTATATGCGTTTCTACATGTGTGTGTATATATAATTTCTTGCGAATATTGCTTCACGAGTGGTAACAGCGCATTGCCAATTTTAACGAAAGCGAATATATAAGTGTCTAATAAGAGAAAGAACTTTTTATAAGTTTATACGATTTTGTAAAAGCGCACCGCACTTAATCACTTTTGTCATATAAGAAACCAATAACCGTTAGGAAAGAAATTTTAAATTTCCAAAAAAATTATTATCACCACTTAAAACGATAATTGCGTTATCTTGCAAACAAGTCGCTGCACTATTCATCTTTTCACCCACACAGTCCAGTTACGTTGACTTCGTCTTTGGTGATCATAAAAACCTACTTTTTAACACCTCTACTTCTCTTCTCTGTTAAGACCATTGTCTCTGTTAAAATTTGGAAGTGACAAGTGAAGAGAGTGGTCTTTCTTACTCTCTCAAAAAAGGAAATTAACAAAGTTTCGAAACTCAACTCAAACTCAGAAACTCATGTAAGAAAGCAATCATAGCTGCCTTTGTTTACTTGGATTCTCAATGTACATCGTTCGTTACCTCAAACGCAAAGTATATTTTAGCTTTTTCTCTAGGCGTTTTAAAAAAAGTATATTAGCATTGTGATCAAAGTAGCGCTGGGTACAATAGAGAGTGAACGTGACAAGTTAAGTTTGCCGGAAAATCGAGTGAAATTCCATTTCCTTTGCCTCTGCCTTAATGTCTTTTGCAATGAGCTTTGAAGTAGAAATTTGCAAGTAGGTACATTTGTATATATGTATTTCTACAGGTCAAGAGATAATGCTGATAATATAACGGCCGTTTTAAAGAACTAACCTTCCAAAAATAAAATATGTTCCTTTTTAAAGCAACAACTATAACTTACAATTAATAACAATATATAATGAAAAAACGTTTATGGATAATTTTTGTTGAAATGAAAGAATGCAAACCACAAATAATTGTAAGGAATGCCGAGTTGAGAGTCTTGCTCAGATTAATACTCGGGTCGAAGTCCCGACTATCATGCAACGGCTTACTCCTTTTTAGCTTCTTGCAATAGCTTGTTCCCTGGTATATTATTTTTTTTGGCCGCCTCAGAGATAAAATATTGGGATTAATGTTTTCAAACATGAAGCGCAAATTTCAAGTTTCTTTATCATTTTAAATTATTGCTTAGTACTTTTGAAGCAAGTAGATAACTGACGAATGCTAAATGGAGATTTATATTTTTTACTTCAACGTGGAGAAAGACGTATACGAGTATATATAATATATATGACCATAAGGAGACTCAAGCGGCCCAAGTGAATTATATTGATGTCGCAGAACTGCGCAACAGTAGCATTAATCAATTGTTTGTTGTAAACTTTTTACACATTCAAAAATATTTCAAAAATTTATTTTGTAAACCGTTTTGAATAAAAGTTCTAAAACTAATAAAAAGTCACATTTGCAATTCACCGTTTTCACTACTACGCAGCAGTTGTTCGAATTCCATATGTTTCCACGTAATTAGATACACACCCAGCTAACGCTCGAGCAATTTAAACGAAGTTAATTTGATTTTAATGTACGGAACGCTCGTCGCTACACACTTAATCTGCTGTCACTGCGCTCGTCATCGATACGCCAAAGCCAATCACGCACACACATAAGCATTTCCATACGTACCCTGCATGCATGTGTGTGTGTGCGGCTGCTCATGCCCAATAATCCACTTTCATATCCGGTAAGCGTTTGAGGTGAAGTGTGCCGTTTTGCCGTGTGTACATACATATACACACTCAAGCGGGCTTATGAGAGTATGTATGTGAGCATACAGGTGCGTTTGTTGTCCATTAGTGCAACGCATTGATAAATTGTTGGTGTGGTAAGAGCATACACTTATCGATTTTCAATGAGCAACATCGTTTAAGGCGATACTCTCGAGAGGAGTAAACATATAAAATGGTTTGCACGACAACTCGTATGCGCACAGCAATTCAATTAACTCACCTTCGGCGAGTTATAGCCTCAGTTTGCTTGTATTTCCTATCAGCGTTTTGCATGTATATGTATGTATGTATGTGTTTTTTTTTAATTTAACAGTGTTACAGTTACAGTGACTGACACTGCTTCATATTGCAAACGTGTGTGACAGACTGCGAGTGACAGACTGACAATTTGCGAGGGTGGTTTTATAAGTATGTGACTTTTTGAACTAACTGTATATTTTTTTCAACCAAAAATATTTAATTCAAAAATATTATTTTTGTGCGACCTAGATTTCCCTTTCCTTATTTTATACCTTTTATTTTCAACTCTTATTTAACAACCCTGGCTTTATATTAACTACTCACACTGCAAACTGCCCGAAAAATTTGGTTTTAAGTAAAAAAGTCTGCAGTGTTGAATACTTCTTAGCTTTTCCCGTGAAAGTTATCAAAAACTCTTTTGTATCGTAACATCAAATACAAGCTAAAATATACAGGTTTAATGAAAAATTGTAATAGTCGTCGCTAAGGTAACCCATGGATGTAACAATAATTCAATTCAGAACCGTAAGCTTCAACCACGTCACTGGCTTATCAAACGACCCTCTTATACATATGTACGATTTTGACATGCCTGTCTGACTCCGTGGCGTCAAGCTGCGGCTACTTGCCATCCCTCAGCGTGTTATGTACTTGCAGCTGATGTCCTCGCTGCCAACTGGCTGTTGTTGCTCATGTTGAGAGTATTAAAATCTCGTTTATATCCATTGGTGTCACTTGCCAGATCGCCGGATCACATAATGTTCTACGTGTACGAGTGCGGGAATATAAGTGCATTCGCGTGTTATTTACTCTAGCAGAAGCTTGCGAAGAGCACATTATGCCGTAATATTTAAATCCTCGAGGATAGATTGGCCAGATTGCGTTCATTTACTTTACTGTAAACATGGCGGGGGTTATTCCGTTAGGAGTGTTCGGCCAGCAAGTAATTTGTATAAATTATCACAAAAGCTCATAAAATTACGTTCAGTAAACGAAGTAAGGTGCATTGAGTGAATACAAATTGATTTTTATTTAGAGTTGAAAGTTTTGGCCCACAAAATCTGAAAAATGTATTCAAACAGAACAAAAAACACTGAAATAGTAAAAATAATTTATATGTAGCTAAAAATATATAGGTATATAGAAACTTTTAATTTAATCGCTTCCGAAAATTTCGGAGAGAGTTATAGGCGTTAACTTGTTTCATCTGATCAATTTTGACCCGGACTGATAAAAAAAAAGAATTACGTTTTCACGTGTATTTAATACAAATCTTTGTTATCGCCTTCAAAATAAGATCCATTTAAGCCAATACAAGCATGCCATCGTTTATTACAGTTTTCGATACACTTGTTATAAGCCTCGGTTGGGATGTCTCAGCAATCAGCGAATGACTTTTATTGTACTCATGGGCCGTTCCCCGAAGCAAGGCCACAGCAAGCTAAATCTGGGGAATTTGGTAGCTAAGCGATGAGTCGTGTTTCGTGTTTCGCCAAAAAGTCAGTCACAATCATTCTAGAATATGGCGCCGCATTATCGTGGTGAACATTGTATGAATTTTGTGCCCATAAATCCGGTCGTTTACCACGAATCGTTTCACGTATACGCCTAAAAACGGCCAGGAATTCTTATTAATCCTTTTAACCTGTGGAACGAATGCGTGGTGAAGCACACCGATTTTTGAACGACTTTGCCGTGATTTTTGGATTTCGGCTCATTTTTGAAGCGGCATTGCTGGACAGTTTCGACGTCACTAGTACAAATGCGTTCGTTAATATAGGGTGTTTAGGATTGCACTAAACACTCAAACTAAATTTGATCTAATGACGGATTTGCACTACAATAAAACCACGATTTAAATTATTATTTATTTTCACTATTCCTTGGTACGGTCCAAGTACCATCCAATTCCTTTGACAGACAACTAAACTAATCTTATGCTTAACTTATGCTTATATAGAAAAATAGTATGTAAGCGAATCGAAGAAAGTACAATAAAAAAGTTGTTATTGCATACGGCAAAATGGCCAGACTAAACAACCGTAGAATGGTATGATATGCCAAAGCTAAAACGCATAACCTGATAATGGTGATTCTTGTTGTTCTTGTGTACTTCACAATGGTCTGACCCAAACAACGGTAAAAATGCCGAGGCTAAATTGCGTCACCTGATAATGATGATGCCAGATTGTACCTAGAGAATCGTGCTGCCAAATTGTACAGCATAAATTCATCCAATTAATTAATTAAACTTATTATTAATCGTTAACATAGGGTCCGCACGTTGTCAAGCATCTCTTTGCCGACCTCTACTCGACGTCGTGTTTGCAAAAGATTCAAATCTTCTGGTACGAGTCTAGTATTGAAGCGTTTAATTTCCAAACATTAACCAAGATATTGTTGAGACGCCGTTACATCCTTAAAAAGTCACTGTTTGATGTGATCTATAGGTCCATATTTATTCAAAAATAAAGTCGGCTATTATGTTACAGTCCATGAGGAATGCTATAGTGCCATGATTAATGACTTTTTCCTGCCTTAATTTGAGGATGTTGATGTACAAGACCTTTGGTTCCAATAAAAGCGAATGCCACATATCTTAGAGCAATAAAAAAATTAAAATTTAATGTATAAAATTTATGTGAAACTTCCTTATAAATTTAGATTCCGTTATGAATTATTAACAAAACTTTAACTAGTCAAATATTTACATATTTTATTATCTCTTTCAGATGTGAAGTTTCCTCAACGAAATATTTGCTTAACGGAGGATTGCGTACGGACAGGTAAGGTATTAAATTAGTAGTTAATAAATTTTTACTATATATACCGACGCCTACAAATTATGAAAAAATATTAATGAAAACATCTGGGCAATACCAACCCTTATGTATATGCTTGTAATATAGCTATGACGAAAATATAAACTACAAAATAGCTGGGACACGCAAAATCACAAAATCAGGAAATGGACACCATTGTCCAAATCTTGACAGGCACATGACATTCTACTAAACTATTGCCAAGTGCATGTTGCAGCACTCAAAATATTAAACATAAAAAATAGTTAAAAAACCTTTTGTTATTTAAAATATAATAATAAAATTGCAACTTGCAACACATGTGCATCCGTCCCGAATAAAAAAGCATTCAACTCAATTCCCACAACGTAACCAGGAATTAAAAAGTACAAATAGCAAGCAAAAAGCAACAATGACAAACAAATAATGTTAACGATGACAACTACGACAACCTTTGTTGTCAACAATGTTCATCACCGCCACATTGTTCATTGTAACTGGCCCTACGCTACATCTGGCTGTACGCCGCGGCGTCAAGCGCATGAATGGATGAAGTAAGAATTCACTCACCAACAGCCAACTGACAACTGGTAAATGCTCGTCCAATTCAAAATGCATTTCATATGTTCCAACATGACATTGCCAGCCATTTTGATTTTGATTGGTGGCACAAACATGTAATTTCCTTCTCGACACAACTCTCCAGTGGGCTATTTGATGATTGCACACACGCACACACATGCACGTAATTATACACTCATATATACATGTACATATGGATGTGTGTGTGTGTGTGAATAACTTTGAGTGCCTGTTGTTGCCACTGCCACTGATTCGGCCCATTGTTGTCAAAGTTGTCGTTGTTGTTGTTGTTGCTGTCATAGCTGTTGTCAAAAGGTTGTTGCCATGTCATGTTGTTTTTATTATTGTCGACTACCACTGTTGCTGTCATGTTAAAATGTTCCATTTGCTCATAAAAACGCCAGCACTTGTGTGAGTGTGTATGTGGCAAATATTCAAAGTCTTCTTTGCTACACTTGTATGCGCATAGATTGCCTAAATTTAAAGCTGCAACAGCCTTCTTTCTTGTCATATACAAACACATAGTTATTTAAAAAAATATTGTCAACTTTTGCATAGAGAGAAAAAATCAACTTCAACAACAGTTAAGTTAGACACACATTTAATAAAGTTACTTAGCGAACATAAAACTTTAAAAATAAAACTTAGCTGTGGTACCTGTCGCAAGCGCTTCGCTTTACGATGCGCAAGATAACGGCCAAACGGAAAGTAGCAGTCGCAATCTGCCGGTTTCTCATGCTGACAAGTGGGCAATTACACACACATACACACAAATCTAATATAAATACTTTGCCTTTTATAAACAATTATGCACACATGCACACATTTGCTCATGTATATATGTATGTGTGAAATGTGTGCTTTGTTCATAAACTGCTGCAATCCACACACGTACTTTATAATGTTCTACAGCACCACTGGGCGTATGAGTAACATAAAGAAGTGCTTTGTGTCAGCACACTCGCGCTATGGTGTGTAAATATATACGCATATAACACCTATATGCATTTGTGTACGTGCATATACAAGGATCTGATGCACATGCGACTAACACAACCCATTTACCCTGACCTCTTTCGATTAAAGACACACCGACACTTGCGTATTTCCTTGTTTTAAAATTTTAGTTCATAACAAATTGCAAAAGTGTTGAGGGAAGCATATACTTATGTGAATGCGTATGTACGCACATAAATATGAATATGCGAAGCAAGAATTGTTGTTTTAGGCAAGAACTTACACAAATGCCATGCAGGGAAAGAAACTGACCAAACAAATCTAGAACCTAGGAACTAGACTAATTTCGCCAATTTACTCTGGGTTTGCTTTTTATTTGAGCTTCGTACTACATGACGACTAGATTAAAGTCGGCTTAAATAGTGAGAAACGTCTTAATATAAGCAATACTGTTACTCAGTAGCTGTAAAACGAATTTTTACGAATTAGTCATATTAGTAAAATAATGTAATAAAAAAAGAAAAATTACATAAAAATATAATAAATAAAAAGAAAAAACGTTAACTTCGGTTGCAACGAAGCTATAATACCCTTCACAAATACAAAGGTTCCTTCCAAGAATTTCGATCTAATTTCGTGGAGATACCTCGTCAAATAAAAACGTGCAAGCGCTTTATTTCGATCGTTCAGTTTGTACGGCAGCTATATGTTATAGTTGTCCGATATCGGCCGTTCCGACAAATGAGCAGCTTCTTAGTGAGAAAAGGAGACGTGCAAAATTTCAGATCGATAGCTTAAAAACTGAGGGCCTAGTTCGCGTATATACAGGCAGACAGACAGACGGTTTGATAAGGTCTCCGATGTTTTTTTCTGGATGTTATAAACTTCGTGGTAAACTTAATATACCGTGTTCAGGGTATAAAAAGAAGATTAATACTACTTGTTATTGTTTGAACTACGACCTCATAAACATAAATCGATTACTACGTTAGTGACGTTAGCTAATTTACGAAAGCTTCAGAGATTAACGAGTTTTTGACTTTTTAGTACTAACGTCAAACTAAAGAAAAGGTAGGAGAAGGCGTCAATTGAAATCGCGAAATTCGTCAGTTTTATATTTCGTCGAAAATAGTATGAACGCGAACCAATAAATGCGATTTGTGCGCTTGAACTAAGCTGGAACCTTTTCCTACAGGATATGTACATGCAAAACTGTTCTCCTACATACCATACAATATATGTGTAAATATTGCAGCGCTTATTGCATTAAAAGAACAAATTAAAATAAAAGAAACGCTTTTAAGAAATTTGCTCTGCAATTAATATTGAATTATTGCATTAAAACTTTGCAATATTGTTATTATTATTACTTTCGTATTCAATTAAATTTATTAAAAGTAGAATGTAAAATGAACAGAGATAGTAGTGAATTCTTAAAGTAGTACTAAATAGGCGCATAGTTGTTAGGTTAAGATCAAAGCGGCTGCCGTGACTAATATATACTCTAGGGCTACAGCGACGGAGAGAAAATCAATCGAAAATATCTTATTTAGAATAAACATAGGCACATTTAAACAACTGCCTAAAGAAATTTCGTGCATGAATACAACTCGGTAGATAGGTAGGTATTGGATCAAACCCCAACACATGTAGAAGTAAAAGTTATTGGAGAAAAGCGTTCACCTATTTCGAATCTTTGATTGTTTCTCTCACGAGAGCTAAAGTAGTGTCTGAATGAATACATTAAAGTGAACGGTTTATCAGCTTAACTCTCTGACAATATCGATAGCAAGTAGCCATGGTATAGTAAACAACTCTATATAGACCTTATCGAAGAATACTACCTTAGACATAGACACATAAAAAGAAATATGAATTCGTAAAAACTGTAGCGCAATCTGCTTATGATTATTTTTAACAATCGATTTTCTTAAATACGTTTTCTCGAATAATTTTAGCTGCTTCATTACTTTCGGCCATGGATACGTCTGCGGATCCCTGTACAAACTTTTTTCAATATGCATGTGGTACGTGGAATAAGATACATATCATACCCGAAGACCGCAGTTCGATAAGCACATTCGAGGTGAGTCAACGCGTAAGCGGTTACCGCGTTAAAAAGAAATATTAATATCTAAGTTAAAGAAGTTTTCCAAATTTTTTATTTAGAATAATCATATTTGTTCGTCCATTATATCCGTATATATGTACGTTCATATTTTCATATATTTTTGCAGGTTTTGTCCGACGAACAGCAAGTGGTGTTGAAGGGCGTACTAGAGGAGTCTATTAAGGTCGACGACAACAAAGCCACAATCAAAGCCAAACAGTTTTATAAGAGCTGTATGGATTTACGTAAGTTGAGGACATTTTTTGCGCTCCACCATGCAAGTGAAAGGCAGAAGTACATATAAGTACAACATACTCCATTTCTTTTCAACGTTTAGCTCAGATTCGCAAAATTGGCGAGGGTCGCTTAAAGGAGGTGCTCCAGTCGCTTGGCGGTTGGCCAGTGATCACACCGAACTGGCAACCGCCCAATATGACCATCGAGCAATTAATGGGACTTATACGTGGTAATTATAGTGAACCGGTGCTAGTCGAGCTATATGTGGGCGCCGATGATAAGAACTCTTCCGCTAACATCTTACAAATCGATCAACTACAGCTGGCGTTGCCATCACGCGATTACTATCTGAAGCCCAGCAGTGAAAATGATTTGAAGGCCTATCATAAGTATATGACACAAACCGCAATACTACTGGGTGCCGATCCCGTGACAGCTTCGCAAGAACTGGACGACGTGTTGCAATTCGAAATCAAACTGGTCAATGCTTCATTGCCCGAAGCGGATCGACACGACACGAGCGCTATCTACACGAAACTCACTTTGCCTGAATTGCAAACTCAAGTGCCGCAACTGAATTGGACTATCTTTTTAAAAACCGTACTAGGACCTGATATCGAATTGCTACCGGATGAGGTGCTGGTTAGTTACGCTATGCCCTACCTCGTGGAAATGGGTAAAATTTTAGAGAATGCCGATCGCCGCGTGGTACACAACTACGTCATTTGGCGTTTGGTGATGTCCATAATGGCACACATGATCGACGAATATCAACGCGAACGCATTGAGTTCCGTAAAATACTTTTGGGCGTGCAATCGGAACGCATGCGTTGGTCTCAGTGCGTGGAATGGACGAATAAAAAACTAGGATTGGCGGTGGGAGCGCTCTTTATCCGGGATAACTTCAATCAGGAGAGTAAGGATACGGCGCTTGAAATGATACACACACTGAGGGAAGCATTTAATGAGTTACTAACGGAAAATCACTGGATGGACGACGAGACGCGAGCGGTGGCTAGACAGAAGGCGAACGCTATGAACGAACGCATCGGTTATCCGGAAATTCTCAATAATGCAACGGAGCTCGAGAAAGAGTACGAAAATGTGAGTTTGTGAGTACATACATACTTCTATTAAGGCGGTAGAGCTTAAAATGATTTGAAAAAGGTGCAATTTAAGTTTCAACCATTATTCTATTATAACCTCAAATATAACTGCATGTAACTAACATTCCTTTGTTTTTATTTTTACTTATAGCTCACAATCGTCCCCGATAATTTCATGGAGAATGTGCTTAATATACTGAAATGGGACTCGGATAAGAATTTACAGCTGTTGCATCAGCCAGTCGATAAGGAGAAATGGACGACGGAACCGGCCGTGGTAAATGCGTTCTACAACCCAAACAAAAATGATATCGGTAAGTTCTGTTTGAAGTTCAAATTGATGTAAATCTATTTTCATTTTTTATTTTACAGTCTTTCCGGCAGGGATATTCCAACCACTATTTTATAGCAACAATTATCCGAAATCTGTTAACTACGGTGGAATCGGTGTCGTGATCGGGCATGAAATAACCCATGGTTTCGATGATAAAGGTAAAAACAATTTTATAAAATTAATTTCTTAAGTTTCAACAAAAGTTTGATTTCCAATCATTTTTATGGTGGGAAATTAGGATTTTTCGATTAAGTCAAAGATATTTCTCAAATTAATGTTATCTCAATATTATCAAAATTGTTTGCTCCACATCACAGGACGACAGTTCGACAAGGATGGCAACATGATGCAATGGTGGAATAATGCCACCATCGAAGCATTCCGCGAACGCACACAATGCATCATCGATCAGTACTCCCGTTATAAGATTGAAGAGGTGGGTATGTATGTGAACGGTCGCATGACGCAAGGTGAAAACATAGCGGATAATGGTGGACTTAAACAGGCTTTTCGGGTAGGCAACTCACACTCCATAATAATTTGGAAAACAATAAATTGAATAATTTTCTTACAACACATAAAGGCCTATAAAAAGTGGGTTAAGCGGCATGGACCCGAACCGGAATTACCAGGTCTAAATCTCACGCACGACCAACTATTCTTCTTGAACTACGCACAAATTTGGTGCGGCTCAATGCGACCCGAAGACGCCGTCACGAAGATACGCTCTTCGGTGCACTCGCCCGGTTTCATACGCGTACTCGCGCCACTCTCGAACTCAAAAGACTTTGCCGAAGCGTACAAATGCAAACTCGGCTCGCCGATGAATCCTGTAGAAAAGTGTAGCGTGTGGTAGAAAGTTCGCTATGTAGTACATACACGTGCTAACAACCTAACCTAATTAAATATATACATACATATATATACATATGTAATTTATATAATGCATAAAAAAAGCTATTAAATGAGAATGTATACAAAAAAAATTTGATTGAGTAGCACAGTGTAATAATGCCAAGGCATAAATATTCAAAGCACTTTGCTTAAATAATAGAATTAGTATCTAATGATTTTATTTTTTTATAAATGTTTTAAAGCATTATTGAACTTCGTATATATACGAGGATAAAATAAATAAAGAGAATGTTAATTTGAGTGAGTAAAATTAACATGAATTAGGTGAATATCGTATGTCAACACACACACACACACACGCACACACATAACAAGCTAAGATATAAATATAACAAACCTACATTTGCGAATTTGTATAACGCAAATACATACACACATACATTGCTCTAACCATTCATACATACATACATATATACATGCCTACAAGTATACATACATACAATAAAATACGGCACAATTCGTTAAAAAAAAAATTAAGAAATATTTATGCAGTCGTGCAAGGCGCAGTTAAAAAAAAACAACAACAGCACACCTATACATGTATATGTGTAAAGATAAAAATGCATTCACACACACATACATAAACTATGTACTTAGTGTATTGATAACAAACACTGAAGAATAAAAAATGAAACAATATCGTAATTTCACAAACGTAGCGGCGAGTTGTTTTCTTTGTTTCCAGCAGTTTGGTCTAAATATTTGCAAATTAGCCTCAGCCACGTGTCGTGTAATAACTAGCATATGGATGAGAATATGAAAAAGATTTTTGTTTGCATTTTTATGCTCTGAACAGGGTATAAATAGTATGTAACACCCAGAAGGTAAGGTCGGAGACCCTATAAAATTCATAAGTATATATACATACAATAAAATACGCCATAATTCAATAATAATTATAAATAATCAGCGTGACAAGCTGAGTCAATTTAGCTATGCCGTCTGCATTTACGCGAACTAGTTTTTCAGTTTTTGAGATATCGGTGTGAAATTTTCACATGTCCTTTCCTACCGAAGAAGTTGCTCCTATGTCGGAGTCGCCAATATCGGAAAATTAGCGCATATTGCTGTCATTCAAGCTAACCGTTCAAAATCAAGATAAATATCTTTGTCTACTCTTTATACCACATGTGAAGGGCATTGTAGCATCGCTGCAGTCGAAGTTGCCGTTTTTCTTGTTTTTATGCTAAATTGTTTATACATACTAGCAGGTCATTGGAAAATGCAACATGTGATGCCGTTATTTTTCTGAATATGCGAAATTTTAGATTTTTTATAAATTGATGCAATTATGACCCTGCTTTGCTACTAAAAAGTAGGGAAATTACCTTGAAAAACAGCAAAACGGTAAAACTAAATTCGCCAAAATTCGAAGTTCACCTGCAGTTAATAAATTATTCTAATTTGTTGCATTTCAGATACAGTAGTATTATTTAAAATTATTGAATGCAATTTTATATATATTTTTTACAAGAGCACAGTTTCACTTTATTAACAGCATAAATTATTATTTTGTTTAAAACTTACATAGAATAACTGGAATGATTTATCGTTGTCATCAGTTATAAAGGAACTTATATCCTAACATACTTTCAAAGAAAAAGTAATATAGTTTATAGTGAATTTTCAATTCCAATTATTCTTTTTTATGAATGATGGAAACGATTACAACGTAAAATTATACCACAGACTTTATATAAATAGTTTCAATACATACAAACTAAGGAATTATAAATTTGAGCACTTTACTCAATTGGTAGTTATAGTTTGATTTTTTTTTTTTTTTTTGTGTGTAATTTTTGGTATTATATTATTCATAGATATATTCACACAGCTTGTAGAATTCCTTCGTTAAAATGGAAATATTAAATTATCACACATTTGCGTAGGTACTCAAGAAATAATAGCATCCAATCGTGTATCACGGAATTGTTTTCTCAATTTAACCAAATGCCAATTTAAGACATCAATTTAGGAACGGATGGTGTTGGCTGTAGCAAGACGCGGATTTCGTGACCAACTCTGTTCAGTGGCGCTAGCGAATATTAAATAGATGCAATTTCCACCGATATTTACTGCTGTCGCCAGCCAGAATACAATACGCCATCGTGCTAGTGTCTCATGATGGTTTATTATTAGTCCAATCACATACGGGGCTAAGAAGCCGCATATGTTGGCCGCCGAGTTAGTAAGGCCATACATAGTGCCCGCATAGCGTGGACTTAGCGCAATATGGTTCATTTGATTGCCTGCGTATACTGCGCCTCCAAAGGAACCAACACCGGCCAACATCACTGTAACCCATACCCAATTGCAGCCCACATAACCTGTGGCTAAAAGTCCAATCGATGGTATAATGGACGCTATTGAATTCCATAATTTGTACGAGTTGAGTAGAGAAATATAGCGACGTTCCAACATCCAATCGGCCAAACCGGAACACACAATGCCCACTATCCAGCTCGTGAAGTAAGGTATCGCGTTTAACATTGCATTCGATTGGATGTCAAAGTGCAGAATATTACTCATATAGGTGGGTAGTTCGGTCAATTGAGTATAAAAGGCCCAACTTTGTCCGCATTGTGTTATTAAGATTGCCCATAACGGCAGCGATGTGAAAATGGAACTCCATGGTATCACCTCATTCGTTGTTTGTATTACATCATTTTCGGTTTCGGACAACAATTCATCATAATTGCGTGGTTGCATTGTTCGAATACTGCGCTCTATATAATCACGCTCTTTGTAAGATATACGCGGGTGTACGCTTGGCTTGTCGTACACGAGATACATCCAAAATATAAACCATACTATGCCAAGTAAGCCAAATATGTAAAATGCTGAGGGCCATCCTCCGAGAAACTCCAAAGAGCAGAGCCATCCCGTTAGTGGCATTGAAATCACTGTACCTATGTTAGAACCAGCATATACAATGGCGGCGAATTTATTCCGCTCGAGGGGTGGAATCCAGTGTGCTAACATTGCATGCATCGCTGGATAGGTGACACCTTCGCCCATGCCTTCTAACACACGAACAATCACTAGCATTGGTAAATCCCAATATGCGGCGATAGGTGTTAGGAGAGTAAAAATTGCAGTTATTAATACACCATAGCCATAAATCAGTTTTCCACCCATTAGCTCTGCTAATCGACCGCCAGGTACTTGCGTCAGCACATAACCGTAAAAGAACGATCCTAAAACTAGACCCTGAGTGGCCTCATCCCACAAAAAATCTCCCTCCTTAGATGGTGTAGTAGTGTTAGTTGGTGTTGGTACTGGGCACGTATCATCGACGCTGGTGGAATTATCTTGAGGTATTGCTGTTTGATTTACCATAGCCACAATAGCTACAGACAAATTAACGCGCATTGCATAAACTACTGCGAAACCAAGAAAACCCATTAAACCGAAAATATGTCGAGCTTTAGGAAATTCGCCATCATCTATAATTAAAAAAAAAAAAAAAAAGTATAGATTTACCAAAAACACAACTTGAATACTTTTTTTTAAGCAAGTATTTAACACTTGTTGGCGAAATTTTCAATGTATATTTTAGTCAAGATATGTGTATATGAGTAATAACCTTCAACTCCACTAATAAGAGGCGTATCTACAGAGCTCCCTTCATTTGTGTCGGAAACTTCGCTATCTTCATTACTGTTGGCTGCTCTGCGATTGCTGTCTGCGTTATTATGGAAAGTGTTGTCGTCATCATCATAATCTTCCGCTGCATAATTGCGAACAAATCCAGCACCTACATCTACGGCAGTAGTGACGCCACGCGAATTCTTTGTGCGAAACATTTTTAGCTTATCACCAATCGACTAGTTAAAACTTATCAAAACACAATTAAAAATTAGTAAACACATTACACACAACCAGCTTAAGAACTTGACTAAATTCAATGAACACGAATAAAATTTTGTTTATAATAAAAAAATCAACAGAAAAGAGAAAGGAAAACTAGTTGAATAGCATAAACAGCTGATTCTATAGAGTTGCCAGCCTCTCATTAATTATTATTTAGATCTGTGTAAGAACTCTTATAAGACTATAGTTAATCCGGTTAGTATATAAGCCCAAATCTATATCAAATTTTATAAGGAGTTTAAATTGGAGTTAATATAATTCTTCATACAGATATATGTATTTTAGACACAAAAATTTCCGTTTGTCTTTTTTTTCAAAAACAACCAAAGATTTATAAAAGAATTTATTAATATTGTGGATTGTTAAAAGTTAGTTACAAAATTTCGAAAAGGCACTAAACAGTTACAAATACCGTATCCAAGGCCTTATCTGATCTTTCGCATATCCTTTAATTGGTAATAGTGGTCCCAATTGGGAATACTATATTTTTCCTTCCATTATTTAATATTAGTGTTTCGTAGTGATAATTATTTTCAATCAATGCACAATTCGCATTACCGGGAGCTGAAGAGGCCTTGTGCAATGGTTCCAAAGATATTTGATGGCAGTCAATAAATACATTCTCGCAAGAAATCTTTAATGCTATTTCATAGGCACTTGCGTGATTACTTGTCCAAATGGATGCGTTAACGGCTTTTAATGTTTCTTTTCCACATAAGCTAATTGCTTCCTGTACAGTGCGAAAAGTGTGTAGCGTGGCAATTCCATTGTAACCGGTTCCCAAATGCTCATGGGTCACATCGCATACGATCACTGGTGAATTGGCTCCCAACTCGTTGACAGATATGGTCTCCCAACTGTTCTTGTTTATCAAAGCTAAAACTCTATTTCGTTCTACATCCTGCGCAGCTTCAGCCGGAATCGCTTTGAGTTGCGACTGTAAGCGCTCCAAAAATGATTTACGGATCGACTCAGCCACAAGCACAGTAATTATAACCTCAGTAGCTAATGGGGATTGCAATGATTGTGCTAAATGATAAGCAGCAGCATTTAAATCAGCTCTATCACCAACAATTAAAACCGTTGGTGTGCATTTGCAACCAACGTCAGCCATCTTTCCAGAAACTTTTTGACTTTGCACAGAGTAATCACGATCGTATTCGATATTATTAAGCATGTGCTGCGTGATTTTAACGTCTGGCATTCCTGAAGTATATTGTACAAACGAAAGAATTTATAACTTTTAAAAATTATATCCTATTCCAAAACACTTTCGACCAAAGTACAAATTTAAATTATATGAGTGAGATATATTCCTTGTTAACTATTCTGATAAGAAACAATATGGTAAATGACAAGTTAACTCCATTGTTTATAATTTATTGTGAATAAATTAATATACTAACATGAGGTGTGCACGCAACTTCTATATACGTTTTTGAGGAATTTTACGTACATACTCCTAGACTAAATGGTGATTATTTTATTGTAAATATCATATTCCTCAAACATAAAGTGAGCTGTCTTTGAATAATATTACACGAAGTATGTATGACATTTAAGGGATAAGAACCGAACACAAGAGCAAAACTCATTTATTATTCAGAACGCGAATATTTTTATGATTAAAATTCTCCCAGTGTATGTATATTTATTATTGTTTGGCAACACCACAATTGCTAATGAATTCCGTGATTACGACATTTCTCAACGAGAAATTTTAGAATCTAGTTGGACTTCCTCGCGTAAAGGCTTATTTATTTTATTCTAGTGCTACTTGGAATTTTTCTATTACGTACGTAAATATTTAATTTATTAGCGATAGATTCTGCGCATTGTTAGTAAAGAGCGCAAATAAACGCCACATTAATAAATTTGTGATTATACACCTGTAGCTGTTTTGAGTGGCAGCAAACTGTGCGGTTTCTGCGCGCGCGAGAGAAAAAGAAGAAAGTGGAGCAATATCCAAATAATCGCAAAAATATAAACAGCTGTTGCTCTTTCGCGATTACTGTGCAAGCAGACAATAAAGTACCATCATCGAAAGTGCTTCACTGTTTAAACAGTTTGAGATAAACTAGATCAGAAGTTTTTTAAATCACACGCAAGCAGAATGGCTGACATAAACGAATTACTGGGATCATCATTTGTGCGGGTTAAGGTAAGTAATGTGTGTATGTATGTATAAAATTTCAACAACGAAAACACATATGAATTCGCTAATAACGCCCAAATGAACTCTTCGTTACCACTGCTTCATTTTTTCGGAAGTATTGAGCCGTTAAGAAGTTATTGCATTTTATTTGTTGATGTTACATGTTAGAAGAATGTAAATTACCTCTTTGACGTTATTTCTTTGTTGTGATAAGAAATTATCAATGCATAATTCAACCCTGTACTTACAAGAACTATGCATCATCGAATTGTATGTACTACATATGTACATACATACATCTACGTATCTACATATAGTATATGTAGTAGAAGCAATAACATTAGAAAGAGGCGTAACCTTATCAGTAGACTTACTTTTGTTTGGGTTTGTTTTTTTTTCATTTGAGTATCGAGGTATTTAATTCATCAACAATTAATTGTGCTTGTCCATGAGCGGTGACTCAATCGCTTTCATTCAATGCAATGAATTAAATAACATTGTGGTACAGACCACAACGACCGTTAAAGGCCCCCTGCATTGCAATCGCCTACGATTATTGTTTGTGTAGATGCTCTCTTGCGGCTTTTCCTGAGCAAGAATCGCAACCGCAAATATTTAATACATATGTAGTCGTACTAGACATTCAATAGTTCGAAATGTAAATTTCTCAACCCTCATTGCACATAAAGTTTTAATTCACATACTTGCATGTATTTATGTATGTATCTATTTGTGGAAATATATTCAACTTGTGAGAATTTGAATGGCTTCACCACGGATTTTCCTTCAAACATCGCTTTGGTTTAAATGTAACCGAAGGTTTATCTCTAAAGCTTACTTTATTTCACGTTTATTTTACAGCTGGTCGCTTTCGTGCACTTCTTCTTCATCACAAATGCTATGCTCGGTACCTGGGGCCATGGAGCTTATGAGTTTTACAATTTCCTATTTATTATTGCCATGTTCTGGACAATGCACTGCAAGGAATCCATTGAAGCAGCACAAGTGGTAAGTACGAAGTGGTCCGCCTTACGTGTAGGTACTTATGTACATATGTTAGCAAGTGTCCATTCAGGCACCTTATAAAATACTATACCACATATATATTTAAATATATTTTTATATGTACATACATACGTACTACAATATGTATATATGATATTTCTATATGCATAAATAAATAGTATCGTTTTTAGTACAAATCACTTCAATATGTGACGCATGTGAATTAGAACACAAGCGAGGACACATTAATTTTCATTTTTTTTATTTTACCAAAATAAATGTAAATTATAACAATTCATAAAAAATTTCGCAACGTTTCAAATTTTTTCGAAATATGAGAACTATTAAATTTCATTACGTTTTATTCCAATTTAAAGTAAGGTTATAAACATTTCTCAGTTATTTAAATGCATATAAAAAACGTAACACTGTATTGCTATTACACTATTCAAACTATTTGCAACGAGACGTCGTAGTATGTATGTATGTATATAAAACGTAGCATCTCTAGCAGCACGTCCATTGAAATACAATGATTGAATTACATGCGTAAGTGTATATTTATAGATGTACATAATGTGTAATACGTATTTAGATAGGTTAGTGTTGCGCAGGTGATAACAACTTGGTGCTAATGACTGTTTGGTGGAGCGTGAACTTCTAATCTTAAGGTTTCAACTTCAAAGATTTTATTTAGTTAAGCATTTTTAGAAGACAATATGTGTATACATATACTTACATCTATGTATATGAAATAATGTATTTATGTAAATACACATATGTACATATGTATGTTAATAAGAAATCAACCGCTTTACAAGTGCTCAGTTTATATCGTTCGTAAATTGCGCGTGTATTTTACATTTAAATTGCTTTTATTCATGCCTTTGCATATGCTCTAAAAAAAATTACTCGAAAATAGCTTTAATTAATGAAATAGAGAAGTATTATTCCGCTCTGGGTTACTATTGTTATTGATTTTTGTTTGTGTGTTGAAAAATTCAGTTTATTTATGTGAAGTATTAAAGGTGCTAGAGAAATATTCAAATGGTCAACCTTTCTTCTTTCTTAAACCCCCCTCCGACTATTGTGGTATCGCATTGTTTGGTCGTCGACTGGCTTGGGCTTGAGAAATGCTAATAAATTCGAAAGAAAATCGCTAACATTGCGTGTTGCACACTTTGCTTTTGGTAACCGACGCTAAAAATCCTTACACCACTTGTCCCTAGAAAGAAATTTTGCAGGCCGACTAGCAAAAGTGACTTTCGTTTTCTTAAATTAATGAAGCCAGTCAAACACGCTGTTGTATACATATGTATATGTATATATGTTAAAATGTGATTGTATTTGGTGCCGCCCCTCTTGAACGCACTGCTCGTTACCACTACTTCTGTTGAATTTGAATATAACCAAAGTGGCGAGTAAGCGTGTTTATGGAGCATAGAATTTCACACGTAAGCACAGTGACGTGGTGATACATATGTACACATACATAAATGTAGGTGTATCAGTTACAATATTAGCTATGACGACAACGTCACTGGCGCTTTGCACTTACACTGTATCGTCTAAGAAATGCTCATTTCATTTATAGTTTAAGTGCGTGTAATTATATACTAGAATCAGTTAATATTTTATTTTTACCTCTCATATACTTAAAATTTAAATATACCGTTTTCTTGCTTATTTTAATGCCAAACTGGAACGAGTTTATTGCGCCGCTTTATGTACTATGTCATGCCAAGCAAACAAACTTTAGAAATTTGTTTAAAATAGTTTTATCACATGTTATCGTAGTTTGTCTTCCTCTCTTTTGGATTCAACATTTTTTATCTTTGCTGCCCAAAAAAACATAAAACAAATAATTATACATAGCATATTAACAGTAAAACTGATATATTTTCTCTCTCAATATATATTTCCTCAAGTATACCAATTATAGGGACGACTATACATTGCTAATATATAAATAATAATATCAGAGTTAGTAATTAAAAGTTCTAAATTTTACCTTTGAACTTCTAGAGAGCTACCTCTGATTTGCTTACTGCGCCCCAATAAGTACATATGTATATATTTGTGGACTATTATAAGTGAAAGTGTAGTTTTATCGAAAATATCCTTGATGATAGGATGATAACGATAAAGTAAATTTGTATCGATCGGCGCAATTCATTATAGATTGTAGTTGGTTGTACGTTAACAAAATTCACTTCGACAAACATTTAAAGTTTTATTACAATTTTCTTTTTCGTTTGCTTGCAGGCACTCGTCATCAATGTTTCAAGCATATTCTTTGATCTAATATGCATTATAGTCTACTTTGATTTCATGAGTAAGTTTACATACATATATATATATGTACATATATAAACAGGCTTTTGCAACATAAAATTAAACATCTCCTTAACTTCCAGATGGTTGGGCAGTCGCTTTCTCTATCATCAATTTAGTACTACGACCAATAACTATCATATTACTGTATCGTGAGTTCAATTCCCGCGGCGGCAGCCTACAAACCGGTTCGGTCTTCCCCACCACACAACAGCGCACCTATCAGGACATCGATCGGCCAACACAACCAACGCCCACAAACTCGCAGCCTGGTCCAAATGTCGCTAGTATTTTCTAAACGAATTGTTAACATTGGAGGGTCGCTGATACATTTCAGCAAAAAAGCTGAAAAACTTTGGCATAATTCAGTTAATTTGATATTTACTATATGAAAAGTGAAAACAACAAAAAAGTTTGTGTAATATTGTAAAATCTGAATACTTCCATGTAAAAAAATTTCTAACATTTCCTTATACATGTGAGTGCATGCATGTTTGTATGTAAGGGTATATGTATATACTATGGTCGATTATAGAAAATATTACCTTGGAAGGGCTCGAATTCGTAAGATATTGAATTGAAATGGTATGTGGAATTGAGTATATGTAAAAATAATGTTTCATAATATTTTCGTTGATCAAAAACAAATTGTGTAACCGTTTTATATTGTATACCTACAAAAAAAAAAACGTAAAAAAATTAGTAAAATAATCACTTTTTAGTTTATATGTGTAAGTCATGCTGTTTTATATCAAATATTAATATGTGTAGGGTTTAACTGTTGCAATAAAATTATATTTCCTTATTGCACTAGGTTTTGTAAAATTAGAAAACGAATGCAACTATTTTTGATTTAATATGTCGAATTTTATTTAAACTAGATTTAGCAACACATAAATGAAAAGAAATTTGCACATTTTTAGGCGCACAATTATTTAAAGAGTGTTTCTGAGCCAGACTGTATCTCGCAGTCTCACTAAATTTTAACTCTTTATGTTATTACATGCACGTTTTGGGGTGTTTAGATAATATCTTTATTTAATAAAGTTACTTTACTTTAATTCCTTGTATCAACATCCGTAAAATGCCCCACAACAATCAACCATTAACACCCATTTTAAGGTATGACCATCGTTAAACACGGAGTTGGAAATTGATGAATAAACAACGGTCGTGTTGCTGATCGAAATGTAAACTTGTACCTACTTACACATAAACAATCAATAAGAATAGTAAACAATTATTAGGGGGCTGAACTATACCTGTATTTGCGATGTGGTAAAGCAATATTAACACCTACGAAAGTAACTAGAGTGCTTTAACAGGCTCATAAGCTAATTTGTTTAAAAATATTTATAGAGTCGAACCATTGACCTGTAAATGTAAATTGAAGAGCTAAACATGAAGGAAGAAGGATTGTAGGTTAGTTAGTCCAAAGCTAGCGAAGCTTTAGCTAATTTACAAAAATATATTTTATATTTACATACATACATACATATGTGTGTGCATACCATTTATGAATTGTAATGGTATAAGACGCGTTGAGGCAGTTGAAATTTTTACTTATTTATCTTTAATACTAATTTGTGCAATAAAAAACTAAAACGATAATAAAGAAATTAAAATTAAAAATTTAATGTTTTTTTTATGGTCGAAAGGGCGAAAGTTAATGGGTTATGGGGACTTAAAGTCAAATAGAGAAGCAAATTGTAATTATTTTCCTTAAAAATTCCGCATACATTTATTTTGTTTTGAAGTTTCATTACAAATGCACAAGCTATAACGGTATTTGGGCAAGCGAGACAAATTTTTCAAAAATTCAAATGTTGAGAAAAGAAGAATGGTTGATTAATACAATCTTGTATGGTCTCACTAGAATTTGGTTTTTTGAAAAAAAAAACTAACAAAGTTGGAGAGTGCGAATAGTCGATAGAATATAATTGTAATCAGTTCGGCAAGAGCTCGCGCGACTCACATGGTGGGAGAGCGTACAATGGCGCCCGTATGGAAGTCCGGGAACACCTCTCCTTTTGACCTGATATGAGATATGAGTATAAATATGGTTAATATCAAGTTCCGTGGCCGTTGTGGCTCTGTTGTTGTTGTAACCGCAGAAAATATTTCTTAAATAATATTGAAGAATGTTGCCGTATTGATAGACCATTCCGTATAAACATCCGAGTACATTCCGGTTACGTATACTCTACTGTCGGGGAGTCTTAAAGGTTGAGGATATTATTTTAGTTAGTTGAGTTTTTCACTTTCCACCGAAGGAACTCATTGAATCTTACATATACGTGCATGTTTTTGTTTATAAATAAATAACCATAGCTTTATTTTTTGTGAAAAAGTATAAATAAATAAAAATTTGTATATTCGGTTCATGCTAGTCCTTAAGTGCTATCGCAAACATACATAACAACAAATTAAGTTTTGTACAAAAAGAATATTATAAAAAATATTTTACAAAAGTTTGGCAATTCCCGCTTTGCACGTTTTTATAATTTTATTTATTATAAATAAAATATCTCAAAGATTGTTGCTCCTTTAAAATCCTTCTTTGGCCGCTCGAAAGCGATATTTGTCATTGTTCCCTGCTAAGCAGGGCACTTGCACCAGGTTGAAGTAGATTGAGCCCATCAGTTGCGCCGCCGACGTGTTAGCACTTTTGAGACAGGAGTAAAGCATATCGTCGCATATGCAGTGAGATCTGTAGGTATAATAACGTTGTAGTATATATATATATACATATGAATATAGCTTAGGGTGGAGCGAAAAAAAATTTTTTTTTTTGCTTAGCCTGAGGGTAAAACTTGTAAATTATACAAAACAAAATTTTGGGAAAACAATTTTTTTTTAAACATCTATAAAAGCATGTTGTCGTTTAAGACTTTTTGTAAAACTCCAATAATGACCAACAAGTAATTTTTTAAGTTGATAACTTTTAATTGGCCAGAAAGAGGACTCTCCACAGGTTCTAGAACACTTATCCAAATCTTTTTACGAAATAACAATTTACTTTAAAAGTGAGTGAGCCGCCGAGATGCCGAGATGTTAAAAAAATTTTTTTTTCCAAAAATTTCCTTTTTTTATAATCTACAAATTTTACCCTCAGGCTAAGCAAAAATAAAATTTTTTTTTCGCTCCACCCTTATATAGATATAATTATATAGTATATGCATATAAAGTTAGATATATTTACATACGAATTTCATTTACATAAACTCACTTTGTATATAAGGAGTCATTCATCAGCTCGTATTTGTTTTGATAGGCACGTATTTTTACCGGGCACAGATCGTGCAGGCGACAGCATCGATCCATATCCATTTCAGTACCCAAATCACTGTAGGTTTCCGCAATGTCGCCGGTGCCACACCATTTTGTGCCTGTGGAATAATAATTTTTGTTTTACTTGTTGTACTCGCCAACGATCGCCACTTGCTCGAAATATTTAAAGTCTATCTCCAATTAAGGAGAGCGCGTACGAGTACGTCACGCTTGGACAGTATTTGATATGGCATGCATTAACCTTCATTAGTTGTTGTTATTCTTGTGCGTGTGTACAATAATTACTTACCCGGTATTATGCCGCTCAATAATGAAAATGGACTTTTCGGAAATATATTTGCCGCCAAATTGGCACCACCATTATTCGCGGGACTGTCGTTGCTCGCACTGACATCTATGGATTTGCCTCGATTGCGCGAAGCATATGTCAGCTTGTCGACACGCTCACATTGGTTCATTAGTTTCAGCATTTCCTCGAATGTTATTCGAAGCGGCCGATTATATTTGGAAAGCCCTTCGAGTAAAGTTTTTCCATCGCTTTCATTGCTAATTGGGGAGAATGGAAAACAATTTGACAAAAAAAACAAAAATTAATTGTGCACATTTTCATATATACATATGTAGTATTTAATATTATATTATATTTATTTTCGTAATAATCGGGTACACATAAATTCATATCAATCAAATAGAAGGCGAACTCATCTAGTCACTAGCCTTCAGTATTTGGGGTGAATACTTGTATATAGAATCATTTGGTCGATCCGTAATAGCCGAATCGTTCAGCCGAATCAACTAGTTATAATCTACTTTACAACTAGTATGAACCCCGAGTGCTCTCTTACGGGATGACATTAGTCACACTTTGTTTTAGAAATTTGAAATAGTCTTGCTGCCTTACTGCACGAAAACTCCGTCGAGATATTTTCTAATATTTACATATATGCTTGTACATTCTTCTGATATATCTAAATTCTGTATTTCTGGTTAAATTTTATAAAACGCCCGGTAAAACCGGTACCCCGGTGTTTAGCAACGTAAACGATAGTTTTAGTAGTCTTTTCCTAGAAAACTAAGACCAACGAGGTACATATTTGAATTTTATAAAAAAAGTAGTTAATATAAAATAACTGCCGTCACGCGATTTGATTCGCTAGTGAAAAAGTATAGTATAATATGTGTGAAAGCGTTTTGAAGTTGAGAACAAAAATAAATTACCTCTGATTTAGATAAACTTTGTATTTACCTAATACTTGTATTATGACAAAAATATGTGAAAAGTAATTTCTATAACATAAAATGAAAATGTTTCGTCTGCTGGAATAAAAACTTTGCCATTTTAAATTATGGTCTGAATGATAATTGCGTATAATGTATAGTATTTGCTTCGCCCATAACCTATTTTAAGGGGTTACATAGGTTTCGTCGAGCACAAAACGCCTTATTTTCAATAATTTTTTTTTCATATAAAAAATGAAATATTTTATTCACACTTTATATTATTTCGAAGATACATATTTGATAAAGATTTTGTGAAATTTTCAAAGAGAAATATTCAAAACTCGGCCGTTACGACGTCATTTCCGGCAGTCCCTCGGAAAAAAGGTGCTTCCGCGTTGACAGCAGAATTTCTGACAGCATCATCAAAAGTAAAAAAAAAATACGTGCTTGCACTAAGACCATTAACTAACTATTAGGACGGAGAAAAAACAAATAAAATATTTGGCAGACGCTTTTACAAAAAATGCCAATTTTGGTGAAAATTTCTCGAGGTTTTTGTTTTTGAAATAATTGTAATTGAGCAGTAAAAAACCTCCGCGGTAAGACCTTGTTAATTATATCTCAAAGACCTGTGTAAAATTGCATTAAGATTAGTTGAGTAGTTCGTGAGAAATCTTGACAACCGACTTTGAAAACACAGTTTCGAAAAAAACGCGTTTAAAGCTTTAAGTGACTATATAGCTGACCTCAAAGCTGTTTCTCCAAAACGATTACTGTTATCAACTTGAGAATTTAGTACAATATTCTAGAGATGTTATAGAATTAAATTAGACAATAAAAAAATTTTTTTTTTGAAGCCGTGAAACCCAAGTAACCCCTTAGTAAACCCTTAATGAAAGCAAGTAGCATTTAGTTCAATCTATGAGGTTTAAAAGAGTATCTGCCGAGTTTGTATTCAACGGATGTAGTAAAGATTTGAACAATCACCGACTAATTATAAAATCACATGACTTATATTACATATGTAAATTAACTTTCTATTGAAACAGTAAAATAAAAAAAAATATGGATGATAAATTTCACTAACTTAAAAATTGATTTGTTTATGCACAGTTTATTTTTCTATCGGTATTTTTAAAACAATACTTGTATATATGATATTATATTACAAGAACAAACCTCCAAAATTAAAAAAAAAATATATATATATTAGTAAAAAATTATTAAAACTCACTAAATTTCAATCAGTTCGCAACCCAACAACAGCTTCTCTGGTCCCAACTCGGTCACGGCAATGGTAGAGTCATGATAGTAGATCATTATTAACGAGTCATTCGTAAGCCGCTTTCCACTAAAAATAGATAATGTAAAAATAAGTAAATTCTTAATAAAGTCATGTTATAAATATCAACATTAAAAAAGAAATAATAAATTGTTATTGCGAGCTCTTATCTGTATGAATTAATAGTTATTGAAAGAAAATGAAAATTACCGTTTCATACATAAGTTACATGGTATTGCAATAAATTAAACTGCGATTTAGTTGATATTATAATAGAAACTATTTATAAATTATTCTAAAGATTAATCACTATACACATTAGCGTAGGTCAAAAAAATCTAAGTTTTTTTTGCTTAGTACTCTGAAAAATTGGTTGAGAAAGCTTTAGAGCTTTTAATTGCAACGGTAAATTGAATTTTATAACTCAATGAAAAAACAGATTTTGATTTGCAAAGCTCATAGCCTTGAAGGAAATTTACTACTCTTCAAAAGTGATCTGTATAATTGTTCGATTAAGTTAAGCGTTAAAGAGCTATTTATCGTCAAACATCATATAAAACAAAAATAAAAAACAAAAAAAGGTACAATTTTTGTAAAGCAGTAAATTTCCTACAGGTCTATAAACTTAGCAGCCTAAGATTATTATTTTTGCATTGAAATATGAAATTACAAAAAAAAAAAAAATTTCCTTAAAATAGGGAAACTTCAACACTTAAACTCTTTTAAACGGTTATGTTTACGTAATAGACCTTTTTCGAAGAGCATTCAATTTTCTACAAAATCTATAAAACTAAATACTTTTTCAATTAGTTGGAAGCGGGATAGGAGTTTTTCTATCTAATAATAAGACAACTTTAGAATACTGTTAGGCAGAGGACCTACCTGTTACAATTAAGAGAGACTTTTTTAGAGGAGTATATCAATCTATTTTTAAAGTACCAACAAAAAAAAAACATTAGTAATACACACACAATATGAATTGAAAAGGTTTTCAACTAAAATTTTTAGGAAGATTTATTTAGTTTTGAGCTTGCATAATTTATTGGCTATTTTCGAGAACTATTTTCTTCAACTTTACGTGGCCAGTGTAAAGCTAGTTACATCAGTCCGAATGTCTCGCTAACATTCCATTTTATTTTATTTTTTTGAACAATCGCGTGTCGGTATAAACAAAACGCCAAATAATGGCATGCAATTTGACACAATGCCACACCCTGTATGTTAGGATAGAGAGCATGTGATAAATGCTAAAAATGCTACATTTGAATGCTCCGCTCAATGATACTTGCCCTTTGTTATATGGGTTATTACTCGCTTTCATTAGGTGAAAATATTAAACTTTTTATCTTTACCATTCTATCTAATTGTCTAAATTGTTAATTGTTAATTACTACAAAGGCAATTTTCACTTGTTTCATGCAAGCACTCACCTGTACGTTTTCATCTGTCGCAAATTGCGACTCTCGAAGTATTGCTGCGTGAACGAGGCGAATGAGGGAAAGCCTTGGAAGCTTTGTGGCAGGCTGAAGTTGATTGTTGGCTTGGTTGCGACATTCCCTATAAGTCCACAAATCGCACATAACAGGAGACAAGGCAATTGCAAATTGCTTTTCGCGGCGAGTTTCACCATTTTTCCGAGTTAAAACTATTTTGGTTTTTAAGAAAAAAGTAACAATCACTTAATGAAGGTGCAGCGGTGCTTTAGACACGTTGTTGCGTTTTGCAGCGGTTACAATGGAATAAGCATTGCATTCAAATTGCTCAACACATTTCTATTCAGTTTTAGTTCGAATTCGCACTTATGCATTCGCTTGTTTGTTTGTATTTTTGTATATTTTTTCCGAAATTAAAACAATCGCCGAGTTAGTTGCGTGCACTCTAGTTGATAACGTTTGTGAATAATAACGAATTAACGTTTCAATGTAAATTGGTTAGTGAAAAACCATTACAACATCATTTTATTGAATAGAGCCGCACTTGTAAGTATTGTGCAATACAGGTGTAAGTTTTAAGACTGAAGCCTTTCGCTGAACAGCAGGCATCAAGGATTTCATATTATATTTCGGAGCGCTTGTACATACATACACGCACACATGCGCACATATGCTGTCCTATTTGTGCAAAAAGGCTCGCGTGAACATGAAAATAATCACTCGAGTGTATACGCGACCATGAATATTTTATAGTGGGGCATTTGGCAGGTGACAGATGTTCTAAATTCCCAACTGACACATAAATATTTTACAATATACATACTCTCACTATGACATTTTTACGCGACTGCCTATTTGCCTTGTGCTCGAATGCAACAAACCAAGCAAAATAATCGTTTAATTATAGGTCGGAGACTAAGTCGAGCATCAACTATTATAGTATTTCCCCCTTAATTACAACTCGACCATTGCATATTTATGGTTCAATAAATCAAGGAATCTATTAACCCATATTCGTTAGTGGATTATATGTACTAGCTCTGTATGTTATAACTAACTTTGATAGACCGATTTAAAAACTTAGAATGTTTCTATTTCGGCTACCAGGATCCAATTGGATTGTTACTGTTTTTATTTCTTTAATATTCTTCAGATACACAAAATTTATAATTATACCCTGAACAGGGTATATTAAGTTTGCCACGATGTTTATAACACCTAGAAGAAAACGTCGGATATATACATAAATATTCAACATGATGAGCTGAGTTATTTAGCCATGTCCGTCTGTCTGTATATATACGAACTAGTCCGTCATTTTTTAAGCTATCGATCTGAAATTTTACTCCTGTCCTTTTCTCACTAAGAAGCTGCTAATTTGTCGGAATGGCCGATATTGGACCACTATAGCATATAGCTGACATACAAACTGAACAATCAGAATCAAGGCTTGTATGGAAAACATTTTTGTTTCACGAGGTATCTTCCCGAAAAAGGGTTCAGATCATTATCTAAGGCAATAATAGAATTTTCGAAGAAATTATTCAGATCAGATCACTATATCATATAGCTGCCATACTAATTGAACTATCGGCATCAAATTCTTGCTAGGAACCTTTGTATTTGTGAAGAGTGTTATAGCTTCGGTGCAATCGAAGTTAACGTTTTTCTTGTTTTCAAATATTATTGTTTCTTTTTAAACTGGCGGAGTAGTGTGACATTCTAATGTGTTTCTAAACACATTTATGGCTACACAATAAGTAAATATGTATATAAGTATGTATTCAAGGCAACTAATTATGCAATTTTAGCTCGGAGCACCCTTCAAGTCAATGCTACTATTTAGAAATCTGAAAACAAAGAGGAAGCGAGAAATATCGATAGATCGATCAAGCTAAAGTAAATAAAAAATAACAACTAAAACAAGCACAATAAATATTAAAACCGAAAGCAAAAGTTAAATGCGAGAAGCGAGTGCCAAATTGATTAAATGAACTAGCGTGAAAATGTGTTCGTGTGTAAAATAATATATATATATATTACACCAACGTGTGTTTCAGCATGTGCTGGATCATAGATCAAAAATAGGTATAATAGAGGATGTTGCCGGTAACTTAATAATTTGTGTCGTGATAACTCAGTCGCTGGTACGAACTTTGTAATTACGGAAGAAATACATATACGGGCAATCAATCCCTAAACTACATTTGTACACATTTCTCAGTCAATGATATGATAGATATAAGCGCTAATTATTTGTATACTATATATTTTAATACTATTGGCGTCCATGTTTCCGATAACCATTTTACTGTTCGTGAATTCCCTCGCTTCCGAACAAGGAATTTACAATACATCAATTTTTTTTAAAGCAAGAAAAAATGTTAACTTCGGCTGCACCAAAACTATAATGTTCTTCACATATGCATTTCTTATATCAAAAAAGGGTATACTTTAGGGTCTCCGACATTTCCTTTCGGGTATGAAAAATTTCGTGGCAAACTTAATATACCCTGTTCTGGGTATAAACAAAATTGTTTTTGTGGTAGCGGTAACCCCACGGAAACCCTTCTCATACCTTGTTGTAATTGCTGGGACCTGGGCAGTGTCAAAATAGTCAAAGAAATCAAAAAAGTTTGTTTTCTCCATCAACACTTAACATTTCGTACTTTAGTTGATGAAAAAAACTAGTTGGATTAATAGTTAAAAGATCACAGATCGCCCAAAAACAGGCCGAAGTGGCACACAAACTCGTTGGCGCTTATCACAGACCGCCGCCATAAATCAGTGAAAAAGTACATAAATGTGAAAACTTTCGTTGAGTCTACGTTTTTCGCCCAGTCACTGTGGAACTGCTCCATTGCTCTTAATACATGTATGTATGTAAATACATACGGACATATGTTCGTCTGCCTGTACTTATGCATGTTTATTTATTTTGTTTGCTTAACTTCGTTACGCACACGTCTTTCTTCTGCATAGATTTTTCAAATTTTAAGCCTTCTATGCGTTTAGGTATTATATATATTTCAATTTTCGTTTTTGTTGTGCATTTTTTACGGAGACTGCGGTGAGGCGTTTGTTTTGGCGTTTATTTCATTTATTCAAACGCTTTTCACGTTGGCCCCTCACTAAACAACAGCCATCTACGCATAACAAGCGTCAACGCCGAGCCCAAAATGTCCAAAGTGAAAGTGCAGTAACTTGGCCCATGCGCGCTGTACATGCCGAGCGCTGTCCCCGCGATAATGCGCGCTTAGCGTTGATATCGTCGACGGTCACAATCATTTGGCAGTCGCCAGTTATGCGATTTGCAAATTGGCGAGGCTTAAATAAACACACTTTGTACACACCCGTTAACACAATCAAATATTTTTTTGTTTTTTTGGTTTGCCTAAATGTACTCGCATTTGCGTATGCGCGGTGCGAAATCAGCAAATGTGTCACATTTCAGCAATAATTGCAGCATCACAATCTGTATAAAATTGTGTGTTAATTGCCACAAGCGCGTTGAACGAGAAAAGCCCCAAAAAATTTTGTGCGCGAATGAGTGAAGCTGTTGTGAAGCCGCCGCAGCAGACTGGGTCATTTGTGTAGTGTTAAGAGACGGACGTTAGATTTCACAGTCTGTCGGCTGCATTCAACTAAATACTCTTTGAAAACTTTAAAAAAGTAATTGTTATGAAAGTTTTACTGCGCTTACTAATGAATGTTTACATGATAGTTTTGTATGCACATACTTTTTGAGGATTTATGATTATGTAAATAAGTAGTGGGATGATACAGCACTCTGCATTATGGTAAAAGCTATTAATGGTCGATTCACATACAATTTCACGCGCTTTGCTTGACAATTCATACATTGAATAGAATGAACAGTTTGTTTTCAGTGTTTCCCTCTAATAAAAATGACAATTATTATTTCACAAAGCGTATATGAGTATTGGCCAATATTTTGCTTCGCATTGCTTTGCTTTGCCTCGATGAAGAAATAAATTCATACAAAAGCATACATCGAACTTAACTATTAAAGCAAATATTTGTTGTTTTTGAATAAGCCATACATCTTGGTACCGGATGATAGGTTGCTCATCAATTTCTAATAACGTCCAAGGAACTGTCCATGGATCTGTACCTGAAAATTCCCTGTTTTCCATTGTACTTAAGACAGCATATAGAAATTTATTAAATAATTAAAAGAACACTACGCCGATAGATGTTCTGCCAGAATCGTCCTCTCTTTGGTAGATCAACGGTTCTTTAAGTTCTCAGTTATCTTATTAAATAAATTTCATTTTTGACTCAACCTGACACTTGAAACGTACCGAGTTTTACTAACGCACCTTTTTCATCACAATGGTATAAAATGTATTTGGAGGAGTAGAGAATGGAATGGAATATATATAGAGAAGTATACGTATTCAGTAATTTTCATTTTCTATTCATCTAAGTAAAGCTTTGGCTACACCTTTGGGTGTGTCACTATCATTATGAATGTACGAACAAATATTTAAGTGTATCGTACAAATAATGTGAATAAAATGTTTTGTTCGTTATATTATGCAACAAGCATGTCAAATGATGCGGCAACTGTAATGTGTATAAAAAATACTTAATTGATTTTTTTTTTTTTTCAAAGGGTTAGATCAATTTAAAATTTTTAATAAAATATTTGTGCACCCCTTTATAGACATTGGAGGAGATGTGAACGTAATTCTGAAAATAAAACCTTATCATAAAATCGATTAGCGTTCTGGAGTCAGAGTAGAAGTATTGAGGCCCTCCTAATATGGATTAATACTAAGCTGCACATCTGAATTTGAAGGGAAACCTTGACCTAGAATTTAGCTCGTATCCAGCCAAATATAGATATAATATTGTACAATTGTAACTTTTCTAAATTGAATATCTGTCTTGTGCATAAAGGATCGACTACATGATCGTAGTATATAAAAACCGTTGATTGCTTGATGATCAGAATTCAAAAAAGAAAGCCTTTGGCGATCGTTGGTTTAAAAATTTGCACATTTTCATTTAAATTTACCAGAACATAAGCCACAGTATTCATTCATGCAAGTTAATATCGAATCAAAACAACATTAGTTGAAAGAACACCCTTTATGAGCCAGTATATTTTTTTTCATGAGTCATATATGCATATAAGTTTGTATAGCGATTTGTGAAAAAAACAATAATTAAGCTTTCAAATTTGGCTTAACCCTTTTAACTTCAGTTAGACACACACACCAGCCAACTAACTAGTCTTACTATAAGCAAACGTATGTAACATATGTAAATATGTAGCATAAGTTTTTAATCAAATGCCTTCTTTCTTGTCAGTGTACCAGGATCCATGCATTAGCTACAAAAAAGGCCAGCTGTCCGATCTGCTGATAGACAGACAGGTGTAATTGAAAATCCAGCCCACGACTGGTTCCAAGTGCCCAGCGGCATATTAACTATGCTCTATGTGGCATTTTTTTTTAATTACATAAATTGCAATGTTATTTTTTCTTATTTCCACCTTATTTTGCTCGCATTTTAATTAATATGCGATACGCGTTTTAAAGCGAAACCAAACAGCAACCGATTTTGTGCAAAAGCCAACGAAGTCCAACTTTAGCTTGAGTCGAATGACCGTTGGGGGTACAATGGAGGACAGATTTATTAGCTTTGAAGCATAAAAAAGTATGAAAATGAACAATTGTTGAGCTCTTGACCCAAAGTACGCAAGTGAACAAATATCTTAGTGATATGAATTACCCACGATATTTTCACATTAAAAAGATGCAATTAATTAAATTATTGCACAGCGCGAGTGAACGTTGCAAGCGGCTGATTTTCTTTGTTAGATTTCATTACCAACTTTCACAGTCGCTAATTGTCGATTTAATTTGCTCTAAATTTTTTTCGCGCTAATCAAAGAGTTGCTTTGTTAAAAGAAGTCGAAGGTAAGGCGCAGCCGCAGCATGCAACCACAGCAAAACGAGCAACTAAACTACATACATACATATACATATGTGTGTGTATGAATCTTGGTTGCAGTATTTGTGTAATGTTTTGGATCGCTGTGAGCTAGAGTTGTCATGCAACTTTTGCAAATTTAAAGAAACAACTGATACTATTTATTGTTGGTGTTGTTAATGCGGCTGATGGTGCTCCATCGTCTGCAGTTTCGCAAACTCAGCTCGAAAATCGGTCAATGCAGCGAGAGCATTCATGCGCTTACATCAAAACAAAGCGTCCCATAGACACGTGGGCATAGAAATAGTGACACTTTGAAAAATGCAAACTTTGAGTATGATGCAAGTGAAAAGAGTGAAGTACAGAGTTTTAATATCAGATATTTTGATGACTGGAAGTTGACAGTAATTTATAGCAAAGTCATATACAATCGGTACTTAAAACTATCGTTTGTAGTACCAGAAACCATCTTAAAACATTCACAAGAAATAGTAATATAATTATATTTTATTGTAATTTAAAGGAATATATCACAAGTAATAAAATTTAAAAACCTTGTAGAATCGATTACAAAATAATGAGACAATTTCTACCCTCTAGTAATGAAATTCTTAAAAGTAAAGAACGTTGTGAAAAAAGTGGGTGTGCAGATCCAATATTTTTGGAGATAAAACCTCAGGCCGAGTCGAATTTTCTATACAAAGTTATAAAAAAACGATATTCGGAACGCGATTAATCGAGCAAATAAATTTGATTATCGAAACACGTCTTAGGCTTGGTCACTGTACATCTATTACAAGTAACTTAGTTATCTCTTTTGATAGAAAAAACGAAAAATTAAAGATTTTGATGTAGATGTTTCCATAATAATGCGCACAATCGCACACAAGTATGTAGAACTGTATGTGCAAATGGATAGATGCATTGTGAAAGACGCCGGTTTAAGCAGTAAGTCAACAACTGGCTGCAGCTGTAAGAAATCGCACTATAAATATATTCACGCCAAACTACTTATAGGTGCTACAAAATCGTTTACAACAACAATAAACGAGATATGTTTATTGAATCGGTTAGCAACTGCAGTGCATGCTCCACGCAATTTCAGCCAGTCGCGGACACTAAATAGAATGATGACAATTCAATGAGATCACGCACAGTTTGTAATTATGTGCAACTATTACACGCGGCAGACGCAGCTGTTCGCCTTAAAAAAGTAAGCAACAAAATGCACTGATTAAATAGCACGCGCATGCGCAAACACTATGACAGATTAAACGCAAAAGATAACCACAATAATACAAATTTGCTAAGACCAATCAAAATAAGTTTTTTGTGCAGATTTTCATTTTTTTTTTTTTCGAGTTTACACCATGCATCAATCGTTATAGATTACATACATATGTATATCACCAACCGTTTTAACCTTCGCTAACACCCTGAAGAAGAATAAATTTCACTAACGCGTCTCGTATTGTTTTGCCGTTTGCCGTTGGTCGAAACGTTTGCTAAAAGTCGCGCTACTGCACACAGCCATGCAATGTTAACAACTGATTTGAACCCGGCTCAAAGCGCTTGGCCGAAGTTGTTGGCGCCCATTCGCACGCTATAGGCACTTCATCACTCTCACTGATGGCTGTAAACGCTCTCTCGTCGCATCAGCACGAAATATGCATATACATATGTACAAATGTATATGTGTGTGTTTGAATGCACATTCGATGTTGGCCAACGGTCGCCTGTTATTGTGGTTGACCAAGTCTATACCGATTTTATACTTGTTTTTTTGCACCAAAAATAACTGATTAGCATGCATATATGCATACATACATACATGCACAAATATAATTATGCATATTGTGGTAACTTTTGAAATGGAGTTGTCATTGAATTTGAAATCAATGAAGCATAAAATTGACGTGGGATGGTTTTCGGTTCATGATAATGGTGTCTGTTGACTGTTTCTATGATGTTGGATGTACATATGTACTATATATAATGTATTAGTAGATACAATGCTTTAACAAACATAATTATTATTATTTCGGTCTATTGCATACAATTTATGGATTCACAATGCCGACTAATGAATCATCGAAGAGAAAGAGTGTAAAAAAATTGTAATTTTAGCCCTTCAGCCAAGCTCCTTCCCTCTCATTATCAAAATCAAAATAATATAATAGTCCATATATAATTATTTAAAACAAGAAAAAACGTTAACTTCGGTTGCATCGAAGCTATAATATCCTTCACAAATACAAAGGTTCCTGAATAATCTCTTCTGAATAATCTGATCTGAATAATTTCTTCGGAGAACATTGTTGCTTTAAACAATAACCCACGCCTAATTTTGTGAAGGTACCTCGTCAAGTAAAAGAGTTTTTCATACAAGCATTTGATTCCGATCGTTCAGTTTGTATGGTAGCTATATGCTGTAGTGCAACAACATTTTTTACAATAAACACAGCATTTTTAAGAACAGCAACTGGCTCTGGGTAGCTCGCTCGAAACAATTGAGATTCACCATTTATCTCAGTAGAAATATATTTTTGAATCGGCGATTTTTTTTTCGTTCTGAGAGCTATGTTGTTCTAATTTTTATTGAGTCGTGAGAATCAGGAGTCATCCCTGGTATATATTTTACAAACCCATTATCAAAGTTACATGAAACAAGGCATGTGGGTTGAATGAACGGACAACATGCAGCCTCACCTTCAATAAGATACTTGAAGTAATAGAACAGTAAGCAAAAGAGATGTATCCGTTCTATAGAGTATTACATTTTAGGAGGATACCCGGTTCAATGCGAAATAAATATTTCTCTGAATGCCAAAGTATGATTCGTTTGAATTTGTTTCAGTTCAAATCTTCTGAGTCATTAATATTGATGGAAAAGTTTTGCAATACAAAATGTCTTATTCATAAAGAGCTAAAGTCAGCTTACGACAGTTTATAACAGTTCAATGTACTACAACTAATAGTTGATTATAACTTGTTAAGGTCTTGAAAGCTTTGCATTTGCATTTCAACTAATCCACAAAGTCGTTAAACGCATATTAAGTACGAGTATGAGAAAAGCCGACAACACAATTAATGGTCATATGTGGGAATCACACAATTTATAATGAATGATAAATTCTTTTAAGGTTATTACAATATGATTCGATTAAACCACAATAAGATGTTGAAGCTATTCAGTAGAACTTGAGCTCATTTCAGTAAGATTATAACGGTGGAACGTTGATTCTGGATAAAGTTGTTTTACCAATAAAACATAAGCGGTGATCATGCAGAAAGATATAGAAAATAATCTGAAGATATATATAGCAAAAAAATTTAATATTTCACTAAATGGAAGTTACTAAAAGTAATTCTTCTAATCATTTTAATAGTCAAATACTCAAATATTACTAAGGATTATACTATTGATTATATTTTAATGAATACTGAATACTGATCGCCAACCGTTCTTTGCTATTGTTATCAGTCTATATATGAGGATAGTACTAAAATTTGTATGCTCTGGCTACTCCGTCCCATCAAAATTTTTACTTTAAAGTTAATCGATTTTCTGCTAGTTACCAAATATTGATCGAAAGAAAATCAGAGCTAGCAAAAAATATAGACTAATTTCATTGATCAAGTCATGTTCATGTTCAGCATAACATTACCGAATTTTATTATGATAACTCTCTTAAATCGGCCGGTGTAAGTGTTTTAAATTGAACCAGAGGGAAATATATTATATATTGAAATAGGTATATTAGGGTTTCTTAACACGCTTAATTCGATTTCAGTATATTTTTTGAGATATCTATTGCAATAAAATAAACTAAAAGAATTGAAAATGGTGACGTATTGGAAATATTATATATAATACATACCTATATCCAATCCATCAACAGCAGTCGTACGCTTGCGTTTAATGCTCCATTCTCCTATATATATATGTATGTATGCCACAGTGTAGATATATAGGAGAATGGAGCATTAAACGCAAGCGTACGACTGCTTTTGATGGATATATATATATATGTATGTAGTACTGCTATTTTATGATGTCGACTGTACTGAAAACTTTGTTTTGGTGGTTTTAATGGTGGATCGTTATTTTCATTAATGAAAAGTGACAGTGAAACATAATAAAATGTGTTATTAATGTCTGTGTGCTTCAGCCACCAAACGAAAACGGTCAACAAGCAACGCTAGATGTTCAGCGCCAGTGACGACCGTTAAACGGAAGCGGATGGTTGATAAAATCTCATAAGCAGTAAAAATAGTAAAACAAGACCAACACTATATATATTAAAAATTAAATGGCCAAAAGCAGAAGATGAAGAAGAAAACTTTGCTCAGAAAAAGAGAAATTATTCTCGACAAACAGGAAAAGGGTTTTTATTTTTAGTAGGAGAAATTAGGCACATAACTTAATGGAAGATACTTTTTGACTTTTGTGATAATATAATTACAATTTAAATAAAAAATTATTCTTCAGTAAAATATCTACAATTTATTTCTAAAATTATATATATAGTATATAACTTTCAACGATGCAGATCTCAGCAAAATAGGAAAAAATAATATCAACTCTGATTTAATAATTACTCGTACACATATAATCATTATGATGATTATGATGATCAGTCAAAATGCTAGTTTCGCACCACAAATTTCATGCTTACCTTAGATCTGTTGCAAAGTGGACGGAGAGCGGGCGAGCTTGATAATAGTATGTTGGAGATTCCGTCAGTTGTGTGTCGGATGGCTGTATAATACATTGGCTTGTGACGTCATGACATAAAGATGGCTAAGGAAACTTATATACCAAAATTAGATGTACTTGGTTTGGTAGTAGCATTCTTTATTTTTTGATGCGAGGCTACTAAATCATCTTTACCCTTAAATTTAAGGTTTTCGTTAGACACTTACCGCAATTTTAATAATTTTGAACATAAAAGTTGTAGAGAGAGTTTACCGATTTCACCAAAATTAATCTACAGATAAAACTACTGCCTATGAACCTTTATACACAATTTATATCTTAATTTTTACCCGTATATGGCTTGATGAAAATCGATGCCTGTAAAAAACACACTATGGAAAAAAACAGATAGCAACACTTAAATTTTTGAGAAGCAATCTTTAGAGCATTCTACTAAAATTAGTGAAAAAATTCGTAAAATGAAAAATGGGGAAATGGAAAAAAATATCTTCATTTAAATTTAAAATCTTTATGTATAGTATATTTGAATTAATTTGTACGTTTATCTTGAAATCACCAGACACCAGTGCATGGAAAACTGTCGACTGGATACTTGTTTGCCTTTAATTGGTAGCCCATAATCATGTGCAACGCATATTTTTTGATATTGGTTTCTTAGAGGCCGCTATACTCGCATAGTAGCCTAACATAATAGGGGTTTTAATTTGGCTGTTAGAATACAAATATATTATTACAAAATGTAATCTGATTTTTATTTAGTTATTTAGGTATATTAACATATTACGATAACCTAATAGTATGTTGAAACCTTTATTAACACAATTGAGATGAGATCAATATATTTAAAATTTGTATTTATTTTACTTGTAGAAAAAGCAATATTCCTTACTTATCTACACTAAATGGTTATAGCTTCATTGTCTATCCTAAACCTACTTTGTATATTGTACTTGCTTGAAACCGCAAGCGTACTCGGTTTGTATAAAAACTTAAATGTTTAATCTGAATATGTAATTTTTTAAGCGTACATATTATGAAATGATTGAAACAACTCGTTAAACTATTATTATATATATATTTTTCTGTCAAAAGCTCTCGGTTGCTAGACGAAACTGTCGTTATCTCAATTCCTATATTTCTTACTAGCATCGTCTAAAATTTGTATGCCTATAATATTCATATCAATTAATCTGAATCTTTCGCTTCTTCTTCTGTTTCCGATTCCAGGTCCGGTTCTACTTCCAACGTCAGTTTTGATTCTTGTTCCGATTGCCATTTCCATACCTGAACCCCTTCCGCGCCAGTAAAATATATATGTTGAAGGAACCTTATGCACCAAATGTCAACATTGTGTTTGCACGAAGTCTCCGAATGATATTTAGCTGCCAAAGTTATCAAAAATTTCTGGAATTTTTTATTAGGAGGATACAAACGGGTTAAGCCTCCGTAAACACGGGCGGATAATGGTTGCATTTGTTCAAGTGCACGATCAGCTAGAAATCAATACAGTATCGAATGCAAAATATGTTGTAATATTCAAATTTTTTCATACTATTAATTAAAGTATTCCAGCATAGTACATACATGTTTCAATTCTGTTTAGGAACCACGGTTCCATTTTAACTTTTTGGATAATATTCCGTTCTGCATTGGTTTTCTCTAAATATGCTTCCAAAACACGTAAATCGTCGATTTCCTGCTTAGAAGAGCCCATCCCTTCTTTTGTGATCAATATACACTTTGCAATGCATCGCTTGCTGTGCTAAAAGGAAAAATATTTAAAAAATAATATACTCGTATACAATATTAAAAGAAGAAGTCGACATCTTAACTCACCTGATAATGTTTCCCTGCTTGATAAATACGCGCTAATTCGAAATAATTTTTTGCTGTGAATAAGTTCTTGTCGTCGTGGATATCCACACATAAGTTCACAACCTCAATTTGTATTTTAACGAGCATGCCAAATTCTAAATAACTAGTCTTGTGAAACCTTTCGTATTTATCGGTTGAAATTTGGTGTTTTATCAATAAATGTAATCGAAAGGTTGATGCAAGCAATAAGTTTTTTAATGGCAACATCTTTGTCATCACTCGGAGCGCGTTTTGGATGAGTTTAAGGGATCTATGTTTTCGAACATAGCACGCATTAGCGAATGCTGTGTCCGTCAAACTAATAAGGAAACTCTCATCGCATAGTTTTCGGTGTCTAATCTTACAGACCTCATCGTAAATATTAACGGCGTGTTGAGATTTATCAAAAAGGAGTAGAAAGTACGCATAATCGAACAACACGTCAGCATATATTAAATGATTACGCCCAAACACAGTCCTAAAATGGAAATGGCAGACAAGCTTTCTTTTATTGGTTGAAAGTCAAATAAAATAAGTAAGGAAGTTCTTCGTTCGAGTGTAATCGAAGATTTTATTCTCTCTCATTTTATGTGGCTGAAAGGCGGTGAAATATGGTCAGGTGTTGAAAAAACTCTATATTAAAAAATGTTGCAAAAAAATGCAACGGAAGCAAGAAAGGATTACAATAATATTTTATGTATTATTAATTTATACTATAGGTGGTTTTACTTCTTGTCCGAGATATTAAAACATCACACATATTGAACGATATAAACGGTTTAAAGTAAGTTGCAAGATCGGAAATCACCCTATCGAGTATATTCGGGCTATGGGAAGGTTTAGAGCTGATTGCATTAACTTTTGGCATTACTCAGTTATACTGATACAAATATTGATCTGCATATGAAATTAGTATATAAGGTGCGTTGGAAATAAGATTAGTATTGACCCGATTTAATCAATTTTCGGCATTACAACATACTATTACTGGAAATAATGCTCACAAACTAGATAGGTCAAGATTCACACTTTGATTTATTTTAGGCTCAAAGATACATTGTTATTAGAAAAAGACGCTCTCTGAGTTACATTAAGACCTCTCACATATTGACCGATATATAGGGTATAAAGTCAACCTGAAGTTCGAAAATCTTGATATGAGATATATGGGGGCTAGGAAAAGTTTTGACCCTAACTTACCCATTTTTTGCACAAGGGCACACTATTACCAGGAAAATATTTACTCTGAATTTCTATAATATATTTCCGAAATGTAGTTATATTTTGAGTAGAATATCAGTTGTAGGCACTGAGGATACCCATATGCGATATTTGGGGGCTTGAAAAGTTATGGTCCGATTTTAACGATTTTCTTCTTTGATACTTAATTTCCAAACTGCAAATGGAATTAGATGGAATTTAAAATTGTGATATATACGGATTAGGCGTGGTTATTGCCCGATTTTCACAATGTAACATACTTAAGAAAAAAGTGATGTTATGCACCGAATTCGGTTGAAGTCGGTCTAATAATCTCTTAGATATAGGTTTTTACCTAAAATTTAATGTCTCTGACATGATTAGTTAGTGAGTTATCGCACTTTTAGTAGTTTCCAACAAAACCGTTATATGGAGAGTGGGCGGGGTACCATCCAATTTCACCTATTCTCTCACTGTCATAGGAGGTGTCGAAAGTATTTGTCGTGTGCAAATTTGGTTGATATAACTTGAATAGTTTGGGAGACATACATTAAACCTATTAGAGGCGGATCTACGGCCATTTACGATTAACAACGTTTTGTGGGCGCGTAAGTGATTCGATTACGCACATCTACAATACTTATGATGCCATGGAACATACTTGTATATACTAAGTTTCGTCAAGTTATCTTATTTTTACTCAAGCTTCAGTTCTCACGAATTTCAACTCGTCTTGTCATTCTGATTATTTATATACAAATACATGTATATAACTATGTCTAATCTATGCTCTCATTATTTCCTTTTTTATGAAAAATACACACATACAAAACGATATTCTTCGAAAGTAAGCCATGCGAATTCATACGTCACCTTAACCATATATAGTACACATTTCGAAATGTTATTTCGCTTATGGCACAATTTGTGACTTTAATAATCCAACATGCTATTATTATCATTATTATTAAACTTACGCTGCCATAGAGATTGCCTGCTGTATCATTAGATTAGCCAGTCCGAATTTACGTTTGGCCATACACGCTTTTGCTGTAACTCGTAGTGCATCCACCAAAATCCTGGAATTACAGTAAGAATTATTTTTTTGGAACGACTACTATGTAAGTCATACCTTGTCGGCATTGACTCGCTTATATATTGCATAATAACGGCGCTGCACCTATAGGCTTCTTCGATTTTATGTTGCACTAAATGAAACGACGTCGCACGTGTATATATTTCTACAGCTAAATATTCTGGTACGTTTTCAAAATCTATTGTATGAAGCAATCTCGAAATTTCTGTTATTGTCTTTCTACCAGCCTTAAACTCCCATATAAGTGTTTCGCAATGGAGTCGTCTGTGGTGAAGTTACAGTGAAATTAATAAATCCGTTTATAATTTTCCATCCACTCATTACCTTTGCAAGCAATCTACGAGTTGCATCGTCGTTAATTCATTATCTCCCTGTAGACGAATTTTCGCCTCCACAACTGTGAAAATTTGTATACTTTCCAGTATCCAACCGACGTCAGAAAGAAAAGAACCAAGCCTTAATCCGAAGTTGATAAGATCCGGATATTGACCTACCGGTTTTTTCCAGTGTAAAACGAAACTGTCTGCCAATTTTTTTACGTACGCTGGGTTTCTCTCCTCCACTAAGCCCATACACATAAGGAGCTTACTCGTTGTGTTCTCATGCCACAGTAAGCCTTCCAGTATAAAGGGATTCGAAAGTGGCTTCAACACTAATCCCTTGAATCGGTCCACTCTGGCCATCTGAAATATTTTGTACACATCAAAAAAAGTATTCATATAATGTATTTATATTCTCATAACATGTTAAATTTCTTCACACTGTCTTATTCATTACATTTTTTAAATGTTCGATATAATACTAAGAACATTTAAAACTAAAACCTAAATTAGTTTAGTTTTTAGTTAGTGGAAAAGGTTTACCAGAGGATTGGAATTCATTACACTATGTATGTATATATATATATAAATAACTCACACACTTACCGACATATTCTGCATAAGGTTTGTGAGGAAAAAATATAATAAAATTATTTACCGATATATGCGGTATAAAGTGAACAGGAAGTTCGAAAATCATTATATTAGGTATATGGGGGTTAAGGGAAGTATTCATACGACTTAAACCATTTTTGAAAAAAGACGTACTATTATCAGAAAAAGATTTTTACCTAATTTTTATATTATGTCTCACATATCGATCGACATTTTAGATAAAAATATAAATTGGAACTAGGGTCCCATATTCGGTATCCCGGGGCTTGAACAGTTTTCGTCTGTTTTTGTCATAAGGTGACACGCTATTCGTGCAAAGTTTTATTCTGATACATTCATTGCAGAAAAGTGAAAGAATCAGATGGAATTTAAAATTGTGTTATATGGAAAGCAGGTGTGGTTGTCATCCGATTTCGATTCGCACGGTAACATAAGATATCTAAGATAATTCTTTCTTCCGAATTTGTTCGAAATTGGTCGAGTAGAACCTGAGGTATGTGATTTCATCGGCTCCTATATAGCCCTCTTGTACCACCTCTGGTGTAAAATTGTATGTCTCTGCCGCATTTAGTTATTAATTTATCGCACTTTTAGCAGTTTTTAACAAAAACGTTATATGGGGAGTGGACGGGGTTATAATCCGATGTGTGATTGTATCTACCAAGATTTGTACGAATATCAAAGATTGGCTATGCGAGAGAAATGTACAAATCAGTTATAATTATATAAATTGCTATAAATGTTAACAATTTTAAATTTTATGCAATAAATTTGATCATGCATCATCTTTTGTCGCTACAGCTCCTTCTGAGCATTGACGTATAGTCCAATAAATTGTTTTTCCATACATCTAACGATCTAACTTTCTTTACACTTGTCGTTTATTTAAAAGCAATTCGATCATTAGAAATGGGAAAAATAAATTTCAATCTTTATAGCATATGTTTAGGGGAGGATACCACTATAGTGGTTTCCGCGTACATACAACTGTATTTGTAGAAAATATACTTACATGGAGTAAAATATCAGCAACAAGTGTTATTGGCATGAATTCTAACTGCCGCATTGTCAACTGCGAGGGGGGGATGATTTTAAAATTATTTGGTAATTGTTCATAGTTTCTGCCTATTAGAGCTTCTGGTTTCAGACCATCTAGAAAACTATTAATACATTGTTTGTACAATGTAGGAGTCGTCCTAAAGGTCCGCGGTGCCATTATTAGTAAAAATTAAAACTATTCACTTCACTTGTCACAAAAACAGTTCACAGATATGCACAGTTCTGTTTGCATTCAACGTTTTTAAGATTGAAATCAATAAAATTTTGTGGTCAAATGCTCAAGCTAAGTTCTTCAGCTTTTAATTATATGGCGCGATACAATTGTTTATTATTGTCAAAAATATTAACCTAAGTCGAGAATATCAACACAATTTACACCCCATCAAAACACTAAAACTAACTTTGAAGACTGTGTGTCTGATGTAAACAAACATCGGAAGACTACTGAAAGGGGTTGCTTTTCCGTGAAGAGCCTACAGGTGTTGCCATATAATGTGACCGCACATAAATATATGCTACAGACATACGTACGCGTAGCCTTGCCACCTTATCATAGACCGATTGTTTGATTGAATTTTAGTGTATGGCACTTTCTTTAGGTAAAACTCAAAATTAATTTGTATTTAGGTATTAATAGGAAAACATTTATTAAGAGCCATTAATTTAGGAATAATAAAAGGATATGCGCTTATATGAAATTTTTGTTATTTATGCAGTTTTCATTATTTTCTAATATAACTTCTCTCCTCCTTTTTTTATTCCATAGAATCTCAATAATTTGGATTTGGTGCATTTCTAATTTATTTTATTCGCCATGACTATATGATTTGCTATACATATATCACCATTTCAAATTAAAAATCTGTTAAAATAGTCACTCTACAAATTAAAAAAAATAATATCAGAGTATTATATCAGTATATGACATCCCTGATAGCCGCTTCCGTTGAGTATACCAACACATAAAATCATCAGGCATCTCTAGGAGGAACTAATTCTTTCAAATATTTATATGTGTGTGAGTGAAGAAAAACATAATAACTGGAGGTATTTTTGAATTCATTACCGAAATCAGGTAGTCAAAATAAAATATCAGACGTGCGTGCATTTGTAAGCCATAGTTTAAATGGTGCTTGCAGACTGCAAAATTCATTTTAATATAACTTTAGTATGGGAGTTTGAACTAAAATCTATCAAAAATTATTAAACTAAAAGTATATATGTTTTAGTTTAAATCTTTGTACAATTATAGAGATTCATATTTACCACAAACATTTAATTTTCATGCTTATTTTCAACTTGGGTCGGGAATCACATACTTAGGGAAAATTGTTTTTAGTTTGTTTCTCAGTGACTTTACAAGAACGTAAGTACTTCTACAAATTTATACCACACATATATACATAAATATAAAATACTCATACAAACGTTAAACGATTACAGTTTCCAATGTTATCTTTGCTTCCATAAAGAAAAACCTCTGCCTACCTAAAGATTTCAACAACGACGTGATTTTCTGACCTTCATATGTACCTGTGTACGTAAGTGTGTGCACCCATATTAGGGTATATCATTTTTAACCAACTTTCGTTTTTAACTAAACAGATTATCAATAAAAAATGGAAAACTCTTAAAATTTGAGCTCTAAAAATATTTATAAAAGGTGGCTATTCATGTTGAGCATTCAACGAACGTTCAATTTGTATGGTAGCTATATGCTATAGTGATCCGATATCGGCCGTTCCGACAAATGAGCAGCTTCTTTGTGAGAAAAGGACAGGTGCAAAGTTTTAGATCGATAGCTTAAAAACTGAGCAACTAGTTTGTATATATACAGACAGACGGACATGGCTAAATCAACTCAGCTCATCATGCTGATCATTTATGTATATATTTTATAGGGTCTCCGACGTTTCCTTCTGGGTGTTACAAACTTCGGGGCAAACTTAATATACCCTGTTCTGGGTATAAAAAGGAGAAACCCAATTTTCAATGTTTACAAAAAGTTGTCTTGAGTTGCAGAATTTCAATAATATTTATCGCATGCGATATGTAACTGATGAGTAAACATGAGCCTAAATGTATGCAGTAATTGGAGTAGATTATGTTTAAGCCGCTGCCATAACTTCCGTTATTTAAAATGATAATTTAAAACGCCTCTAGTCGTCGAAATAAACTCTCGTCGTGATTTACTCTTTAATTACTTTTGCATATGAATTTTTTTTACTACATTTGATATTTTGAAATTTTTTGCCCATTGAACAATTCGTTTGCGTTGGTGGCAACTTAGAAGACATCAAAATATTCACTGTCCACCTCGATGATTGTGAAATTCTCCTGGTTGCCAAACATCCACCACTGATGCAAAATGTTTCGAATAATTAGAAAGCGCGTTGTTATAAACTCGAAGAAGTGAAAGAAGAGTGCACCTAAGTTGATAAGAGAAGAGAATCATATTGTTAAATAAATTGTAAGCTTTAGCTAAATACTTGATGTCAAGAGCGCGCATGAAGCCACCATCACTTCCTGCACCGTCAAATGCTCGTTGGGGCTCGCATTAATGTTGTCCATGCAAATGAGTACTTGCTGAAGGACGACATGTGCCAGCGGCAGCAGGGATACGCTAAAGAGCAGGTGCTTCATGATGGCGCCGCCACAACGCGCACAAAATAGCGCCTTCAACATGCGGCGCACGTTCAACTTCTCGTCTGGCACATCAAACGGCGTGTTGCATATTTCACAGCGCGTGTCACGCCGATGCAAAATCCAACGCTTCAGACACGGCATATGCACGAACCCCTAAAACGAACATTTAAAACTTAGCTCAGCTCAGGTGCGTATTTAACAAGCGCTTACCACACTGCCGCGACACTGGCAGGGACAACGCGACAACTGCATGTCACTCCGATTGCAACGGCAAATACGACAAGCATTGCCGAACTCATTCGTAGACTGTATGGTTGTGATCGACTTGCACTCGTCTACCGTGTTGATCGACGTTATGGAATTGGCATTGAGTGCAGTTGTCCGACCAGCTAATTGTTCCGTTGTCACAACACTGTTGAATAAACGTATGGCCGTCGCCTCCGATAGTCCCTGCATGCCGTTAGTGCGTAGTCGTATTGGTGGATATGTTGACGTAGATGGTAGCGATAACAGAGCGCCGAATGGCGTTGTTCGTGCTCTTGGCAGCAATGACGACGGTGGAGGCGGCGGAGGTGGTGCTGGTGGTATCGAAACTGAAGTCGGTGTTTGAATAACAGCGACAGAGGGAGAACACGAAGTATCTGGAGGCGCCGGCTGCTGCAGCTTGAGGCTTTCAAAGAACTTCTCTAATAGGTCAACGGATAATTTTGGTTGAATTTCCTAGAAATTTCATACTAAACTAATTTTAATATATTTTTTCATTTATTTCGAAGTGCGGTGACAACGCCTTGAGCTTCAAAGTCAACGAAAATATTCATACTCACAATGGATTGTAAGGAGTAGGCTTTTGTGGGTGAGAAGTACATTAATGCTGTCAAGCGAAGAAAAATTATTCTAAACACTTTGAATTGCCAGCATTCGGAAATATTTCATATTGTTAACAATACTTGTAAAGGTGGCAAACTATCGATAGGCGACACCACCACCGTTTTTTGAATAAGTCACACGGAGCTATATTTGATGAATATGGAGACTGGGACATCAGTACAGTATTATTTTTGGCCAAGAATTTACTAACAAGCAATGAAATGTGAGCAGGTGCATTAACGAAAATCGTCAAGTTTATAAAAACACGTCTTACCTTAGCGGCTGCTCCTGACAAAGTTAGAAATGAATACAGCTGAAAATATTATCGTACTTCGGGGGCATGTTTAAATTTTCAAATTCTTGTTACTTTCTGTTGTGCTTGTATAGTGCTTTCTAACATTTCAAGCTATTTTTGCTTTATATTTGTAAATTAAGCGGGCTAATAAAAGACGTGATCAATACATTTTAGTCTTTCACTTCATTTCAAACCAACTTTTCATTCACTGTTCAGGGGCACATTAAGTTAGCCACCTATTACAAGCCACTCACAAGAAAACGTCGTAGACCCTATAAAGTACTACAAGTATATGTACATTAGGGTGGAGCGAAAAAATAATAATTTTTTTTGGCTTAGGCTGCAGGTAAAATCTGTAGATTTTAAAAAAAGAAAATGTTTGGCACTCGCTCTCAGTTTTAAAGAAAATTTTCGAGTTGAAATTTTTATTTCGTAAAAAATTTTTGATAAGAGTTCTAGAAGCTGTGGAGAGTCCTCTTTCTGGCCAATTAAAATTTATCAACTTAAAAAAATTTTTTGTGGTCATTATTGGAGTTAAAAAAAAGTTTTAAATGACCACATGCTTTCCTTAAGCGTTAAAATAAATTTTGAGTCAAAAACCATCAAATTCGGTATATTTTATATAAACGTGAAGAGTTCAAATCAAAAATTATTTTTTTTTGTCCAAAAAAAATTTTAACACCAAATTTACTTTAAAACTGAGTGCGCCGCCTCTAGGTGTTAAAAAAATTTTATTTTTTCATAATCTACAGATTTTACCCCCAGGCTCCAGGCTAAGCCAAAAAAAAATTATTATTATTTCGCTCCACCCTAATGTACATACATATATAGGTCAATCCATCCAAAATTTACATTTAAATTTTGTTTCATGCAAAATATTTATTTTTGTGTTCTTTTAGGCAAAATATTGGACACGGATTTTTTTTATTCCGACACAATATGAAAAATTTTGGAGTTATGAATTTTCAAAAACATTTTTCCATTTGCATATACGAAGTACATTTTTATAAACAAATAATTTTGTTTTCAATTTGGTAATATTTTTATTCAGTTATTTTTATTGAAAAATGTACATCAGAAATTTCAGTTAATAGTTTATAAATTTCGGAAAATTTTGCACACATCCTTTTCTCCTCATTTGTTGGAACCGTCGATATCGGACAGTTATAGGATACAGCAGCCACATGAAGGGGCCGATCAAAATCAAGTTCTTGTATAGAATTTCTTTTTTTATTTGAGCAGATGTCACAATATTTAGCATAAATTATTTTCGAAGCCAATGCCACAATCTCCGGGCATATAGCTGCCATTCAAACTGACAGAGATCTGCATAAAATGTATTTTTTTTCATATTAAGTAACCTTAATTCGACTTAAGGGTTGTATATATCAAACAACATGGCTAGAAAGAACCAGCAAATAGGTTTCCTTTAGAAGCCAACCGTTGGTCAGTTAAGTTTTCAGATTTAGTTATACATATACTAGCGGTAAGAAATGCATCTAAAATCAAAGTTTTTCTTATTTTTAATAATAAAAAAATGATACTCGTTTTCATCGTCAATTCCGCATAAAATAAGATTGAATAATTAAATTGAATTTACTTACATGATCGCAAAATATTTTCTATTAAAGAAAAGTGCGTTTTGATTTTTTTGCAGCTCGAAAATGTTAATTCTTTTATTTTCATAGCAACAATTAGTATATACAAAAACAAATATATATGTTGTTTGAAACAAATGATATAAAAATCGTAAAGTTAGACTCCCATAAATAATCTTTGTTTGTTTTTCTTTAATTTAATATCGCACAATTTTTAACATACATCAAATTTTATTGAGAAATTTTGTAGAATCGAATAAAAATGAGATAATGTCTAACGTTAATACATACATACATATGTATGTATGCATAAGCGTATAAATTCTATTACGCTTTTTCAGTTAGTGAGTGTGTTTGTGTTACACAGATATGTATGTATATGTAGTGTGTATGTGTGCAATGCAGCAACGATTCAATAGACAAATTCAAATAAAAAATCACTTACATGTAAGTATGTGTTTGGGTGTGTGTATATTTATTGAAGTAAACATAATGTTAGCATATATTGTATGTAGTAGGCATGGTTCCGTTTGGTGTATAGAGTATATCGAAACGTACGTATGTATTTAGTCAAATGTATTGTTCATAATGTTCGTAGTATGTGTGCACATACATACATATAAAGGTAAATATAATATATTTAGTATCAATAATATAATTTGCTCCTCTAACATTTTACAATTAAGAAGACTTTTTTTACAATTTCACTTTTTGCTGTACCAACAACAATTGTTTGTTAAATAGAATTGTAGACATACATAGTAAATTCTTAGACAAAGTCGCTAATGTCTAATTATCTGCATTATTTTTGTACGTAGTGCTAAAGTACAAAAGCACTGTGACTACAACTACGCACGAACCAGATTAAAAAAAGTAGTATAATTAACTTTTATGTAACCAATAAATAAAATATTACAATTTTTACGGCAATAATTTTTCTTTTAATTTAACACGATTTAGTGAAAATAAATAAACCTTGTAAACGCTCGTAGAGCCGTAACCATTCATTTCGGCTTATTTTAGTACAGTTAACACTTTTAGTGTGCGGATGGATTAGTATGAGTGGATTATCTGTGGTAGTGACCGGATTTAGAGTTCTGGATGTCGAAGGTGTTATTTCGTTTAATTTTTTAACGGCTTGAACCGCATTTACTGGCAATTACGGAAGCGACGGTAGATGCTTTGCACGTAGATGAAAACACACTTCCAATCAGGTCGTTTCATCTCTACCATATCCTCGACATCGAGTAGTGGCGCTATGCCAGCTTTCTCACTGCAATTTCAAGACAAATATTTATAGTTTACTATATAATTTATGTGGATGGAAGTTGAAGTATAACGGTTAATGGCGCATTTGTTGTACTTACTCGGCCACAGTGAAAGCTAATTCAAAATTCTGTCTTCGGTTTTGAGGTGTTAATTTACTATAATCGAAGGCATCTGGCAAGAAGTGATGTATTAGCGCACAAAATGCTAAACCATCTGACCAGCTGGCACTAAAATTAGTTATTTGGACGTTCTGCAAAAGAGTTGAAATTTTTTTATAAATGTGTTGTAAAGCAGTGCATCAATGAAACACAAAACAATAACAACAAATAAGCGCAAAATTATTGCAAAAATAAATAAATTAAGTAAAATTAATTATATCAGCAGTGATGCGAAAATAAAAGTATAAATAGAAAATAAAATATTGAAATACAATATTTTTTTTTTTTAATAAAACGGATAAAGTTTTTTTTATAGTTTTAAAATCTATGTAGACAACAATAATATAAAATAGGTATAGGATTAGCATATGGCATTAAACTATACAAAGCAGACTCAAAAGCATTTCTCTGATTATGCATAATTAAAAAGCTACACCGTTGGTCACTGCTTACAGCGTTAGTATGTTTTTACACTATTCCTTTTTATCATTTAGTATATTAGTTGATTACAAGAGGCCTGCAGAGTTATTGCAATTTTTTAAGCGACTTTTGTTAGCGACCGTTAGCTGGCCGTTTTCTTAGAAATATAACTGCTTTTCTGCAGCGCAGTTTGCTAGTAAAAATTGTAGAACATATAGCGAGAAGATATGATTGCAACGCTTTTGTATTTTGTTTTTGTTTTGACATTAAAAGTGATACCTCATATTCCTGTGTTTTCGATTGGCACCACTGCAGAAGTTGCTCCTTCACAGTGGCGGCGCGTGCATTTAATGCCGGATCAGTAAATTGGAATATACGTGCGGAACCAGAAGGTGAGGCTGTGCCCCCGGGAGTGGTGGGTGTTGACGGTGATCTGAACAAAGGTTTTTAACGTTTTTAAGCAACATTGTGGCAATTGAGTATGTTCGCAAAAGATTAGTTCTACTTGGTTGATTTCGTCTTTGACAAACGTATTAAAATTTACGATTTTATTTCTTGCATACAATGGTTCAGTTAATTCAAAATAGAAAATCTACTGAAACTGGCACTAAGTTGTGAGAGTGTTTTGAAGAAATTTTAGGAATTTTAACTGGCTGCGAGAGTATACGTAGAAGAAGTGTTTCGGGCATAGAAGGGTCTCTTTTTAATTGGTTTGAGTTCTTGTGTTGGTTTTTGTATACAAAATTAAAAAATTAAACTAAAAAAATAGTAAATTTCGGTATTCGGTATTAATGTTTCGTGTGTTCTAACTTAGAGTTAACCTTATAATTATTCGAATTATTGCTGCCAATGAGTTATATAGTTTTATAATAATATTTAGGTACACATATCATCACCTTAATTTTCCATTAATTAAAGATTGCTTGCTTATAATATGGTATAAAAAGGTAGTATGTGAATTAAGGACTTCCATCACCAGCTGAGTATAATTAAAATATTTAAAAATCATGTAAAATGAACTCTGATTATATTCTGAAATACTAATGTTAGTTATGAGAAATGAAGCTACCACTTGAAGTACATACATCTTACACGTCTTGGAATAATTGTCTGGTACACATTTATAAATAATTAGTAATTTTTCCTTAGAGTCGTTAAGTCCAAAAATATTAACTCGGCCATCAATTTTAGATTGAATTCGAGCAGATTTTGAATAATATACACGCAAATCGTGAAATCGTGAAAAATTATTTACATACATACATATGCCGCCTTCGATTCGACAAAGTTTGTGGAGTTGCGAATCGAACATACAAGTCGCAAATATACTCCGTATACTAACGTACAAATACACTTTAATCAATTATCCAGATATTTTTGGGATATGTGTATATAATTTTAATTTCTTCCAAGCTGATTTTATAATATTATTTCATTTACCGTTATTTTTGTTTTATTTTCAAGAAATCCGAGATATAATTTATATCACAATACATTGGAACGATTTTTGCAATATTTAATTAATTATGTATACGTTTGTATGTAAATGAAATTGTTTTGGCTTCTTTGTTTTTTTTTTTTGTAAGACAGACCTAGATATCGTAGTGTAGAAAATAATAAATAGTTTCTTACTTTGGGGATTGCTGCGAGTTTTGTTTGTCCAGCTGACGGAATTTCGCAAACGGTGAAACTGGTTTCGCTGCAGTGTTGCCAGCACCAGTTACTGTGCGTGTTGTAACTGTGATAAAAAAGTAAATTTAATTTTAGTTAAAAGAAAGATAATACATTATATGACAAAATATTAGAAAATGTTTACCTTTTGTTGTTGTGGTTACAACGGCGCCATCCTTTTCCTTCGTTTCTGTTTTCTCAGTGGTTGATGTAGCTTGTTGCTCTGTAGAGGTGAGTATTTGAAGAAATTATATTTGTTTGTGTTTTGCATGGAATTATTGTTTGTTTTTATGTTTGTTTTATGTCGGTTTGAAGCATTTGTAAAGCACAAAAATTGCAAAAATATAGAAAAAAGAGAACAAAAATATGTAGCATGCGTTAATTAAATATGTATGTATTTTATAATATATTTTGTGTAAACAAATTTTATATAAAAAAGTTATCATCAAACTATGTTGATACACTATAATTAATTCGACTCACGTTACCGTACAAGGCAATAAACTTAATTTGAAAGGTTTTACAAATTCAAGATTAACTACATAAATATAATAAATATATATATACATATACATACAAGTATATATTAAAGCTTATGCTCTCAAAATTATTATATGCCAACAAAATAAGCCAATTCTCATACGTGAATCTTTTTAATCATATCAACAATTTTTAGTAATATTCTTCAATAACAAAAGCCAATTTATTTGAACAAACTAATGGACAAAACAATTTTCTACTTAAATAAACAATTGGTTAGGGTCTTCTTAATGGACAAACACAAAGTTATATGCACATAAAATTCTCCCAAAAACACTTTGTACAAATAGTTATCACTTATCAGGGACATACACACTATTTATTATACAGTTTTTTAATATTTAATTTTCTTAAACTCTCAAGTTTACCTTTTCGAAGTCTTCTTGATATATACGCTCAAACCTATTTCAAAACGATTTAAGTAAAGCATTATATGTACAACTATGCAAATCGCTTGCTATTGCAGAATTCTGACTCTCAAAAGGTTTGAATAATGTTCCAAACACAAATTTAATTTATCTGCATACAAAAAGATGCAAAAACTAAATCAATTAATTCCGATGTAAATATGTTGTTGCTTTCAAAAATTTCCACAAGTTTTTCAATCTTTCTTTCGGCAGATACGTATTGTATATTCAAAAAAAAAACTCTCTTTATTAATGCCCAAAAGTCCAACATCTCAACAAATAACTATTTCCATTAGAGGTCTCAAATTTGCAAGGATTAAAAGCAATGATATATCAAATTAAAGGTTATAGTCTCATGTAAGATAGAAAAGAAGAAATTATGCACAAAAATATGAAAATATAAAATATCATATGAGCATCGCAAGAAAACAATTTTAAAGGTTTTTCGTAATTTTTGGAAAACTCATGAACTGGTTTTAGTTTATTTTAATTTAGTCGAAAACAAAAAGGTTTAAGATAAAAAAAAGCATAAACTATGAAGATAAAAATTTAAATAACACAACCAATAATTGTAGAGAGGTGTATAAAACCTCTTGCAGTCGAATTTCATCCTTTATGAATGATGCATTGTCAAACTTTTTTACTACGTACAAAAGTCCGATACAAATGCACCAATTTTTTCAAACATTGTAATTTATATGTTCAAAAAGGTTTTTTTTTAATCTTCCTGCTTTATTCCGTAACGTTTCTTAAAAACGAACACAAACATACACACAAACTTCACACTCCTAACAATAAAAAAGCATGAAATATAAATTAAACAGAAAAATCGCATGCAAAAACGAGCGAATCAACGAATGTACATATAATATAATAATGTGCGAATGTATGTGTGCACGCAACACATATGTGTTAACATATAAAGGAAAAACCAAAACTTAACACGAGTTTAAGTGCGGCGAGTGTCGAGCAACGAACAATCCTAGAAAAAAATCGCCAATCGCATACTATCGTTTTCAAAAATGCATGCGTTCAGAGGCGATCGTCAGTCGTGGTTCACACTCGTTCACCCTTTCATTTGCAAAAATATGTTCTAACACAAATTTACTTATATATGTACATATGGTATATACTTGTATGGTATGTACACGTGTAAAAAAGTCCTCTCGTACAGTAGTGGTACGCCGTCCATATGTACAAGTATGCGTGTGTAAGTATATGGTTGATGTGTATTTACAGAAGGAGGGACAACATGGTTGAATTATTATTACAAAAAACATATGATTAAACATTAGTAGCTACTTGTATATTGATTTAGCCAAATCAATCACTGATAAACTCTCTTTTTAACATTATTAATTGTTAAGAAATCTCTCAAGCGTAATACGAACACGAACGAACGAGCCAATGAGCGAATCAACGAGTTGAAAAGTAAACGAGCGTGTAAGTGAGCGAGCTGACTATTAGGCAGGCGGTCAGGCGAGCTGGCGGGTGGATTTGGAGCTGTGGGCTATGCGTGAAACTGGGCATGGCTAGGAGCTGGGGTCAACATTGTAATCAGTAACGGCGTTAATACTGAATGTGTGCATCGTTTTTTATTTAGGTTAGTGTTTGGAACAACGCACTGGTGAAGCAGTTTGCAATGTTGTGGAGAAGGTCAGAAAAGCGAGACACATGAAAAACGCAGATGAACTCACACTGAATAGAGTAGATATGTAGAAGGATGAGCACAGTTCAATTTTGAAGTGGTCACACCAAACATATCGTCTTCAAGATAATCGGCGTGGCTTGTTGTATTAAATGGAGCTGTTGTTCTATGCCGCTAGGCGCAAACTTTCTGGCAGGCATTCCGTTAATTTCGACATCATTGCATTAATGCAAGCGGCCATTAGCAGAGTTCCAACGGTCACTCGCCCATTTCGTTTACTCAAATATATAAATGTACTGTGCGTGTAAATGGTATTTGTTTGGTTTATGATATTAGCTTTCAACTGTGTATTGAGGTTAAATTGAAATCGGCGTAAAAATTTCAATAATAAAACAACATGTGGTCCCTCCTCTTCCATTTTCTTTCACGTCAATTCGTACCGAGTCGCAGAACAGTCCCAATACGTAAATTAATTAAAAAAACTGAGAAATATGGGAAGAGGGAACGCGCTAAAGATTATTAATTGTCTATTGTTGTGTAACGTTTGAAACATGGCGAGTTACTCAGCAGCAACTAGCCTGTAAACGTCCACTTTGTATTATAACTTTTAATTTTAATGTAGAGGTTTCGTTTTTGTTCACTTTACAACTGCAATCAAACTTGTTGTTTGGCGCTATGCATTTCGATTTTGTTATGTTGGCTCGCTTTTGCAATTTGGAATGGTTGGCACGTGTGACCCCAGCTCAGCGTGCGAGCCTTACGTCCTACGAGCCCATCATCAGCTGCTCAAACGCGTCTTCAACATTGCTCTCGTCGAGCAGATTCAAACTAGCTATATGCGGCATTGTTGCGCTTCGTGTCAACCCACCGCCCAATATAGTAGTTCCGGTCGCTGGTATACCGTTACTGGTCACTGCAGTCAGCGATTTGCGACTCGCCGAAATCTTTTCATTGGTCTTGTGACGATTAATAGTCGACTTCTTTGCTCCCGTCGATGCGATGGACGTTGTTGCAGTTGTTATTGCTGAACGCATTTCAACTGCTTCGCCACCACCAAGTTGATTGGGAGACTTCTTACCAGTGAAGTAAGCCTCCACGGTGCGCTGTTTCTCACCGACCTGCGTCTTATCTATGCCCGCCTCATACATGCGCACATTCAAAGTGTGCCCGGATTTGGTGCGTCGCAATTCACTACCACCAACGCTGTTTCCGAACTTCGGCGATGTCGGCGGCTGCTGGATATTCGCTTGATTTTGCATTTGTACAATCTGATTCCACGAATCACTCTTGCTCAAACGATTCGTCCGCGGATGTGCATCAATATGCGCATGCTCATGATCTTCCTGGCGACGCGACATGGACTGGAATGCGCTGATATTGTTGAAAACAATATTGCGCGGTATGAGATCTTCATCTGGCTGTGGCGTGGCCGGAATTTCCACAATAGAAGGTTTCTTCGTCAGCGTTGAGTGCTGAACAATCTGATGTTGCGTATTCTTTATCACCTTAGTGCTGCTCTCGAACTTTTGGGTTTGTGTATTAGCTGTGGGACTCTGATATGAATTGGGCATATAATGGTGGCGTTGTGGTGGACCGAATTTTTTCAGTATGGGCATGTCTTCTTTGGGCAGTGATGACTTTACGATGTCTGGCGTGTCTGCTGGCGCTGATGACTTATACTCCTGTTTAGCTATTGTCTTTGTCTCCGACATGTAGACGGATTTGCCTGGCTGCTGCTGTACGTCGTAGACATTGCCAAGACTTTTGCGACGCATTTCATTCAACTGGAGCTGCTCTTCCTGTTTGTGTTCGAACTGACGCTGCTTACTAGACACTAGTGACTGTTGTGAGAGCACGCGATTCTGCGATTGCAGAGGCGTTACGGCAGCGTCAAAGGCATGCGTTTTTGGGGCCGCCTGTGTTGGCTGATATGCGTAATGTTGTTCCGAGGTCTGGCTTTGTGATGACGACGACAATGTCTGACTGCGTGTGGTCAATTTGGGAGTGACTTTAGCTTTGGGTTGTGTGGTTTGACCCCTTGGCTGCTGTGGTCTTTCTTGTGCTGGCGATTGCGTTTGTAATGGAGGTTGGGGTGGAGGTTTCTGGTTGGGTGTATGAGCATGTTGTGGCTGGTAATTTGAGTGTGACTCTGGCAGTGGTGCGTTTTGTACACCTTTTACTGCAGGCTTAGGGGCCACTTGGGGTTTTGACTGTGCTAGACCCTGTAAATTGCTTTGTGAAATGGGTTGTGTCTGCGGTGCCACATATGCTTGTGGGTTATAAGTACTTGATTGTAAGCTTTTGACATCCACAGTTTTCTTCGATTGCTTGGATTGTGGCAAAATTTCATCACCCGTGTGAATAGGATTCGGCGTCCAACTTGTACCAGGTGAAGGTAAATTATGTGACATTGACGAACTGGCTGATGAATTCTCGGAGGAATTGCGATTTCGTTGCAGAGCCAAAGAATTTGGGTGTTGCTTGACATATTGATTTCCGTGACTGTCTTCGATGGGATAAGTTACCATATAAGCAGTTTGGATTTCACTTGTGTATGGCATTGTGTTGGTGGAGGAAGTGTTAGAAGCACTGACCGTCTGATACTGTAATTGTTGCTGTTGTGCCGAAACCTCATTTTCATTTAAATTTTTTATCCTATCCATACACGATTGCTGCTCTGATCGGAATTTCTGGTCGGCACGCGCCAATTGCAAGCTTCGATCCATTTGTTGACTTGGCTTTGGTGGTGTTTTTGGTCTCGGTTTCTTTTGTTTGCTTAGCGCTGGAGGCTTTATTGGATTCTGAATATATTCTGGTGTACGATTAGCCTCAAAGTTGGTAAGTTGAGGAAATAAAGGTTCGACAATTGGCGCTTGATATGAACGACCATCTGGAGATAGGCAAATCTTTGGTGATTCCACCTTTCTAACGGGATCTTTCTTCTCTTTCGTTATACCATTTCCACTTTTGCCAATATTTCTCATTGTGTGCAGTAAGTTTTGAGCGCTGCGTGAATTTTTGCCGAAGACTTCATCGTCACTGGCATGCGCTGTTCGACGGTCCCGTATTGTAACTGCGGTTTGACTTTGTGGCTTGCCCATTACTCGAGTTTCAGCACGATATTCCATTAAATTGTCCGAATCCAAATCGTCGTCAGTATAATCAGTTTGTGGCATGGCTAAAATATTGGGACTTGTTGGTGCACTATCTATTGGGCTCGCATAATCGAATTGTCTTGGCGGAGGTGCATTATTGTAGAATGATTGATCTGCAGGCGGCTCATAGGTTGGATTGGAACTGGTTAAAACCAGTGGTGTTGCATGCGGATCGGTCAATGAGCTTTCGCGCTGTCGCACATAGTCCGCAGTTATTGACGTCTCTACAGCCGATGGCAGGCACGGATAACTTTTGTAGTTATTAGTGCGTGCCAAGTCGGCGTATGTAAAGGATATATTTGTTGGCAGTGGTGGAGCTGCGTATATGTTAGTTGTTGATGCGTAAACTTGTGATTGTTGTTGCTGTTGTGGCACATACTGACTCTGGGCAGCCATATATGGATCGGCTGCGCTTGGCAGCGAAGGCCGCTTCTTGTATTCATCCATTTGTGGTTGACTTATCTTTGGTGAACGCAGTGAATGATGCCTCTGCAAATATGAATGTGGGCGATTATCATTTTGTGAACGCTCCTCGAAAGTATGCGCTTTCTTTCTGAAATCACTATTGTCTACTGCGGGCTTCGCAACCCAAGGCAGACCAATGGGCGATGAAGTTGTAGATGAGGGTGATGTTACATGAGTGCCATTCACTGACTGTTTTGTGGTCAGGAATTGCGGTGATGCAGGTGTCAACTGTACAGGTGCTGAGTGGGGTTTGTTGGTAATGGACGGTGGTTGCCAAGTATTTAACTTTTGTGGCAGTTGTGGTATGGGTTTGAAAATGTTATGACCATGTACGTCGTTGTTATCGATAGGCCGGAAAACAGATTGAGGCGCATGCTGAAATTTATTCACTGGAGCTGGTTTGGGTACCGTCATGCTTGGCATGGCAGCATGTTGTGCCGCAGCCAATCGCTCTCGTTCCATAATTTCTCTCTCATATAACTCCCGTTCCATGCGATCGCGTTCCTGGCGCTCGCGCTCTAAACGTTGACGCTCCAGCCGATCACGTTCTATGCGTTCACGCTCAAGGCGTTCTCTCTCCATGCGACGTAGACGTTCATTCTCCTCATGTTGGCTACGCTGCAACTGGTGCTGTTGTGCCAGTTGTTGTTGTTGCTGCCTCTGTTGTTGTTGGTATTGTAAGTACTGTTGTTGTTGTTGATGCTGATTATGTTCTTGGTTCGCCACTTGTTTCTGCCAGTAACTCTTACTTGCGCTGTGTGGCACATGTCCAGGTGCTTGTGGTGGTTTGCCCGTGGTGACCTGTGCTGCAGCACCCACCTCAAAGGTGTGCTTCAAATTACCGAATTTATTCGTCCAATTCGACACAGATCGCGAGCCGGTCCAACCAAGTCCAGGCTTAGCGCTTTGTTTATTGATGAAGGCTAGAAATTTGTGATCATTTTCGGTCCTTGGCACGAATGGCGGCACAGCGTTGCGCACTTTGTGCTTGACATTGACTTGCAGAGTGCGCTTCAAACCCAGTTGTGGAGTTTTGTCCTCCTGTTCTGAATCTGTATCAAAATCTGGATTATATTTCTTAGTTTTTGGTATATCGATGGTGTTTGCGCGTTTCATAAGTTGTTTCTTGTTTGAGAAACGGTTGGACTTATAGCCAGAGTCAGGCGAAATATTACCATTTGCGTGAAACTCCTTCTGCTCTTCTTGGTTGTCATTAACAAATGGTTCAGGATCATTAGTGATTGGATTCGGCTGAAAGCTTACCGAAAAATTGCCTGACAAGGGGCGTTTGCTCTTTTGGGTATCATTTTCTCTAAGGATAGGATGCGCATCACCATTCAAACAAGCTGTAGAGTTCTTAAGTTGGTTCGGCACAAATTGATTCGGGCGGTAGAGTGTGGAAGACGAGCTGCTCGTGAGTATGGCACCCGATGAAGGATTTTTCTCGATGGGACACCATTGTGGCGGCGCTACAAGATTTGCTGTCATCCCACTTTCTGGCGTTGTGCAATTTGATATATTTTCTATCAACTGCATATCCTCCATGTAGCGACGGGCATCGGCCAATTCTTCGCGACTAACACCGACCGTATGGCGGCTATTACGATTTCGTCGTCGAGCAAAGCGTTGGCGATTCGCGCGTTGTCCATCAACCTCCGGTGAAGAAGTCTCATCAAACTGTTCACCATTATCGGCCATCTTTGACAAATTTACTGGTGCATCACGTGATGTCAGACCAGTTTGCAGACGTGCGACCAATGCCAACAACGCTTCACGTTTACTACCATCAACCGGTATGTTTTTGCCCTCTTTCAGTGACAACTCGAGACGAGTAAGCGCTGTTGTGACCTCCTCAATTAAGTTAGAATCACTTTGCAATTGCAAACTATCACGCAAACCCGCCGCAATGAGGCGCAAATCCTCGCCACTTTCTGTACCGGAGTCCTCTTTTTGAGGAACGCTTAACCTATCCAGCTGCTTCTGTCCGGCGCTCTTAGGCATTACAATGTCACGTGTCATTGTTGTTTCAGACGAGTTTGAATCTAAGGTTTTGTCAGAGTACGTGCAATTTTCACTTGTTGTTTGGATATTTGGGTCACTGTGTGTGTGGTTTACGTTTGTGTGGTCAGTGTGGTTTTTACTGTCTTCGTTATTATTGGTATTATTATTGTTGTTGCAATTATTAACAGTACACAAATTACTATGTTCACTATGTTCACTAATACTAATACTACTACTACTACAGCCCTTATTTGTACGTGTGCTAGTGATTGCAGATAGGTTCGGCTCCGTATTCGGTGCTCTTTCTTGAAAGTTCCGTGCGTTGGCAATTGCGCTTGGCAAACTCTTTTGCAAAATATCTTGCAATAACGGCACTAGGGACTCACCCTTATCATCATCGACGAATTTTGAGTCGGTTTTGTCAACACTTGATTCAGCTACACTCTCTTCGTTAGAGTTTGAACTCTTACTTTCGCTTGAAACGTCAGCTTCTTCGTTCGTTTCTTTTATGGCAATACTTTCTTTTGCATCTATATTTACTTCTTTAAGTTCTTTAGCGACTTCCTCTACCTTTTCTTTTTTTATATTTTTAGTAACACTTGTATCATTTTCTTTATCAACGTCTTCTGCTTTGTCTTTCTTTTCTACATTCTCAATGGTCTCTTTAGCTTCACTAGCTATGTTTTGACTTGATTTGAATACTTCTTCTTCACCTAGATCGGCTTCAGCGTCACTGTAATCGGTTACAGTAACCTCTTCAATGACCTCCTCGTACTCACTAGCACTGCTTTCATCGACTTCTGGAACGTTTTCGGATATATCACCCGACTTTAAATCTTTTTTCTCTAAAGATAGCACAAATACAAAAAAAAAAACGTAAGAATTTATGCTCTAACAAAAACTTATCGAGTTCAAAAATGATAATTTGGAATAGCTTTTGACAGTTCGGGTGGAATGTACGAAATTAAAACGAAAACGATCGATAATCACAGTACACTTGACCGGAAACCCATCTATTGCAACATATCCAAAAATTTTAGCTGACAGGCACTGGGTATTGAAGGTAAATTTTTTACTTTTTTTTGGCAAGTGAAGCACTTGTCTTCGGTACAACACATTAATTTACAATTACTTTAAACGCACGAGAAACGAACTCATCTCACGAACTGGTACATGTATGTTTGAATGAGATAAAACATGTGAAAGAGTTGACAGCAAATGGCGGTATTGTGAAAAGTAGAGACGTATGAGCTGAAGTGTGTGAAGCGCGGTACTTAAAAAAACAACTAAATTGAAGATAAATTGGATAATGGAAACATTATATGTAAACGTTCACATTCAAACGCATACCAACCGCTTAAGTATGTACCTAAAATACTGTATTGGCTGGATACCCAAACTCAAGATTTACAGAGTCTTGCCTAGCTTATTATCAATCTAGAAACAAAATAAAGGTAATTATTATTTCAAAACGAAATTCTGCCAAAATAGTAAAGGTGTTTCAATATATATTATTTAGGTGTTGTGTAAGCACTATTATATACCCAACACCACTATTACCAAAAGGTTTATTTTTTTTACTGATCAATAAGTTATTGAAATTCTAAAACACCAAATTCTGTATACAAGTAGTAATTTTGCTCGTACATTTTCTAGAATTCAATACATCTTGTCATTACCTTCACGTTCCGCCATTAAATCTCGTAGACGCGCGCGTATCTTCCGGCGTTCTTCGTAAGTTGTGGCCTGTTCAAGCTGTGCGAGATGTCATTGGTTTTAGTTGGAATTTTTTTAATTTCGATATTTCAAAAAGATTGTAACAAAGCGAAATGAAATGCGTGGCGCACTTACCAATTCCTTTAAAATTTCTTCGTCCCAGATCTCCTCTATATCACAAGTTGTACGGGTAACTGGTGTTGAAGAGCTTCCAGACTTGGTCGTTTTCGTAATGAGTGTGGTTTTCACCTGCAATTCAAAGCAACAGAAAAGTAAATAAGTGAATTTGTTGGCCGAAGAAGGCTTTTATTTACTAAATGCATCGCACAAACATACAAAGATTTATATATGTACGTACACTTGAGTGCATGAGTTAATGAAGAATTGTAAAATATTTAAAATTACATAGTATAATTTAACTGTAAATATATAAAGGTATGATGTGATTATGTGTGTGTAGTGGGTAGTGGGTAGATGAAAAACCACATCCAATAGCAGAACTCGGAAGTTAATAAAGCTCATGCGAAGGTAAACGAACTCATTTTCCGATAAATTAAGCAAATGGCCTTATACAAGTATTTCTGATTATTGCGTAGTGAATTAAAACTGCGTCAGTTGGAAATTATGCATGTCGTAAAACATATTTCTTTGTTCTTTTGCCTAATTGCAAACATACTTATGTATGTACATACATAACATTTAATATATAATATTTGTGCTATCGTAAAATCAATATTTTTAAGTTTAATTACAATTATTTTTCTAATATTTGCCAAAGATTTTTATATTTTTACTCCTTTTGATAGACAAAAGCAAAAATAATGGTCCCCTATAGACCGACGAACTCTTACATACATATGTATGTGTAGAAAAAAGCGATTAATATGCCGACCTATAACTTGTACGATACCCCATTTGAAAAATAACATCAAATTGAATAGCTTCAATAGCAAGCGGCTAGTAATACTTTTTAAAATAATTTGCTGTTTCAAAAAAATCGTTCATTTAATACGCAGAATTTTCAATAATTTCTTGTTTTTAGAATTAGCTTCAATCTCATATATACACGAGTACTTCAGAAAAAAAATAAACAATAAAACAAACAATAATTTAAATTTAAATTACAAACCATACATTTCCCACAATAATACAGCAAACCAAGAATTTCACCATTTTTGGTAACAACAATCGGTCGAACGCCAAACAGCCAGCCAAGCAAGCGGCCACATGGCAAAATGTTTTTTCTCTCTCTTTATTTTTATTTATTTCTGTCGTAAAGCTTCCGATGTTTTCAAATTTTCGAATTTTTGAAAAATAACAAATAGCCGCAACACGCGTATCTATTTTTGGGCGTAAATCATATTAAATACGATGAAGAGAAATGCCTCGCAGTACATACAAATATACATATGTATGTGCTACGTAATATATACAAGCAGACATATGTGGATAAATAATCCAAAGAAAAGAAAAAACATTAAACAAAATTCTCAACGAATATACAGAGCAATGCCAGCCAATGCTGTAGAGGCCGTTGTTCTCAGAAATTCAAATCAAAGAAATGCGAGTAAATATATTCTCTAAATACACCTCTCCGTGCTGAGTACAAGAGTCTTTGAAATGAAAGATTTTTATAAACAAAACAAATAATGTCTCACATGTTCTAATTTTATTTATCGAGATCAATTAATTCACCTGCATGTAGCATTGTGGTGCTTTCTTTGCCCTCGTCTTCGCATTCAAGTGTTTGTGTATGTTTGCGAGCAAATATAAAAGCAAATATGTTTGAGATGCATCAACTGCTTTTAAAAACGTTGCACTAAACTCTGAAATGCAGCGGTTAGCTAACATATTCACAGGAATTAGCAAAACCTATACTTAACGGCTAACTCGAGCTTTTTGTTTCACCGCGTTAATTAAAGATTTGAAAAACAGCAAGAAAACCTCAAAATCAATTCTGAAGTATTGCTGTCACTAGTTGTAATTACAGATACTTATTATATAATATCCAGGTATTTTTACCCATTCTAAAAGTTGTATCAATAAGTATGTGTTAGTTAAAATAGTTGATGAGTAACATGACACATAGTTTCGTGTTTGCTAAATTTTTGGCACAAAAAATAAACTTTGCAGCCAATTTTAAGCACTTTGTGATCACAGCCGGTACGAAAAACCGATAAAAAACAATAACATAATATACGAGTATATACATTTATTTATACACAACACTAATATATAAAAAGTTAGTTTTGTCACATTAATAATAAAATCAATCTCATCATCTTTCGAAAAGAAATTATATTTCGGTTCTAAACCTTAACCAAATAGCTGATTTTTAACACTTTTACGTAGAAATAAAAGCTCTATTCCACAAGTTTTACAGGATCTTTCGATAATTAGAAAAAAACTACTGCCTAACAAGTGTCGAATATTTCGCAATGTGTATAAAGGGTAGTGGGAATTCATTACATTTTTATACACTTGCAACATGTTGCTACAGAGTATTATAGTTTTGTTCACCTAACGGTTTGTTTGTATCACCTAAAACTAATCGAGATAGTTATAGGGTTACATACATATATATAAGTGATCAGACCGTGCAAGCGATAACTTGAGTAAAAATTGAGATATTGTAATGATGTATGTGTTCCAATATTCCTTGACACCCAGAGGAGGTGGGTATGGCAGAGGGACGGAATCGAAATACTGCCAAGCTCACAAAACGCCATTAAACGAAAACTTATGAAGTGCTATAACTAAGCACTAAATTAGGAATCAAAACGGTAATTTGGTTTAAAAATGGGTGTGGCTCCGCCCCTAAATGGCTTCATGTATATATCTTACGAACAGCTAATGCTATAATAACCAAAATTGCTGAGGAGAAGTCATTTTAGCATTTCTTCAAACTCTGTGAAAATGAGTAAAAACAGATAATAACCAGATCCACTCTCCATATAACGGTTATGTTGAAAACCACAGAACCACACTGAGAATTTTTATAATTATATGTATGGTATAAGTACTCTCCTCACTACTAGATAACATTAAGTATCACGTTAGTTCTTTCACACTTTTTAAACATTTAATCTACATTTAATAGTTTCCTATTACCAACTATAGAACTAGAATTGCAATCAATTTTGTATTGTTAGCTTGTATAGAATACATAGTAAATGATTAATATTCTGGAGTCCCTTTGCATTCATTACAAAAAGTGCACCTTTTGGATTTTGATGAATAGCTAAACAAGAAAAAACGTTAACATTGGTTGCACTAAAACTGTAATACCCTTCACTAACACAAAACATTCCATATAAGAACTTAATTGTGATCGGCAATTTTGTATGGCAGCTATATGCAATAATTGCTTTAGACAATAATCCATGCCTGATTTGAAAATATCTTCTCAAATAAAATAGTTTTCCATACAAGGACTGGATTTTGATCGATCAGTTTGTATAGCAGCTATATGCTATAGTATTCTGAGCTTAAGTATTTTTTTCGGAGATTGTAACTTTGCCTTGGACAATAATCCATCAATCAATAAAATTTCGTGAAGATATATCATCATGGTGATCATTTATATATATATTTTTATAAGGTCTCCAACGTTTCTTTTTGTTTTGTTGTTACAAACATCGAGGCAACCTTAATATACCCTGTTTAGGGTATAAAAACCATAAAGCCTTTGTGTAATTTTTATTAGATTCTCTACGTTTCTTAACATATATATTCTCTAAGTGTGACGTTCTTCTAATTTTAATTAGGAAGTAGCGTTGTGATGTCAAATTCTGTGTACTTGGCATTAAAAGAAAGAAACTAATTCGAGGAAAATCAGAAAGAACAACATTAAAGAAATGCATACAAATACAAAAACATATATATATGCACACATATATGTACATACACATGTAAATTTGTAAGTATTTATTTAAGGAGACAACGAAGAAATTGCGCGTAAATAAAAGTCATTGGCATTGAACTGACGCAAAATGACAACTCATCGCCATGACCGAACCAAAGTAATTCTAATTGATACGCGGCTAAATCTGCTTAGACGTATTTTACATAGCTACACACATACATAGGTGCTAGTGTATGGATGTATATAAATGTGTGCGAGTACAATGCAGGCAATGACCACTCAATGGGAGCTACGATTGGGAGTCGCTGACATAAACGAGGAAGAACAGCAAACAAAATAGATAATGGACACGCATAGGCTTAACGTTAGCTCCACACAAAATATTTACACATAAACATGTACATTTAAATACTTGAGTGCAATAAATACATGGCGTATAAAATAAATTTTAGAAAGTGATATAATTAAGTATTTATATTATTTTAGCATTTTAGCACATAACATATGAACGACCACCCACACATGTCGAAATAACGCTGATTTATATGTGTAGATATATATAGATATATGTTTGCATACAAGTATATTATATTCACACCTACGAGCACGGGTGACTTGGATTTGGACAGCACTAATCCAAAAGCAAGGTCAAATCAACAGCTGCGCAGCGCCATAAGCCAAGTTGGATTAGTTTTTGTTTTCTTTAAAATATTCATTTTAATAATTTTTGAAAAAATTACGGTAGCATTCTGGAACGAATTGTTATGCAAATTTAAAAAAAAGCATACCAAATAACAGTTAAACTCAAAACTTTTTCGACAAGAAATGGAAATGGTTTCATTGTGCTTACCCTGTTTAGCAACGGAAGTGGAAGCGGCCTAAATTATTCTGAGTGCAACAACTCGAGGCGGAATATTTGCACACTCGCGACACGAAATCTGTGTTATGCTGCGCGTTTGCGTTCCGTGTGCGTTTCGGAGCGTATATGAAAGGCCAGCCGCTGTAGCACGTTCAAATTTTTCAAAATGTTTGTAAATACTTTTGAGCGTACGTACGTATGTATGGATGTGTGTGCTCAAAATAACTGAACAAACCAAAAATAATTTAGTTTTTGTTTCCTTTTTTTTTGCTGTTTTAGTTATTAGGTATTATCTCTATTATCTTTTTTTGCAATTTTTTAAGATTTTTGGCACGTCGCACTATCACGCTATCTGTTAAAGAAATAGAAATGCACCGTCGAATTTTTAGCACATATTTGTGCATTGACTGTGCATACATTTGTATGTATGTATGTATGTATGTGTATGTGTGGCAATGCTGTAGTAGTTGCTCAGAAGTATGCAAAACATTCGTTTATACACAAGTGCTCCATTTTCTTCGCCGATTTGTTTGGCAGTTGAAATCAAAATTTGCTTTAATTAAAATTTTTTGCAATTTAGAATTGAATTCGTAGTATTATGCGCTTGTATGAGAACTTAACGGATTTTCTTTTATTTTTTTATTTGAGTAAGGAATTATTATTTAAATTTCAACTACTTATTAGAAGAAAAAAAATATTGTTACATATGTATGTGTATGCATGTATACAATTAATAAGATACCAAAAACGTAAATTTATATATTTTTTTCGATTTTTAACCTTTTAAATAAGTAATAAGAAACTCAATATTTTCCATATACATGCATGCATACCTACATATAGAAATATATAATTCCTTTCAACACGACTTTACATTATAATTTTCGGCTTGGTGCATTCAATTTGTGCATATATTTCCATATCTATTTTATTTTGTTTTATTTGTGTATCACTAATTTTTACAAATATGGTTTTTTATCTGCAGCAAAAATATTTATTTAATTCACAAAATATTTTTAAACATTAATTTTGTATGTAGTTAATTTTTGTAATTTTCCGCTTTCATACTCGGTGCAAGTTGGCACCGACAGCGGCAACAGCAGAAAATAAACTGGCTAAATTCTCCTGAAAAAATTTTCCGACATTTGTTATTTTTGGAAACGCACATTATAATATACAATACAAACAGACAAATGTATGTATGTATATTTTCAACGTTTTTGGATGTGCGCACACTGCTGTCGGAAATAATTGCAGTATTCACAGCTGTGAGCTATTAAACTTGGTGGGTGTAAATTTGCTATTATATTGAAGCGACATAATTGAATAATTTTGAAATGTTTATAATTTTATTCGTGCAACAATTTAATCACTTTGTAAAACTTGAAAAAAAAAACACTGCGGTTAGCATTAAATAAACACGCTTATCGACGCGCACTTTTAGCACACAGTGTATGTTGCGTTCTCCACGGAAAATAAACTAAAAAAGAATGATTTGAAAATTTTCGAAAATTTTTCAAACATAAAAATAGTGCGATCATTGCTATTTTTGTCTCGTATTGGACCGTTTCGTTTGCTGTTTCGCTTTGTTGCCGCTCGCAGAGAAGGTGCCGAGAGGAAATACTGGTCCACGGCGGGCTCAACTCAGGTGTACTTATGTACTTATGTGTATTTATATATAGTTATTATATATATATATATATATATATGCATATATTTATACACAATTGTTCTATGCAGAAAGGTGTAGTTCACTAATTACATTCACGATCTTTATACATATATGCATATTACATTTACATTTGTATGCTTGTGTATATAAGTACATACATATGTACATGCCTTATGACAAACGATTAAATAATCGTTTACAGTTATATATTTGACACATTTTTCGCAACCAATTCACTTTATAACGGCACCACATATGGACAAGCTACAATACCAGCTTATGGACCTTATATACATATAGATAGTTGATTTAGAAGCATAATTAAATCTCACTTATGCAGCAATTTAATTTATACACATTGTATTTATATAATTTCAATATTTAATATATGTATTCTTCATTTACTTATGGTCAACTTATTTTCCGACAATCTACGCCTTAATCACTTGCAACATACCAGTGATCGATTCCGCCTCCGAGTGTGTACTAAATCAGCGAAAAGCACAAATTGTTGCAGGAAGCTAGGAAGCTGGCAAGCACAAGTATCCGGCGGCACCAAAGCAATTCGTATCACACACTCATATGTACAGAACATAAAATAGAGTATATAAATACATCCGAATGCAAACTGTGCTTGCGTGTGTGTATACTTCAGTGGGCATCTACATACATATACATATATGAATTTATGAACAACTGGTACATGCGCTGAGAGAAATTAAAGAGCAGAGATTGTGGGAGTTCTCATTGCAAGGAAGCTATGGCTTCTCAAATGCCTTTTAGGGTTTTATTGTGATCGTCATTGAAATGGATCAAAATAGTGATCGATGAAGTATAAATTTGATATTTACAACTTATAGCATTTATTTATACAAATCACTTAGTTTTTATGCGTTATGTTAAATATATATAAACTATTAGAGCAAAATTGATTATAAGAGCCAAACGCATAAAAACTGGTAAGTTTTGAGAAGGGAGATCGTGTCTCATTTATTCTCTCAAATAGGTTCTATTTCACTATTGTTATACTTGGTATTTAACTTATGGTAGTACCATACTGGGAAGTAATTTTTTTCTTTCTTCGAACTCACCGCTTTATTCTTTAGTAGGTCCCTTTCGCCATCATCCTTATCGCCGCATGAAGTTTTAGTAATGGTAGTAGTTGTTGTTTGTTTAGTTGTTGGCAAAACACTTTCGACGCCTTTCATTATAACGCTGGCACCTAAAAATTTATTCAACAATGAACGCGCCTCCCGATCCTCAGCCGTATCGCCTTCCTCTACAACTGCGGTATAAGAGAAATTAAGACCATTTAACTATCACATCACTGTAATGAACTGGTTTGTATGCTCACAGCATAAGACTTACCATAATCTGCATTACGCATACGCTCCAGAGCATCATCCACGCTGGTAACCACTTTAGTTTCGCCGCTGCTATTAAGGAACGAACGTGTGGACTTAGTCGACGAACGAGTACTCAAATGACATTGATCCGCTTCGTTATCATCGTAGTCAGTTAGAATACGACGGGTTTGTTTCTGTCGCAGCTGCACATTTTGTTCATCATCGGAATCTCCGCGGTAACCATGACCAGTATTGCTCGATGTTGTCTTATATTTTTCAGTAGTTATTTCGTAACCATCTTAAGAAGTGAATGTTTTTAACAAATGTAGTGAATATTCATCACAGTTTTTATTTATTTTTTATGTACCTCCACTTGGTTCTGATGATGATCCACGACTGGTGCGTAAAATCAAACCGGCCTTCGGGTAGCCACCGGATTTTTCTGTTACTGATTGTGAGGACTCTTTGCGTATGAATTTCTCACTCAGCTCTTTCACTGATCCACGGCGAACATATTTGCTGGACGTTGTAGTAAAGTCTTCTGTGTCTGGCATTATAGCTTCCGGTTTGTCAAAAACCTTTTGAAAATAATACATAGGTTATCATAAGATATATGGTAATATTTTTTTTTTTTTTTGTTTAACTATATACTTGTAGTACTTACATAATCCCTATCGAGTTTCTCAACTTTTCTGATGACATCCACATTATCCTCTGAGGACCTACGGCTTTGCTCAATAGTTTTCTTAATTTCTTCGAGTTCATCGGCATTTGTTGAATAAATGTACTCCTTACGCTCAACTTTCGGCTTTGTTTTACTATCTGAATAATACTTCTCCTCGATGACATAGCCTGTGACTTCTATGGAGCACAAATTGGATAAATGCAGATTTTTTAATACTTAGTTGCTTGCTAATCTTACCTTCAGTTGCTTCACAGGGCTGACTCAGCTTCTTCTTTTTCAACGCTTTAATGCCGAATAATGGCAAACCATTTTCGTCTGTCGGTCCAATGCCATAACTCGAGGTGATTGAATCTTCTTCAAAGTTTCTATTCTGAGTTTGGCGTTGACTTATTGTCTTCGATGTGGTGACCTTCGTTGCCGTGTTTCGTGTTGACGGCGTAGCTGACGCTTTACGTGGTGTGCTACTTGGACTCTTGAGCAGATTTTTACGATCCGCCCAAATGGGGGCGTTTTCGTCAGCGTTCGGCTTACTAGACTTACGTTCAGGTGAGCGTGTGGTTTTAACTGTTGTTACCTTGGAAATGTTGTATAAATCATCACGTTGTTTCGGCGTTCTTCCTTTTGGACTGGTTGTGCGTTGCGAAGATGGCTTTCTGTCGTTAGGGCTTCTAGTGCGTGTGCTAGACAAAGTTTTACTTTTAATATCTTGACTATGTCTGCCGTCCCTAACAGGACTCTTAGATTCGGGACTATAACTGCGTTCACGACTATGATCTTTTTCAAAACGTTCAGAACTCTTCTCAATATGGCGGCGGGAGCTATTGATTTTCTCTTCCGAGTAGTCCGTTTGCTCGCTATGTACATATTCCTTATGTGAGGACATCGAAGAACCAGATATACGACGTATTTCTTTTACTTGTTCGTGCGAAGTTTTTGTTTCGGGACTGTGATCGCGTTCAAAGGGTAGTTTTCTCTGACGTTCAGGACTTTCGGTGCCACCATTTGGAGTTTTAGTAAAATGTGTGCTTTTTGTAGTAACGTTTTGTTCGCGGTGCAGTTTATTGTACGGCCTTGGACTTTCTCCTGGCGACTTTTGTGATGCATTTTGAGTTGTCCTACCCTCCTTTGGTGTTTGAACCGGACGTTTTGGGCTACCTTTATTGTCATATGGTACTTTTGTTGTTATGCCCTCATTAATGGTGTCAGTTTCTTCATGATGCACATCTGATTTGTAAGTAGATGTTTTGTGAGTTGATCTTATGGAATTAGTTGCTTTAGTTTCAGTTTTCCTTTTGTCAACGACATTCGTGTTAAGTGTATTTTTCTTAACCAAACGTATTTGGGCACGAATCCTGCGCCTCAGTTCATATGAGGTAACTGTTTCCAAAAGACGCTCCAATACTTCCAATTCGAAAATATTCTCAACATCAATATCTTCGGGAATACTAGCAGTACGCTGCGGTTTATGTGGCACATCAAATTTTACTGCAGCATTTGGTCGACGCTCATAATTGATTTCCGAATCCACCGAGGACTTGCGTGAATAGTTATGCTTATTTACTTCTAGTGAATCACGACGAATGTGCTCTAAAGAGCTAACTGTGTGATCCATATATGATGGACGTCTTCCAACAGGTGAGGGCGAGTTGCTTTCTCCTGGCCTTTGTACCTTCGGCGTGGCATTATTTTCGAAAATATTACGGCGAGCGGCAACAGTATCTGGCGCTATGCGAGTACGACCGATTGTTGGTGTAGGTGTTGATGGCTTTACTTGTGCGGGGCGTTCTATAACAGTTTCAACGATTTCAATATCGGAACAATCTGAATTGTGCTTATTTGTGCGCTCGGTTACGTGAGTAACTGTGGTTGTGCTAGTAGTATCTTTTCGAGTAGGACTGTGAGAGAAAGTTTGAGGTGCTTGCTTTTCCTGTGGAAAAGATTTTCGAATTGGAGATTCTTTTTGGATAGGAGAAAACCGTTCAATTTCTGTCTGTACTGTCTCTAAGTAATCTTTTGTTTTTGATGAGCTTCTGCGGCGTGATGTGGAAGTAAACTCCGTTTCGGATTCGACGCTTTCGTAATCATGAACGTTTATTTCGAATTCAGTAGATGGTTTCTTGCCATCGAAATGACTATCGGGCTCAGTTGTTGGTTTACCTCTGTTTGGGTAAGAAGAGTTAGTGATCGATTCCGACGATGGTTTTCTACCAGATGTCTTGGGTTCGCTCGTTGGTTTACGACCAGTAATAATTTGAGAGGGGACTCGATTAGTTTTCGGTTCAACAGAAGATTTTGGTGTATTCCGTTTAATATCAGATGTCTCAAAACGAGATCTGGTTACAGCCACAGTGGAAGCTTGCGGTTTTATTGTTCTACGGCTATCAGGTTTGGATACTGGAGTAGATGGTTTGCGATCACCTTTAGTTTCAATTTTATCACTATGCTCTCTGGTTATTTTCTGCGTTGTATACTCCATCTGTTTTGATTTAATATTTGTTGATGGATGCTTGCTCGGGCCAGTGGGCTCCTTTTTGTTGGGCGATTGTGGCCTCCCTTTCACATTCTGGTTATAGATTGAAGGCCTGGACAAAATGTCTTTTTGTCGTTTTAATTCAATTTTCGTTGTGTGATCTCTTGTGTGAGGAATAACTTCTTCGTTTTCTTTTAGTGTGGTAGTTTTTTCGATTGTAGTACGTTTTGCCTCTGTATAATCATTATACTGATCAGTTTTTGTTGTATTTTCAAATACAGTTGGTCGAGAGAGTATGTCTTTTTGACGTCTTTTCTCAATCTCGATAGTATGATTCTGTGAAAATGGCGTTAGTTCATCATCACTAAGACCTTCGGGATACTCTGGCTCACTTTGTTTGGAAATAGTTCGCTCGATCTTAGCCACCAATTCAGGAGACCTTTGTGGTGTAGTGGGAGCCAATTTTTCTGCAGTACTCAAGAATTTATTGACCTTTTGAGAAACGGACAAAGTGCAATCATCTGTTCGTAACTCTTCGTCCAAATCAGTGTAACTGGGACGTTCAACCTCCCGTATAGGTGTGATTGGTTTCGCTACCTCTTCTGCTGTCTTAATGAATTTGTTAACTTTTTCATCAACTGTCAATAAACATTGATCATTTTCTTGTACTTTGGGTGTTTTGTCGAACTCTCTACTGAATGGGCTGGATGCTTTTGGTTTCTTAATCTCTTCAGCTGTATGTGTGAACTTGGAAACCTTCTCATGAACGCTTAAAAGGCAGTCATCGTCAATTCTATCGATCGATGGATAGTCAAGACTTTTTGGAGCTTCAATCATAGGGTTATCTAGAATATCATTCTCATCCAAGTCCACCAATTTTGAAATCTTATCTGTCTTCACCTCAGATATATGGCATTTGATGTATTCGTTTGATTCTTCTTCGAAAATAGGTATATTTGTGATTACTGGTTTTTTGCGTGGCTCGTCTTCAGGTTCTTGCACAACATCGGGATAACGAGGTTTACCCGTATCTAAATGCACCGGTACCGGTGTAGGGACAATTTTATCTGGTGATGGCTCACGAGAACTCTTTGCATGTTGTATATCTATTATAACATTCTCCATTTCCTCGCTATTTATTAGTTTATCTGTAGTAGTGAGATTTATGGTCTTGGTGGTGAAACATTTATTAGGTCGACGATCACCTTTTGGTGTGGGGCTAGGGGCCAATGTATTCACATCAGTTTGTTTTACCGGTTTACCAGTAACCTTCATAATTTTCTCACTTGTTGATCGAGTCATTTTTGCATCCTTGTCTTTACGAGTAACACTCGGAACAGGCGCAGATTCTTTTCGTTCTGTTACAGGAAGTCTTCGAAGCGGTCTTGCGTTTGGTGCAGTTTTATCGGCCGGACTGGTTTTCTTTGTCTGTTGTATATGTTTCTCAGGGCTCTTTTCTATAGGTTTAGGAGATTTTGGTCCAGAATGATCAATTATGATTTCAGTATGTACCGAAATATTACTTGAACGCCTTCGCTCTGTAAATCGTGAAGGACTAACATCAGGCGAAGAATCTGACTGCGGTTCGGAAGGTTTCCCATTTCGCGTAGCAGAACGTAATCGGTCTTTGATTGTGTGAGTTGGAGACTCTTTTGTGGGCTTTTGATGGCCTTTATCGGGAGTCTTATCGACTTTATGAATACGTTCTGACCGCAACTTTGTTGGAGATGTTGGTTTATCTCTTCCAACAATACTAGGATTATCCGGTTTCTCCGACGACTTATCAGCAGGTTTGATTTTTGAAGGCTTATTCGGTTCACGCGATTTGGTCTTTGTTTCAATTGTTTTCATCACTGTAATCGTGGAAGAGCCAGAAGGACGTTGTCTGACGGGAGATGTTTTACGAGTAGCTTGAGGCTCCAATGGTTTTCTGGTCGGACTGTTATCAGGACTAAAATGTTTTTCTTTCGTTACCCGAGTTTTGGAAACCTCAACCACATTCGAGAAATTTTCTACTTCTTCGGTATATTGCATATCTCTTTTAGACACTATAGTATCCGGCTGGGACTCTTCATCCGTTTCCCTTTCCGGAAGCTCTGAGTCGGTGGTTGATGAATTTTCTGGCTCCTCATTTTGCGATTTTTCCTTCTTCGATGATGGACTGCAAATTTTAGTATCTATTTTAGAACTATTTTTGGAGACCGTTTGCTCATCAACTTCTTCATTTAAATCGGTTTTAGAAATCAAAATTGTATTACGGCTGATTTCAGTCAAAGGCTCCGTATTTGGAGAGCTCTTGTTAAAGGGTACAACCGTTTCCTTACGAACACATTCTACTTCCTCAACTATCTCATCATCATGAGTATTGCGTGGTTTAGTTTTTTGTGGATTATCAAATGTAGTAGAGAGATCAGACTTCTGGGGCTTAACAGAATCTTTAATATTATTTAGATAAGTGGGTTCATCATCTTCACAGTCCTCTATTTTAACATCCAACTCTGTGAAATTTACGGTAATTGACTCGTTTTGCTCGGATACATCTTCAGGTTTCTTTTTATAAACACCAGGAGTGTCCCCATAGTTTTCCATGCCTAATATTTGACGACAACGATCTTCAAAGGTTTCTCTTGGGCTAACACCTTTTTTCTTAAAACTTGGAGAACTTGGTTCGGGCTCAGGTGCTTTCGAAATGAAAGCACCATCTGGAGTTTCTTTATTTTGCCTTTCAATAGCAATAAATTCTTCATTATTAATTTTTGTATGTTCCAATTTATCAGTATTAAAGAGGTCCTCAACTTTTCTAGTTTCATCCAAAGTTGTTTGGACAAGTATATCGAAAGGCCCTCGAGATTTTGCTGTAGTTGTTTCGCCAGGTAAGTTTTTGGTAAATTTAGTAGTAGTAGTAGAAATAATAGTGTCAAAGGTTTGATCAGTTGGTGTTGGTGACGGAATTCGCTCATTATCACTATAGTCTGGCAAAGCTGGCTTAGTTTTTCCTTGAGTGGGCTTCTTGGCACAAGGAGCATCAATTTTAGGTTTTCCACCATCTGTGGAATTCGGTAAATTTTCTTTGCGTGTAGTTTTGTTTGTACTAATAATTGTGGATGCTTCAAGTGTTTGCTGTGGGAAGTCCTCGTCGTCACTCAAACCCACAGCAGATGGCTGCACCAGTCTGGGTTCCCTATCATTCGGTTGGTATTCGGGCGAATGCGACTTGTTTGGACCAACCGTTTTTAAAGTTGTTGTAACTGAACTTATTTTCAAAGTGTTTTCATCAGTAAAGGATTGCTCATCATCGTCTGTATAATTGGGTTCCGAATACTTGTCTATTGGTTCTGATTTTGGTTTCGTCATTTTCTTTTTTGGTACTTCAGTTTTTATTTTAGGAGTATCATTAACTGGAGTTCTTTCTCGCATCTGCCGTTCGAAGGTTATGAATTCTTCATTTACATTTTTAGTTATTTTCGTCTTGTCGGTTTTATTGAAAAGCTCTTGAACTTTTCTCGTATCATCGGTAATCGTTTGTTGTGTTGTTTTTGGTTCGGCTGTACGTACTTTTTGGATTTTGGTCGTTATAAATGAAGAGCTTGTGCTCTCAGTGTCCGAGAATTCTTCTTCTAATTGAGTATTCTGCGTTTTTTTCCCCTGTGAGACCCTTTTAGGCTCAGATGGTGTCGTTCTGATGGGTTTACTTGGTACACGTTCGTCATATGAAGATTTTTCACTCTCCTTTTCATCAATATCGTATACACCAATGGGATGTTCATCGTCGTTGCAATATTCTGGGTTGGAAGGTTCTTTAATAAGTGGTTTTGTTTTTTTTGGACCTGGCTGATATTCATCGGTAGATGTTACGGTAGTAACTCTAATGTCTGTTGACTTAAGAGATTCCTTTGTTGGTACTTTCTTTGTTGGTGTGTTATCAATAGGTGCGGGGTACTCATCGCGAGGTTCATGCTTTATAGTGTTGGTATATGTTGGCTTTTGTTGCGACAATTGTGTTGGTCTACAAGTATCTTCCACAGGAATTTTATCCTTGGGTTTGCTGGTCCTGGTCGGAGAAATGCTGTCTTTGCGAGTTTTCGTGACCGTAGTAGTAATAGAACTTGTTTTAAATTCGTTTGAGTCGGAAGTTGTCGGAGTATCTTTCTGCGGTTTATGTGGTCGTCGATTTTCATCCACCGAATAAGTATCATCTATACCAGAAATTTCTTTTGTGATCGTTTTTAAATACTTGCTTTCTGATGTTTTCCGTGTGGGACTAGGTTCAAGTTTCTTGCTCGTAGGTTTCTTAAAAGCAAGCTCTTTTGGAGACTCAGCAGTCGGTCTTTTATCCACAGGCTCATCGTTTTCTTTACGTACCGGTTTCAAAGTTATATTTGAGAAAGTGTTTGACTTCGTCGGTTTTCTAGTCGGACTACGATCAACGCTGTTTGGTTTTAGTTTTTCTGTATCACTAGGTTTCCTCTCAGTTTGCAGTTTTGTAATTGATTGTTGTGGTTCGGTATCATCGTCAATAACATATGTATTTTCCTTTCGTGTAGTTGTTGTAATTACGGAGGTTCCGAATTTATTTGTAGAGATAATATCGGAAGTTTTTCGAGTTGGACTTAATGGACTTCTAGGTTTTCCCGTATATTCAGTAGGGTGTTTACCTGATGGTTTTCTATTTGCAGGTTCGAGTGATTTGCCTTCGTTAGGTCCCCTGTCTGTTGAATCTAATGGTTTTCCCGAAGTAGGTTTCTTGCCGACTGGTCGAGCAGGCTCTTTCTCATGAGGCTTTCTTACGTCATACTCAGACGTCACAAAATTGTCTTCATTAGATCGTAATTTTTCATTTCTCACACCTTTAATGGTCGAAATCTCCTTGTTACTTTTTTTATCTGGTCGTTTAATAGTTTCTTCTCTTATGACCGGAAAATCAGACGTATCAACTGGTGTTTTTTTTACATAATCATCATCTGCAGGACGGTTTTCTCCAGGTTTTGATTCATCCTTTACAGGATAGGGGCGTTCATTCGAATCTAGAATTGTTTTTTGCCAATCTGTATTTTCAAATTCACTTTCTCTCACAACGTTCCTACGCTCAGCACTAGGTTCTTTTTTGTTTGGTTGACAAATGATTTGCGGACTACTACTTGGACTTTGTCCTGATGGTGAACGATTACGTTGTTTAGGTTCGATTACGGATGAGCTTAGTGGTTGTTTATGGATGGGTTCTTCGTGGTTAACATCTTCGAAATCATCCCGAACTTGGGATTTTGCTTTGGGATGAGTGCGATGTATGTTATTACTTGGTGCTGGTGAATATGGTGACTTCTCTGTTGAAAATTACAGCGAATGAAGCATTAATCACTTTGTCAGTGATGTTACAATACGATACCAGTACATATTATTAGTCATATTTTCCAAACTACTATACGAGTGTGTTATTTTTTGGTTAAGCAATTGGTATTCTACTTTTAGCTGATGGTGTTAATAAAAGCTTACCATGCAACCATTACTTTATGTAGTCGCATCAGTCGCATGCTTTTAGTGTTTAAGCTTTGTTTTGTCTTAGGAGATAATTTTTTCATTGATCGTGACCTTTAAGTCTTCGTATGTATGTATGTATGTTTGTATGTAAGTACATATGTCAATTAATTGTTGTTTATGGTAATTACTTCTTATCATATGTCTCTCTCTCTTTTATGTGAATTTAGAATTGTGTTAGAAATTTCGTGTGATAGTGCTGTTTTCCTGCTTTATTGTTTTTGTTTCTGTATTGTTTTTTTTTTTGTTTTGGTTTCGTATTGGCAAGCAAATTTTGAATGTTTATATCTTCTTACCGTCAACATTGTTTGTTGTTGCTTTGTCGGACGGACCGAGTTTGTAAAAGTGTTTTTTTAAGCATGGCTCCTCGACCACCTCGTTGCCGAGGAAGCTGGCGTCATTTGCGGTAAAGTGGGTTTTTGTGATGGTTAGTGGTTCGTTAATAGTAGGAAATGTGTTTTCGGCTGGCTTAGATTTTTGATTATCTGAAGGATAGACTGCCATTTAGTTGTAATGTGCTTTCTATATCTTACTTCGTACCTGGTTTTGGCACTTCTGGGCTCTTTCTAGTTGTTGTGGTGCGTGTGGTGGTCGTTGTGATGGTCTTTGTGGGAGACGGCGACTTTGTGGGGCGCTGCTGGGGTGTTAAATCAATTGTTTCGTTAGAACCATTCACGTTACGAGTTTTAACAACAGTTTGCTTTGTAACGACAGTTTTACCAACACTCTTACTTGGCGAAGAACGCGTAACTGTGCCCGAACTGATGCGACTTGTTTCGCTGTCATGGGAACCTTCTCGGCCATCTCGTCGGAATGTCCTGGTCGATGAAACACTGGAACGCGGTGTAGTCCGATGATGATCTGGACTATCCACTGGTGAGGAGCATCGAAGGGAAGCGGCAAAAGCACGATGGGTGGCATCGACATCCCTCTCCTTCGAAATCAGGCGTTGAGAAGAGTCTGTCGTACTCGTAGGCTTTCTTGTAGTTGTTGAATTCGGTTGTATTCTTTGTGGTTGAGTTGGCGTAAGTTTGGGAGCGTTAGTATCCCTGGTTGATGGGAAGCCACCTGACGGTGTTGAGTAATCCGTTGCTGATTTGTTGGGGGTTCTTACAGATGGAAAACCATGTGTCGAAAAATCTTCTGTTGGCTGATGTTGACTTGGGCTGCTCGGGTAGTCACGAGAAGGTGTGCTTCCTCTAACTGGTGCCGACTCTCTAACAGAAGGAAAACCGTGTGTCGAAAAATCTTCAGATGGTTGTGCCTTTCGAGGACTACTTGGATAATCACGTGTAGGTGTGCCTTGTCGACGATATGCATCGTTGGTAGGTGCAGAGTCTCTTACTGATGGGAATCCATGTGTGCTAAAATCCCCTGGTTGAGGGGTGGGCGGAAAGGTAATTTTGTCTGGTTGACGTAAGCCCGACGGTGTTTGATGGTCATGATCACCAGCAATTTCTGTTTCAACAATATGCTCCCTGTTTGTATTATGTTTAATCACTTTCTTTGTTTCCGAGCTCACTACTGTTACATTTCCATCTTGTTCAATGGCTCTAGAAGGCACGGGATGTCCCGACGTCGGTCTAGTCACATCTCTGGTAGATGGAAATCCGCTTGTGGAGAAATCTGGCGATTGTTTTAACGGACTACTCGGATACTCCTTAACAGGGGCACCATATCTTGGCGAGTCTCTACTTCCCGTTGATGGATGTTTTACTGCGGGAAACCCATGGTTAGGATAATTTTCAGGACGAACATTAGAATCTCCATCAACCACTACTTCAGTTTCGATAGTACGCTCTGCATTGGTCTTATATTTTGAACTGCGCGTAGATTCGGAACTTACAATTATCACATCACCATCTTTAGTGGTAGTAATATTTGTGTTTGGTCTTACTGCGGGAAACCCATGTGGTGCATCTGTGGTAGGTGTGTTTGTGGCGGTCACAGTTTGTTGCGTTATATGCTCCACCTCAGAAGGACGTGGACGGTCGCTTGGGTATTCTTGCGTTGGTTTATTTGCTTTTACTGAAGGAAATCCGTGAGTACTGAAATCAGGTTGTGAGCCAGTATGTGGACGATCAGAGGGATATTCTTGAGTGGGCTTATTCGGTTTCACTGATGGAAATCCATGAGTCGAAAAATCTTTGTTAGGTGAATGACCAGGTTTGCCTCTGATACCAGGAGCCTGTGAAGAGGGTGGCTGATCTGAAAATTCTTCAATAGTTTCTGATGTCGTTTCAGTGGAGAAGCGACGACATGATTTCTTCACCGATGAAAATTTAGTTTCGACGTTGGTGGATTCATCCACGAAATGGTCGGCCGGATGTGATACTACTAAATCCTGCGGATTTGGTTTGCGCAAGAAAGGTTCGGCATTATCGACGACATCATGTTCAGGTCGTCTAGGAGTATTATTCGAATACACATTATTACGCAGATTTTGTTGACGATTGTTTACATTATTTTCTGTCTGTTCCCGTCTTTGTTGTTCATTTCTTTGTTGAGTGCTGCTCTGGCTCGTTGTAGATGTCGTACGTTGACGTTGGGTATCCGCTGTGGGACGTAACTCTTCTGTTTCGTAACGTTTATTCTTCACGATAGTGCCATCAGGTAAACGCTTAACGGTAGTAATCATCTTAACATTCGGCTTCGGATACTCAACCGTGTTCGAGATAATCTCACCAGCTTGTGCCATAAGATACTGGACATGTTGCTGATATTCAGGTGAAGCCTTATCCATATCTACAACACGCCTATTCTGCTCCTTCGTCTGTTGTGTCTCCACGTTACGGCTGGTAGACGATTCTTGACGATTACTACTAAATTCCTGCTGTTGTTGCTCGACACGTTGTTGGTGCTGTTGTTGTTGATGTTGTATGTTTTGTTCATATTCCTGCTGTTGTAATTGTTGTTGTCGCCGAATCTGTTGTTGTTGCTGATTGTATTGCTCCTGCGTGAGCCGTTGTTGATGTTGATCTTGATGTTGGCGTTGAGTATTATCCAGCAGATATTTACCATCATTTGGATCGGCCCCACCATATTCGATAGTGGATGACGAGGATGTCACCTGGGATGAGGAGGATGTTGTAGTCGAGCTCGTTTTCATTTCAGTGCGACCGGAATTTTCATCGCCAACCACTACACGCTCTTGCAAGTGAGTATTGGAGCTTTCCGATGCTTTGTTAACGAAGTTCTTATCGTCGCCTTGATGGGAAGCACTTGCACGTTGCTCGTTTCGGCCGCGAAATTCAGCGGTGCCTCCATTAATCTTTTCAACGCCTGTAAGCATGCAATTAAGGAGAGCAACACACATATGTGTACATATATTTATAGTCTATGTATATATTTTTAAATTTTTTTTTTACTTATTTCTGCCTCGATTAATGGTTGAGTATACTAATGGTTGGATACTAAAGAACAGTCATGAAAAAGTGTACTTACCATCTGTGGTAGCCAAGGTTTCGGTACGATATGCGCGTCCATCTGGACTCACTTCAGACGAAGTTTGTACGTCCCAACCAGTTGTATTGGGATGATTCAGAGTCATGGAGTGAAACTTCAAATCATGTATGGGACTCACTGAATCTCGTACTTCTTTTGATTTCAAGCCTTGAAAATTTTGACCCACCAAAGAATCGCCGTGCGACGAGTTCAACGGATCTTTAGCGTAGTTGCCAGCCATGATTTCACCTTGATATAGGTCACGTAAACGCGATTCCCGCAATTTATATAAGTGTGAACGAATTTCCTTCTTTTGGTCGATGTCCGCTGTTTGCTGCCACTGGAATAAAAATATGAACAGATATGAAGAAAATTAGTTCGCAATAATCTAAAATTAACTATTTTTGTGTTCAATGAAAACGCGTTTTTTTAGAGTGGCCTTAAATATATGTTCATTCAACTGTCGTAAAGATGATAATATCGAATTAGTGAAGGAATTTCAGCTCGTACATCAATTTGCTAATATTGACGATATAGAAATGTTCTTTTAGATCGAATCCATTCAATTATTTTAATTTTAATTTTATTTCTGTTAGTTTTTCTGGCTTCCACCATAAAAAACCCTCTCCGCCCCCCGGCTGATGTACGATCAAACTTTCATTTAGATATAATAAAAAAAAAACAAGGAGTTCATCGTTTTATTCATTCTGGGTCAAATTTGATGAGATAGTTTGCGTTAATATATTTCGTATATACTTGTACACATAGAAAAAGTAAAAGACTGCCTAAATATAAATATTTCAGCTAAACTTGCTCTTGTTGAAAAGAAAGTCTTCTAATTTAAGGGTCTTAAAGTGTTTTATACTAATTACAATATTATGATTTTAATGGTGATCTTCTCTCTCTTTTCGCTAACAATTGCACTTTAGCCCTACATATGTAATAACCCTGTTTGTTGTACATATTTTTATAGATACTGATCTAAATTGAATTACATCAGTCACTGAAAGTAAAATTACTTCTGGGTAAATCCCACACACAACAATAAAAAATGAAAATAATAAACATTCAAAAGTTCGATAAAAAGTTGCTGCTGTCGCCAAGTAAACTAACGCCATACTTGGTTATGCATTAGTTGCATCGCCGACAACGCCACCGCCGCCACCAACAGCTACATGAGTGACGCTCCTACACCGTTTTCAGTTAACAAAATGTATGTATGTACATACTTACTTATATTCGCTATGCCTCGAACACTGAGACAATATGCAAACGCTTTTAGCAATGTTACAATTATTAAAACGTGTCTGGAATTAGAGTTACCTAATTATACAAACATTTATTTATACCCAGAAATAAGTATATACATAAGTATATTAGCCGAATAGCCATCAAATAGCACGAAAAACGCTTTTCTTAAAATTTTAAACTCTTTTTCTACCCGAATTTTAAACCACCTTCCATACTTCTTGACCTCCAGAAGTTAACGGTTCCAATTTTTTTTTTTTTTGTACATTACATTGTAAATCACATTAATTGTAGCGAAATATTGTGGGTGTGGATTTATGTTTCTAACAAATAATAAAGTTTATTGGTGATACTACTTTTTAGGAACAAAGTGAAAATAACAAATCTAAGTTTCATACACTTAAACGTAAAAAATGTGGTAATCGCCTACAACTAGAAAACCACGCATGTCGGGTTTATGAAAAACATAAATATTATATAATACACTGTGAGAAAAGCAAATACAACATTTTTAGTTCATATAGTTCTCTTGTGTGAGAACTTGCAATTTCATTTGAAAGCTTAACAAAATATTTATTTTTATATTATATATTATGTACAGTCAAAGAAAAAAGTCTACATACACCCTTCGATTTTGAGATTGTGGCCAACCTGTTATGAAAATCAAAAAAGATATTGTCAATATTTAAGGCATTTGTGAAAAAGTTTATTTGCGTAATTTATTCAAATAACAAAAACGAAAATGACTAAACCATAGAAAATCACCAGGAATAAAGTCTTTTTACAGCTACCACAAAAATTGGAAATTTTATTTGCAAAAAAATTTTTTTTAACCTTAGTATTTGGTAGGGCCACCTTGGGTGCCCCGACGCCACCATATCACCAGATTTTCCGTTACATCGGGAGAAATGTCGGCCGAAGCTCGGGGAAGGGCAGTTTTTCCAACTTTGAAGAACTTATTTTCGGTTCCTAGTTGACTTCTTTTATAATGGAGCTTACGTCTCGTCGAGAAAGCTTTCTGGGTCGGCCGGATCGTGGCATATATTCGGTACTGTTTCTATTATTGTAGTTTTTAATAATATAATAATATAAAATTGTACTGTAGAACGGCTTAATCTTACAGTTCTAGCAATTTCCCCAAATGATTTATTTTCATTTCGGAGCTTTACTAGCATACGTTACGGCATTCTTAGATACCTGACATATATGTATTAATTAAAATAAGTTTTTCAATACTAACTGAAATCATCTATATTGATTTTACTCGAATAAATTTTTTTTTTTCGATAAAACGGTGAAAATCGGCATTTTTTAAATTAAGTAACGTTGCGTATACGCAATAGAGGAAGGAAGTGGGGTTAATTTCGAAAATGAGAGAAATTGGTAAAATTCTTACACATATTATTAGTCTGAACAGGTCGCAGAGCCGTAGATATTTTATTACCATTTTCTAGTAATTTCTAATGCACAAACTTTTGATAAGTCTTCATTAAAGCTTTCGGAACCGTCTCGTATTCCAAGTAAGATCCAAAGTTTAAAAGTAAGATGATGGTTTTTGGAATAATTCGTATTTTAAGTGATAGTTTTTTAATATAATAAAATTCAAGTATACTATATATATTTTTATATTCTATATTATGTATATGTACTTGTATGCTGCTTCCGAAAAGTTTAATTATTGTTTATTTTATTTTTGTAGTGATTGAATTTCGTATTGGGTCAATGAAAGCAAACAACTTATTACTTCAATTCAATAATGTCATTATTGCTTATTGACTAACGATATTTCACGACTTTCGAAAAACTCTCTCAATTAATTGTCAATGTCCAAATAACTAAACAAAAGAAGTCAAATTCCAAACATACTCGCATGCCTAAATTTTTATCATTTTTTCGCACGATATGGCTTTATATTTAATCAGTTGTTACAAAAGAAATGTATGTGAAATATTTAAGCATTTGCAAAGTACATATGTATATAATATTACGTATATATACGAGTACGTACATTTCTTATTGTGCTTCGTTGGCGATAATGTACAATTTAGTGATGATGTATTCATTTATTTATAAATTTAAGAGGTCACTGATAACTGCAATCCAGAGAATATGCACCTACACACACACTCACCCATTAAAACATACATATGCACATAATGGAATTACTGAGGTAAACAAAATATTTTATTTACTCAAGAGACAGAGAGTTTTAACAGTGTTCGAGCAAAGTTGTGAGTTATTTGATTTTGCTCTCAGTTATGATTTACTGCGAAACATCATAAGCGTTTGTATGTTGGTGTAGGTGACACAACTACTTGTTTACATTAATTAAACTTGAAAAATATTCTATGAAGTTGTTTATTTATATACAAACATACAAACATTTTATTTATTTTTTATTTTTTAACTGTGAGCACAAATATTAGTAGACGCAAATCTAAAAATGATATCACCGTTCATACGAAAGCAATGTCGCTAAAAATATTGACTTTACATACACACATATGTACATACAAATACACATGGTAGGTAGCTGTGAAAGCAAAGCAGCAAAGGCAAAGCTTGTGAACGCACACGACAACTCCAGCGAAGCTAATAATTCACGGCAATCAGGGCCGTAAAAAAAACACTAAATATTTTAATATTTATAATTAAAAAAAAAAAATACAAACAAAAGTAAGTCCAACATTAACAATGAAGAGGGAAAAGTGCAAACCAGCTTTCTTTGCTATACATACAGACACAAGTCTACTTACATATACCCACTTTCATTAATACAAAATCACTTACATTTACACGCACGCACAGGAGCAAGATTGTAGGCGGCTGCAAATTTCTTTGAATTATTCGTTTCTTAATATTCGCACTGAGTTATTCATTTACTTGTTTTCTTTTTTTGTAATCTTTTTACCTGTCTGAAAAACCAGTCCAGCTAGGCTTGAAAATAAAAAATTAAGATTGAAATACTTGATTTCAGGGAGGGCAATCAATTAAGAATTTGAGAAATATGACAAAACCAGTTTTTATGCTGTTTTTGTCAGATAATCGCAAAAGTTATTCAAAATTAAAAGATCTCAGGCGCCTAAAAGATTTTCTTGGAACACAAAGTAAAGTATAAATGCTCTAAGAACTGCAAAAAGGATTCAAGATCAATATATTAAATATTTAAGATATTTGATTTTTTATTGGTTTTGTCCAGTCCGTGAACTGAAGCTGCCCTATACCTAATTCTTGAGCTTAAACTTGCCATAACTAAGACGCCAATCAAATTTCTAAAGAAAACGCTTAATTTATTTATATTCATATGATGTTTAATGTAAGAAGAAAACATATACATATACATATATGTACATATCGACATGTCGATAGTTCCAATATCAAAGATATAACATATAAACTTTGGTACTGATTGGGTTAAAGGGAGTCGCAAATTTTGCCTACATCTTTTTCTTCCCGGTATCGCAGGACTATATGATATAACTGTCAACTTCCAAACTGTTCGATACAAATAAAGTCCTTGTATGGACAATTTTTTTATTTGACAATATATTTACACTAAATTTTGCAAATAGTTGATATTCTAACTGACCTATCAAAATCAAGATGAAGATCTTCATAAAAGATCTTTTTTCCGCAAAAAGTAACCTTAATTCGACTTTCAAATAACGTGGCTAGAAAGAAGTAGCACACGTTTGATTGCAAACCGTTGGCCGTTTTCAGGTTTGGTTTTACATACATACATATATAATATACTAAAAGTTAAGATTCCTGAACTGAAATCCACATAAATGTCAAAATGTTAAAACAACTCCATTCCCTGATAAATGACTTTTCATATAGATTTATAAACGTAAGTATGTATGCATGTTCAGAGTTGCAAAGCATGCTTCTACAAGTATATACTTGTATAATATGTGTATGTAAATTAATGTACAATCAAGTGTGTCACCAAAAAAATCTTTTTAATTCGATGATTGTGTTTTTTGACACGGTTTATTGCAAAAAACTCCAGCTTGAGCACAGACAGTGCCGACAGACGATTTGCAAAATGACGTAATTTCTAAAAATTTTGCTTTTCACTCAACAACATGAAAGCATACAAATATGCACAAAATAAATGTAAAAAATACGTATACCATATATTTGTACATCTACACGTATGTATATACTTGGGACAACAACAAGCAAAGCGTCACTTTGGCAGCTAAGCTCGCAAGAAGTCTTAAGTCGAGCCACAGGTGTGAGGTGCGGAACCTGCGCTTCCAACCTGTTGTCTGATATTTGTGATGGCAGTGCGTTGATGAATTGCTCTGTTGCGCTGCGCTGAGTTGCTTAAATGACTAAAGTATTTATATTCTGATGATGACTTTCATGTCATTTCGAGGTCAACGCAACACGGACATTTATTAATTTCTTTGCTAGTTTATTCTGAAATTTGATTTCATTTACCTTAATATACTTTAACGAAATTAATTGCTTGAAGTTCTCTTTTGTGCATTTATTATTATTATTATATGCACATATAGACTCAAAGATTTATTAAGTGCGAAATAATTGGTCTTATAATGGCACCTGTCTTAATACACATTCCCGTATGTAAAAATGTGTGTATGTATGTATGTTTCTGTACGTGCAAAACCGTAATTATGTCCGTAATAATAACATCGGCGGCAGAATAAATACCGCCGACAGAGGCAGCGGCAGCGGCAGCGCACCTACGTCATCGTTAAAGCCAGACTTCAGTGTCAGCTCGCATTTGGTTAACAAAGGTACTGTTAGAGCGAACATTCATACATACATACAGGCAAATGCGTGGGTTCATGTGCGACGCGGAAAATGAGCTTTAAGTGCTCCACAGCAAATTGCTGTTAATAATTGTAGATACAAGTTTGAGGTGAACGTGAAAAAAAATTAAAAATTAATTATAACAACAACAAAAGAATTGCGATGACCTAATTGCGAAAAATGCAATTGTGTTTGAGGGGAAATTTTACAAAAATTATTTAAAAACGATTATACGATTCTTTTATGAATAAGTAATTAATTAATCTCAAAAAAATTTGTTTTATTCACAAGCTAAAAAAAAAACAGAAATAGTATATTTTTTTTGCAAAAATTTAAAACGAAAATTGTATTCGATACAATTTTACGTATGTATGTGTTTGTATAAATTTAATTATTGCAAATAATATACGTGGCTTCACATTTATTCACAGTTTTGAAGTGAAACGAATCTCCAAATGAGCAGACGGTTTAATCGTCGAGCCATATATTCAAATGTTTAGCGGAAATAAGCGAACCTGTTGCTCTCGCAAAATTGAAAACAAAATAAAAATCATAAAAAACAGTCAGGTAGTCATTTAAATAGCTAGATGCTTTCTAAAACCTTGTAAACACTTACATACATACATACACAATAAGTGAAATAGCAAATATGATAATATTGTGATTTTTATGCCAGTGGCGACTAACTCATAACTATGGTAAGCTTCATATTATACATATACAAATATCTGCACAATGAAGGTGAGGACGTCTAACGGCACATCTTGAAAATATTGACTTTAAAATAAGTATAATTATGTACATATGTATGTTTAAGAACAAATTCAAGTTCATGAAATAGCTGAATTTTCGACAATTCCCAATCCCCACCAATGCGTAGATGTGTATGTATATTTGTAAAACCGCCAAATTTAGATTTTACGACATATAAATCTTGTTAAAAAATTAATGAATATATAATTTTCTTTTCTGCTATTTCTTCGCTTTCATTTGCATTTTAATACAATTAACTGACACAAACTACTTTCTAAACAAATTCGGTTAATTTATATATTTCGATTTATATTCGATATTTATTGCGACTACATATCGTTATTATTCCAACGTTATGCTTATATACATATAAGTTTTATGGCAGACGTTAAAAATTATAATTATATAGGTGCATATCATATCCAATCAGACTCCTGATTGGGCAATTCAAATGATTTCAGATATATAACATAATGATATTGATTAAAAAAATCATTATGCGCATATCTAGCATTGGCTTTTTTAAATAAAGAAAAAGCAGATAACATTTATTCTCTGTATAAAACTTGGCGCAGTCAAACTGAATGCATGGAAAGAGAAAGGTTAACACTTCGGTGGTTCAAATAATATTTTTAACAATTAACACTTATATTTAATATCATGAGCATACATAGAACGTAGAGCAAAGATTTGCGGATAAAAAAATTAACATTCACTTCTAGACAACATTGACAAAAAATTGCGTATAAAAGTTGCATATTATGCATATAATCGATGAGCATCATATTTGCATGTGGATGGAAATAATATGCCGATTTCATGATGTGGAATCTATTTTTACATTGCATATTATTCTTTTATTAAAATTAAAGTTTACTTCATCATTTGACATTTCAAGACTAATGAACATTAATTAATGAGTAAGCTTCTTTTCTATCTAAAAGCATTAACCTTTAGACGTTTACCTAAAACTTGTAGACCTCTACTTTTGTTTTGATAGCATCCAGCGCATCATACCTTAAATCAAAGAAGAAATTCGGTAAAGCATCTAGCAGAGGTGAAAGCGTCATTAGATATAAATGCAATTAAAATTAAAACTCAAAAAATTCACAATTCGCTAAGTCACCATATTAAAATCTGTCCTAGTCAAATTAGTTTATTGTATGGAATCGATTTTTGGTAACAGCGGATACTACTCGACCTAGGATATATTTGTAAAAAGTTAATAAGGCATGAAGCAGTCAAACGCTGTTAAACTATTAAAGACCAACCACAACTGAACATTGCATCAAATGAGATAAAAACTTTTCCTTTTATTTAGTTTACAAAATTGTCAGGGGGTACTGCCGAAATTACAAATTTCAATTAAGGTTTTCCATTGCAATTCGAATATAATTGCTTTTCCTTAAATGTAAAAGGCTTTTTAACACTGAAATTAAAATTATTTAAATTCAATAGCGTTCGACCACTTTGGTCATTATGCCAAAAGCAAATAGTTGTTATCCTCATTCGAGCCGAGTCGTTGATGTAAAATTCGCATTTTACAGCCATAAAATTAGATGTCTGTATAAAAATGGCAAATTGAATGTGCAAAAACTGAGATTGTCTGGAATAATGTCGATATTTCGCCAATGGAATACCGTAATTGGTCACCAAAGTCAAACGGTGACTACAAGTGTACACAACACACAAACACATATATACACACACGGAGACAGAGATTCACATCATCGCCAGTTATGGACGAGATGAATCTGCGAGGTGACACGTCAAACCAATAAAAAATTGGCGAAAGCATATACCCACACACACAGACACATAAGCGTACTTGAGTTAGTAATTAAAGGCACCGAGGTGACACCTACATTTTTGCTCATGACTACAAGCAAAGTATGTGTATATATTCCTTAATGCATGTGTGCACAAAGTCATACTAACCTTTTTAGCAGGAAAGCGTTCTTAGTATTTCTCTGCAATCGATATGGGGCGTAGAGCACAAAGAAGGTAGGTTGGAAAGCAAACACACAAATCCGCGCACGAATGTATGTTGGTATTGAGCTAGATTCTTATGAATATTGATCACTTAAAAATTATACTTTTTTTCACCAAACGCTAAACAAACGCCAAATGTGTTTATTGTTATTATATATTATCTCTTGCTAATACACCTCAGTTTGTTAATTCACGCGATAAGCAACACAGTCCTTTTTTCTTGAACTTTATTTCACTTGCGTTCACTTTTTTGTTTTACTTTTATATTTCGATTTTGATTAAATTTTTACTTTCTGAGTTTTACCAACGAAGAAGTTATTCGTACGTTTCGATCGAGCGCCAAAGACAGACTGATTCAAAGTCAAGATGAATGAAAGCGAAAAAGCGTTAGCGACTTGGCAGCGATTGAAAAGCCGCAACCGATCGCGTGCTCATTGCGCCACTTCATTTAGCTCCACTCCGCTTCGTTCGCCAACGAGCCGAACAGACAAGTTGAACAGGCGCGCGAGCGGAGCAATTCACCGGCCCATCGAGCCGGTGTGCAGCGGTTGAGAAGGTAAATAGTTACACACAACTAAATGCATATGTACATATATATGTATGTATGTATACAAGTATGTGGCCAAACATTCATGAGAAGGTGTCGTGTCATGCAAATATACAAACATATACATATACTTTAGTCATATAGTCGTACATGTGTGTTGGTATTGCGATGATGTTGTTTTGACCGAATATGTAAGGCTCAAACATGTTCCCAAAGGTGCCTTCCAAGATGCCGCTTAAACCCACAACTGTCGGCGACCGCAAGCAATCGCCAATCGAAGAGAGCAAACTGTGCGATGCCGAATCGTAGATGATTGGCTAGTTTAGTGACGCGTTCGATTGATTTGAAATCTTGCTTGGGCGTCTGAGTACGCTGGACTGCGACTTCCACACACACACATACATACCAAATAATATTGGGAGTATTTTGAACAAAAAAAATGCCCGCCAAAAAGAGACAACACTGAAACAAAACAAAAACTCCGCGCGAAGAATTGGCTGAGGCGGTGCGGTCGCTAAATGATCAAGACACTAAACTAACTCAGCCGGTAATGAAAAGGTAAGAAGAAAAATTGACTTAACATCATTAATTTCTATTATTATTTTCGTATTGCTTGGAAACTAGTTTTTGCTCGAAATCCAGAAATTCGACTATAATATGATAAATTAATATTAACAGTATGACGGAATCATTAAATAAAATCGGTTTGTTTGTAACTTAAAGAAAATTGACATTCTCTTTTGCACTCTTCCAAGAGCTTTGTCCATGTTGCCGTTTCTGGAATGACGTCAGTTTTTTAAATTATTCTTTAGTTTGAGGTTAGGAGGTAAATGAAGAATATTTGAGCAGATTTTTCTGATTTGTAACAACGTATATATATACTTTATGTGTGTCTAAAAATATATATGTAGATTGCATATGTGCATATGTGTTCATATTCAAATATATCATTTATATTATATTTGAGTATAATGTGTCAATTACCGAATTTATTCACGGTCAACGGAAGCTTCGAGTAGTGCATAACAAAAGTATAATAACATTTTTTGGTTTATTTAATTAACAATTTTATAATGCCTCCAAATTTAGTCTTTTTTTTACTACAATATAAATATTCAAAACTACTCAGTTTACAAATATATTTTGTTAATTTCTAATTCTATATAATAGTTATTGATATAAACAAATAATGGTATATCACAAGTATTAGTATTGCTTCTTTAATCCAATAACAGAGGCACATACAGCTGATGTAGATATTTTTAAAAATTGAAAGGCTTCGCTCTCTTAATATATTATATTTGACATATATGTATATCTCATATATTACTTGTATATAAGTTAGATCAGCTCAATTCGATGAAAATATAGCAATCCACCCCCCTAACTACAGTAAATCTCCATTTGACTCTAAGTAATAAAAGTTACGATTACCGTGGCACAGTCCATTTCAACCTAAAATTCATATAATTAACTGCTTTTCCGATTTCTATCAAATCTATAACAAAACATTTTTATAATAGCTTCCTTGCACAGCCTTAAAGAATATGAAAATTTCAACGCAACCCCGCCTCTAAGATAATTTGACTTTACAATCAGTTACTCAGTCATAATGAAGACCTATATCCTCTCCTAGCTTCCATATATTAATTAAAAATGTCCCTGTCCCTCCAACTGATTTATTTCATACAACTCCAAGAATGGACGAGTTCGATCCATAACTTGCGAGTTTACTGAGTCTGTTCAGTTGACTTTAAAGTGGATATATAAAACTATAATTCTCTATGTTTCTATTAGTTTAAGGTAAGCTTATTGGGTCCATAAATTACCCTAATAAGGAATACTAATTTCTATGGCAACATTATAGTGATAAATTTTAACAGATATCTTGGATTAAATTTTATGTACTTAATACTACGATTAATGCGAGAGTATTAAATATGATTCGATTTTAACCGCACTTTTTTCCAATAGTTTAGGTTTAACATGTTATTTAGGAAAGGAAAGGCAAGCTAACTCAACAGAATTAAATTTTAGGTCACAGTTTTATCGGGCAAAAATAAACTTATTTAAATTCTTATCTGAATGACCCAACTGTATTTAATAGATATAGTAAATTATTACTATGTTTTTAAAGAATATACAGATAGGCTTACGTTGCAGCAGAATTCAGAGTGCGTAAATGACAGCGAATAGATCGTAGGCTCCCGAAATAATGTCAAACGCGCATGTGTGTTTCATTAAAAATTCTTCTTTTAAAATCACTCTTGTAAAATGCTGCATTAGTCAGATAACAAATAGGTGAAGTAGCATGGCCAGATTTCTAGTAAACCGTTAACTGATAATTAGGTTTACATGTATACATATATATACCATATATAAATATATATATATATATATTAGTTAAAATGTTTTAATTGCTACTAATTTTCTTTGCCGAACACATCTACAACAGCAAAACTTCATTACTTCACCGTATGATTTATTACAGATCAAAATACACCAAAAGCCCACACACACGCTTAACCCCATTAATACAGCATCCCAAATATGAACTACCCGAAGACAGGCCATACTCAAGCAATATCTCATCCATATGGGTAAACAAAACAATTAGCAAATAACGTCTTTGTCAGCGCAAAATGTTTTAGAAAAAATTTGGACCATATTCAGTGAAACACGATCAAAGCAAAATAACTCCCAACGGCCAACATAACCAAAATTGAAAGAGAAATGTGTCATGAAAAATTACAAATAATTTGAGACATTAATGGCACATATCGCACAAACGATCGTTGGCGTGGAACATGACGCGTCGTCGTCAACAACAACAGCTACTCCCACACACGCCATGGACGAAGCAACGAGCGCTGGCCCACTGTGGGTACTCACATTAATATGCATATACGAGTACCAAAGCGTAATATTTATATATGTAAGTGCATATGTATATGCATGTGAATAAATAAATGAGATTCACTCGAGGCAAGTAAAACTGAAATTCGATTACGGCAAAGCCGGTACAACGAATGGCCGGCAAATAACCGTGGTTGAGTAGTTCCCAAGGCGTTGAACCAACGCTGCTAACCTCAAGATGCGTTCTAGTTTTTCATGTAAGCCATACACATACATACATACATATGTGCTAGGAGTAAGTTTGTATATGATATTATAAACGATTTCGATTCGTTGATTCATGTCAAATGCCCAATCGTGGTGACAGCGTCGCAGTCAAGTTTCGCTACTTCAAACGAGGCTTTGGCGAACGGTAGTGACACAGCGCGTCGACTTTAAAGCGTCCAACAACTTTATAAGCAAATCGACAATCGACGATCGACAAGACCACCGACGCCAAAGCCAACATAACAGCCATCACCTCAATACATATCATATCTGTATACATGCATATTAATATATATGTATTTGGTAATACAGAACCTAGCAATCGATGACAGCCAGCCGGTAAGATCAACTATCCAGCCGGCGGCAGCGTGCACGCGCACACACACATCACCAGCTATGCAGCGGTTATGACCAAGTCTACTGGCTAGTTTTTCCACTAGACAAGTCAGCCGTACTACCTCCAAATCTTAACGAACTTCGCTGCGCAAACCGGCAAAATTCGAGCAATTCGAGTGTGTTGTGTATCGCTCAACAGATTAGCCGGCTGTCTTGTCATTATGTCCGTACAAATGTGCAGAAGAAGTAAAATACAGCATATACGATAAACAGGACACATACATATGTACTAAGAGTCCACAAAACGTCAGGTCTGGCATGTGTTGGCTATCGGGTTTTGCAGGTTGCGAGCAGGCGCGCATGCGCATTAGCACATTGAATGGGCTGTAACATGAGTAGGAGACACCGCAGCGATTTATTTTCTTTCGTTTTCTGTTGTTGTTATTAAGAGTTAAAATTATCTAATAAAACGCGATTTTCCATGTAAAATTGTATCTAGTATTTTGTATATATTAACTCGATGCATAAAAAACAATGCATTTTCTCATGATTTTATTAACGCTGCCTCTGTTCGATTTGAGAAGCACTGTGGGTCTCAATGCATTAAAATAGTTGCATGCATACGTGAGCGTAATTTTAATTAGAAAGAAAATTAAAATGAATCGGAAGATTGTAATCGTAAATAGAATTTTACAACGAAAAAAAATTATAAATTCAACATGAACACTATTTTATCCGAAAGCACCACAACTCAATCGGCCCAAATACAAATAATTACCCGGAGAAAGAAAGGAGAGCTACGCCCAAAAATATAATGAAGTTTGATGTAATATTAAAGTTAAGCTCACTAAAATCCTCAACTATTGAGGTGTAGCGGATTATTAGATTGTTCTGTAACATGAAAAGGCATTACTTTGTGCGTTCTTTGCGTGAAATTTTACGAATAAATCGTCTAGATGTGCTATATGAAATGTATGTCTTTTGGAACACGATAATGCCACAGACCACTGATTAGTTACATGTGACCTGTAGAAAGCAGAAAACTACTAATAAATCTCAGCCACCGTATTAACGGGTTTTAGCTCCCTGCAACTTTCTCCTGTTTGAAGAATGACTCACAAAATAAAAGGAAGATTTGCTACCCTTGAATTGAAAAAATCTACATACATCGCTGGAAGAATCCTAGACTAAATCAAAAGTCGGTTATCAATATACTTTGCGTATTGAGGTAAACATTGCCGCAACTTTCCTGTTTTGACGTGCCATCTAACGGATCATTATTAATGTCAGAATAAATACGATCGTTTTTAGCTGATTTAAAAAAAAAAACTGTTTTTAATCAGAATACTTTCTGAGCTGTTGTTCAAGCCTACAAACCAACAAACTGTAGTTCCA